AATCACTTACAAATATAAGAGAAATATAACAATTATATTTTGCTTACCTAACATTAAAACTTAAGCTACGCCATTCACCTCTATACCTAACACCTTAAATAATGAACGCATATAAGTCTAACCACAGTATGTCTGATTCAGCTCATAAAAAACGTTATTAATTTCCATACCTTCGTGCTATGGTTAAAAATTGATTAAAAAATATAACGTCACAATAACCAAAAATAATTAAGAAAAGTTCTACCTTACTAGACGAGTGATTTTAAACAGCGCTAACAACACCAAATCCAAGTACAATTCTGTAGTATACTATTCTCAAACGATCATCTTCCATTGATTACGAGCACTGCTGAGTCTGATATTTATTACCTGTCTTCTCCTGGGATTCTTCGAAATTATACTCTATAATACATTTAACTCGAATCTCTTTAAGAACTGTAATTTTGCATCTCAGGTGTAATAAATATATAAACATGAATTAATAGCTGAGGGTTCTTTTTTTTGTAGAATTAATGGATAAGGAAGGTGAATAATTAAGGGAGACTTCGGACCATAAATAGAATTTCTTAGAATGTCAGCACGACCTTTTCTTGTAAAATATACATAACAAAAATACAATATTTCAAACCACAGATACCATGTTTCGAAATTCAATCAATCTAACTGATCCATAGATAAATTGAAGAACACTTCTTCTTTGTCCTGTTGTTAGTCTTTGTTCCTTTAGAACGTCCAATGTTATCGTACTTTTCAATATTTTTTTCATTTTTTAAAACAACACAACACGTAACAAAATGATTCTAATTTCTATTATTTGAAAGGTACAATGAACTCAGTTAATAGATTCTGTTGAAGAGAATACCCAATTGTTTGATAGACTTCTCCCATTTGTGGCATAAAATTAAATCTCCCAATTTTGTTCCAACAATGACAAAGAAAAATAAGAATGTCAAGAAGAGAGTAACCTTTTCGGATGACACTACTATAACTACTCATCATACCCACAAGAAGAAGGACTTAGATTACGACCGTCCTCCTGTTTATATCAGAAAGACTATAACTACCGTTCCTTTCCATCTATTAGCATTATTATATTACTACATAAAAGTATCCAATAATTATGATACGTTGAGATTACTACTTACTTTGATTCCACTTCAAATTGCATATCTGATCTTCCAATTCAACAGATGCACAATATATGGTAACAAAAGATTAAAGATTAATATCCCACTTTTACTAATAACAATCGGAGGCTCCGTATTGCTTAGTGTCCCTGCAATGGTCATTATTATTCTCTTTGGTGCTCCATTCGTTGAACATATATTTCAAACTTGGTTATTGGCATTACATGCAAGTTTTCTAGCCTATCCAGCTTTATACTCTGTATTTAATTGTGATTTCAAAGTTGGTCTGTGGAAGAAATATTTCATTGCGATTATGATCGGTGGTTGGATCAGTTGTGTGGTTATTCCTTTAGACTGGGATAGAGAATGGCAAGTATGGCCAATCCCAGTAGTGGTTGGGATATATCTAGGTGCATTTGTTGGATATTCAATTACCGCATACATATAGTCATTTTAAATCTATACTTTTACAGCTTTGCCTAATAAAATAAAGGAATCTAAGTGATACATTTCCCAAACAATGCTTTGTAAGAATTGAAATTATAAGTCTTGTGTTTTTTTATAATTACATAATAGTACATATTAATATATCAAATTTTAAGGGAAATGAAGAATAAAGATACATTTTGGTACAGATAATACTGTTAAAATTATTCCATTGCATCGTATATCATGTCAAAGGTTTCAACATTGATACCAAGGGTCTCTGGATTAGAAGAGACAAAACGATCACGTTTTGTATAAAAATCATTGACAATTAATGATTCAGAGATGTTTTTCAATGTAATATTAAATTTGATGAAATCATCAACACCAAAGTTTTCGAAGCAGTTCGCTGCACTTTGTAACGTTTTTTTACTTTCTTCAACAAGAGTCGCCTTCTTTGTCTTAATGTCATCAGAAACATCCTCTCCTTCTACTGGATCATCTCCCAATGAAATAAAAGCTATCGATGTTTGTATCATAGTGATAGTGCTTGCCACTATGGAATTATTAACTTTACAATTCTTGGTGTAATCTTCGAGTAACATCAACAATTTTCTTAAAATCGTAGTAAACAAATCTGCTTGGGCACCACTTTCTCTTAAAAGTTTTTCTTTGTTTTCCTTCTCTTTATCTACGATTGCAAACGTGCTACGTTGTTGAAGAGCCACCAATAGTGTGCAAATCAATCTTAAAGTGATGAATAACTTATTCATGTACATAAACTCATAACCTGCTATTGTCTTATTTGCAAGATTGGAGAAGATGTAAAAAATTGTATCTTGAATCATTTGAAGTAATTCTTTGTATATTTCAATGAATTTTTCTGTGTCCTTTAACACTTCGTATTGCAATAGAATATAATATGTCATGTATAACATCCCCTTTCTGTAAATAATAGTGTCAATGACATTATTGACAGCAATTGCGGTAGAGCCCGATAACACACATCTCTTTGTTTGAGCATCGAATTTACTTTTGAAAATGTCCTTAATACGTATCACTTTCTCTAGAGATAGTATTTGATCCTTAGATTGTAAGTATTGTAAAGTCTCCATTTGATAAGTTAGGAAAGAATAATCTGAACTCAACAAAGTATCAACAATTGGTGCAGTGTTTAATTTATCACCAATCATCATAATTGGGACTTCACCTTTAAAGGAATGTCTCCAACAATAATTCTTATAGATAAAATTCCATATTAGCATATTATTTTCATCTTTTTGTTCATCGTTAATACCTAGATGCAAAGCCAAATGAACATCCTCATCAAAATCAACAAAATCGTTTACTTTACCAGAACCTGAAGACGATAAAGATGTAATTGTTTGATAGGCTTTATACAATGCAGTGAATTTCAAAGTTTCAACAGTTTGAAGAGATCCTTTTCTTTTATCCAATTCTGCTTTTATCGCGTTAATATTTTTCAATAATTGAGGTAAATATTTTATCAATTGATTAAATCCTTCTAATTGTTCATCCTTTAGGATAATTAATACCGAAGAGGCCAACGATTCATAAGTAAACAATAGACTGAAAGAAATTTGACCAAATGTGATCAACTGGCCGATGTTTAAAGTAGCTGGGTCAAAGACAGGTTCACGACCAAACGATTGATCAATAGAACTATACAATTCTCTGGTTTTCAAAATTGGAATCAAAAGATTTATATCCTTAGCAATATAAGTGAATCTAGTAATCATAGCTTGTGTTGTTTCACGAGATGGGAACTTAATTTGTGTGGTCTTGCCTTCTACTGGACCATTTAATAAATTCAGACTTGCATGCCCTATCTTTTTACGTTTCCATAAAGTTAATTCGGTTTCGTAATTATTTTTAATCACTGAGGCAAAAGTCTTTCTAAAATTATATGAAAAATTATCTCTCAAAGTTAAGAAATGATTAGTGTAGATAGAATTTGGTGTATCTTCAAAATCAGATAAAGGTAAATTTTGAGAACCAAAGATTGAAAATACTTTTGTATAATCCAAAAATCTTGGATCCAAATCCTTAAACTCATTCAAAATCTCGCTGAACTTCAAATCTGCTTCAGATATACCATCAGTAGCTTTCTCATCAATCTTTCTCTTCTTATTATTAGCTTTACCACTTGATGAATAATCATTAGCCCTGCTTAAAGAAGCATCAAAGGATAAATTCACACCGTTTACTTTCTTTCCGGTAATTTCTTGTAATTCTAATAATCTTTTCCTTAAGAAATTCATTTCTTTCAACATAACTTCCTCTTGTGTGTAAGGAGCAGTCATCTGATCAAAGATCGCAGGCCCTTGAACCCAATTTAAATGACGTGCAGATTCATTGGCGGACGATACAGGTTTATTCTCAAAACTAGTATGTGCTCTAGGTATAAACTGAGCGTTTTCCATTGGTGACGGAGATGCTCTAGTTTGATCTTGACTCAATAATTGCAAACGCGTATTATATTCTCTGATTTGTTCCAAAGAGGCTAATTCAGGGTTATGTTGTAAAATTGATGTAGCTTCTTTAGAATGTGGAATTGAATTATAATTATTGATCAAGTTCCCAACTGGTCTATCAACATGTTGTTTGGTACTAGTGTATGAACTACTGGAAGGAACATATCTACCAGGAACATCAGGATAGAAACAATCGCTCTTACCAGCTTTATTACAGTTACCACAGATTGGTTTCACACGATCACAACCAATCTTTCTCTTACGACACTGCACACAAGCAGGTGGCTTTCTCATTTTTCTACCTCTAATATCCATTGCGAATTAGTTTTTATTTTGTTTTGGTTCAATTAACTGTAGGCAGTAGCAAAATTTCGTCAGTATGAAACTTCTAAAACTCTCGAGACGGTTGATCTTTTAACCAATTTAAGGTAATAAAACTATTTCTTAGTTCAATAAAAAATATATATTTATTTCCAATGATTGGTACGCGAAAATCACTAGCAAATTTTTAAAAATTCGTCTCTAAAAATGGACAATTACTTTATAGCAGCGATGAGCTCTATTAAAAGATAAAAATTAACAGTAATAGACAAAGATACTCTGTTCCTATTGGTTCCTTTTCTACAGTTTCCTCCTCCTTACCATTGAAGTTAATCATATTGTTAGAAAGATTTGTTGATTCTTCTTAAAATTTCGTTTTGATTTCTTTCAAAATTAAATATTTCATTTTCGTATACAGGGAGGGTAACGTGGCAGGTCGTTGCTCGTGATACACAGTACATCTACAACTATATAGATATAGAAATGTTGAAGGCAGGGTTGGAAGGGAGGAATGACTATTGTTATCATTAAGGTCCACCTTCTTCTTATAACTCGTCGTGCTTTGATTGTTCTTGGTTCTCCATGGCTTCCTTCTCTAATTCGTCCTGCAATTGCGCGGCTTGGTGGTTATTTAATGGCACTGTCTCTAACTCACCACAATCGACAATACGGATATCCTCGAGAGGTCTATCTCTGTAATTAACCTTGATGTTGCCGATGTATTGCACGACATCCATACCACCAATGACCTCGCCGAAGACGACGTGTTTCCCATCGAGCCATTTAGTAGCTTTCAAAGTAATAAAAAATTGAGAACCATTAGTATCTTTACCACGGTTTGCCATGGAGAGCAAGCCTGGTTTATCGTGGCTGATCTCGAAACTCTCATCCTTGAAGGTGTCTCCATATATAGACTTACCACCAGTACCATCACCATTCGTGAAGTCACCACCTTGAATCATGAAATCTGGAATGACACGATGGAATACGGAGTTTACGTATCCCATTGCTGGACTACTAGAGATAGTCAATTCAAAGAAATTCTCAACCGTTTGAGGCACTACTAGCCCGTAAAGACCAACACTGATTCTACCAATGTTCTTATCACCATGTTTTATATCAAAATAGACTTTATGTGTTATCGTAGGATCCGTTGCATGGACAATTATCCCTTGAATCAATACCAATATAGATATCAACCATAGTTGAATTGTTCGATGATTCGTACCCAGCATCAATGTTGTCAAATATGTGTTGATCTATATGGGTGTGTGTGTGTGTGAATTCCCTTGTCTGGTTCAACACGACTTTTGACAAAGTCAACGAGTTCCCCTTTTAGTGTTCTTGTTCTACTTTAAGCATCCTAATCCTTTTAATTGACAAAGCGAATTGAAACTGTTCACCTAAAGAAGGAGAAGAAGCTCATCGAGAAATGAATTTATAAATATATACGTATACATATATCTATACATCTATACAATATATGCTAGTTGGAGACGGGTCTCACTCAAATATGCTCGCCCCATTTCTCATTGATCTCAGGGAATTCCTTAAGGAACTCTCTCAATCTTTTCTTCAAAGTACGTGCTTCTTCATGCATGACATTTACATCACGTTCGACTCTTTCACGGTCTGGTGCGAAATTAGTTGCATCCTGCTTCCTCCCCTCACGACCGCCATTCCCTAAATATATATCTCTTCTGAATTGCCACTCGTCTATCTTCTTGTATACTTCATCACCAAAATTATTCTTTCTATATCTTGGTATCACATGAGTATGTACATGTGGTACAGACTGGCCCGCTTCTGGGCCGTCTTGCATTGCAATGTTCAGGGCATCTGCTTTATATTCCCATTTGATGAATTGCTGTATTAGTTGTAATGTTCTGAAATAATCCTGGGATTCTTCAGGGGTTAATGATCCTAAAGTGATCGCTGTGGTTCTTAAGGGAACAATCAATATATGGCCAGGAACAATCGGCTTTAGATTAACCAATGCAAATGTATGCTTAGAGACCTGTTATATTCTATGTTAGTATAATTATATATATAATACATGATTAATTTAAGGTAGATGCTTCCTATTATGTTTCCTTCTTAAATCGATATACATACGTAAAATACCTGGTCGGTAACAAGGAACTTGCTAAAATATATTTGACCCGACATGACTTTTCCAAACAACAATAGATGAAACCACCGTTGTATAATTACTCTAATTCACCAGTCAGACCTTTATCTATTTAAAGAGAAACAAATATACACTTTTATATAAAAGGACAATGAAATATTTGCTAAATTTACGCTTCATTTGAACAAACATTTTTTATTGTTGCACCGCTTATGATTAAGGTCACCCCAACTCAATTAATTCAAATAGATGGGAACACTTACAGATGATTCTAATGTAATAATGCAAATATGTTATTGATAAGGTATCGGGCGATACATAAATATACTGTAGGTTATATAAAATATATTGTTACATTGTTGACTAGCTCATATCCTCTCGTGAACTGGATCAGAAGGGGATTCATCATTTCGTATTTCAAACCAGGAGAGGAAACACATCATAGGTTATGGGTTCCCAACGTATAAACTACCGTCTTGTTCTTCTAATGCATTCACCAAGTCAGAAACATCTTCGCTTTTTATATCCCATCCAAGTCTGGGCGACAACCGAATGTATTTTAGACTTGGTAATCGATGTTCCAACAGCGCTATAGTGAAATCATCTGGATGGATCTTAGACGCCATACCCAATGTCCCACTGCTCTCTAGGAATATTGTTCTTAGGGGTCTCTTGAAGTCAAATATTGGAATCAACATTTCATCTGAAAATGCCCATTTCGATGTGTAGTCAACCATTAATTGTACAGTCACTAAATGTGTACAATATCTGAATATAAAATCTAGCGAATTATCTCTTAATGCAGGCATGGGATAATGAAAATAAAGGTGGGTCAAATTATCACCAATTTGTGAAAGCATTGTATATATTGCATTTTCATTAATCTTGGGGCAAAAAGAATACTCAAGAATCTTAATTGTATGGGGCCACATTGTATCTATAACAAATTCATTTGTAATACCACCACTTAATTTTAAATATAAAAGATTTTGAGGCCAAACAAATTCTCGAAACCCTTCACAATCGACAGAACTTCTTGGAAATGCTAAATGAGTTAAATATTTAAAATTCTTGATCGCTGCAAATAAATCCTTTAATTTAACCGTTTCAGAGACTAAACCTAGATCCAAATATCGAAGTTGATGACATGATTTCAACGATATTAGTGGAGCATACCCAAAACTTGTCTGAGGTGCAGTGAATCTTTCTAGACTACTAGAACAACGCCTTAGTAATTTCGATACATATGAATTCCGTCCACTTTGTAAAATTGTAGAAAGATCCAATTCTTTAATATATTGACCAAAAACTTTTTTCCTATCCACTATTATTGATGTTATAAATTTGTTAAAATTCTTGCTATTTAATTCAGGCTTAGCATATAGTAAGGGCAAACACATGACATACCACACTTTACATACCACCAAGTAATCTATATCAATCTCCTCTGTATACTTCAATATTAAATTTTGAATTTCCCATGGAAGTTTCATCTTCATTATTGGTTTCTGTCGTATTATAAGTGTATCTCCTTTATCACCATATTCTTCCTTACATATTATGTCTGCAGGAATCTCAGGTGTCTTTTCTAAATGGTCATTACTATTACTTGTATCATACATGTAATAAGTCTTTCCAGATGCATCTTTAATAATATGATACTTTATTTCATTTTCTTCTTCACCATCGTCATCAAGATCTTTAGAAGTACCATAACTATTGTTCGCTTTCTTTTGATCTTTATAACTTTTCCTTGAAAGCATTACTTTACTGAAACCTTCACCAGCAACATACTTCCGATATGGAGCCCTTGCCTGTTTCGGTCTTGATTTATTGGCCATTTCAATATTTCAAATATAAAATAAACTTCCAATTAATAAATACGAAATGTAATCGTACCAATATGTGCAGATATTCCCTTTGACCTACTGAAAGTGATGTTATTAGTGGAGGTTTCAATAAAAAAAGTAATATCAATGAGGTTAATGCTGATCATTGACTTTCTTTTGTACTCGTAGAAAGACAAACCAAAGGAGTGCAGATGGTGTATGAGAATAGTAAACTTAGAACTAGAGCAATATCTAACGTCGACTACTATTCTGTTAAAGAAAGAAAAAAATAATTCTACCGTTTATGAGAATTAACAATATAAAACTAAATAAGTTTTCTTCAGTGGCAAACTATGATGATCGATAATCAATATTATTTAACCAGTTCTTTGAAGGTATAAACTACTGAAATGTAATAAAATACGCACAATATAATTTACTAAGTAACCGAAAGTATAAGCAGTAACCGTAATAACTTTGTTATCTGTATTATTTATCTACTTTTGGAGCTTAATGTTCTCCGCTGAGGTGCTCATCTCGATATAAAATTTCTTGAAATTACCGATGCTGTGGAGATAAAAACATTAAAAGCTAACGACGTTAAAGTGGAAAAAGATCAAACTGGCAGGGTCTGTTGCTGAGTAAACGATGCCATATAGCTGATGTCGTAAGAATTCAATTCTCACGACATGGTTTTAATTCATAAAAAACCAACGACAAAAAATACAAATGTTCTAGTCGAGGTTCGAACTCGAGACCTTTGCCGTGTGAAGGCAACGTGATAGCCACTACACTACAAGAACAGATAATCTATAAAAATATGGAAATATAGTTGTATACAAAAAGTAACTAAAAATCTGAGTTGAAAATACGTAAAACTAATTGTATGGTATTATAATGTATATATTTAAAATTTTCAGCTAAAGTGGGTTAATTTCATGTATTTGGTTTACAATGTAAGTTACTCCCTGTCATTTTATCCTGTTTCTATTTATACTGCGAAGCGATGGGCCAAAAAGGAAAAAAGACGACGAGGAAAAGTTAAATAAATAAAGAAATTGATGATTTTGGGTCGAAGTATATATATATATGATAAGAACTTGAACCATTAAAGAATATAGGGACGTGACACGGTGGAGCATTATATCTACTTTATTTTTATTTTCCCTGACAATTGAGCCAGATTCTGTTAATCATGTCTTCAATTGAGGAGAAGAACACGAAAGGTTCTACCGAAGGCACAAATAATATTATTCAGAATGCTTCACAACGTGCTTACAAAAATGCCAATTCATATTTTGAAAACAATATAGGAGTATTCAATATTTATGATGTATTTGTGTGTATATTGATCATAACTGTCTTCCCTTATTACATACTAAATGTGAGCGATATTTCTTTTGTCAGAGATACCAATCCTCACGAGGCTAAGCTACTAGACTTAATTGATCATTACAAGAATAATAAATTTATCCTAAGTTTCACAGGACCATACGCTTTGTATATATTGTCTGTTTTGTCTACTTACAATCTGAGATATGTATCGTTAGTGTTTACCACTGGTACTTTATTGAATATATATTTAAGTTTAAGAAGGTCAAACATCAACATACTATTCTCCATTATTCCAATAGTTTCAATAGGTTATATTGCACCATTTCAGGAATTGAGCTCAGAAATATCGATTGATGTGATATTTATTTACTTATTAACTCAAGTTATTTATTTCTGGAATACATTAAGAATTCAAAACGTTTATGCCACTCTTAAAATTGCTAGACAATCATTTATATTATCCATTTTAGTGGGACTATTGATGTCCACTAAATTCATTGGACTTATGACTTGGTTATGGATAATGGCCATGTCGGTTATTCAATTCTGGAATCTAATATCTGATATAACATTACCTTCAGGAAGAATTTTTAAAATTGTGCTGGCCAAGTTTTTCTTCTTATTTACGATTCCATTTCTTGTATTTAGTGTAATGGAGTATGAACAAATAAGAAGCTGGGAAACAGATTCTCCAGAGTATTCACAATACATGTCATCTATTTTCCAGACCTATTTGCGTGGGGTTGAACAAGTCCCAACGACAGTAAACTACGGTGCAGTTATCAGAATCCGTCATTTGAATTCATTGGGTGGCTACCTTACTTCACACAATGAAACATACCCAGGTGGTTCTCGTGAACAATTGGTTACTGTCTCTGATATCGAAGACACAGAGTGGAATAAATGGATTCTTGAACCCTCAGACAATTTCGATCTCAATAATAACATCGATGAGAGCCATCATGTAGTACTGAGACATAAAATGACTAGCAAATTGTTACGTGTCTCATCTGCCAAGCCACCAATTAGTGAACAAGAATACGATAAGGAGGTTTCATGTACTGGTAATGCCGAGTATGTAGGAGATAGAGATGAATACTGGAGATTAGAAACAACTAAATTGCACGAACCATTGAGAAATAATATAAAGATACAATTGAGAAACGTTGGTCAAAATTGTCAGCTAGTAAGCCACGATATTAGATTAACAGCAAAATGGGGTAAGAATGAACAAGAAGTATTATGTCTTGAACCGGCGACTCAACAATTTAGTACTTGGGAGGTCATTGTGGTTGAACAAAGTCCATTGAAGAATGATACTAAACTTGAGCCATTCGGTATTGACAAATCTATGCTCTCTTTTACCGGTAAAGAAGCATGGAAATTAATCCTAGAGGTGTTACAGAGACAATTCAGATATGATTATTTTGTACAAAACTATAAACTTGAAGGTATGAAAATAGCACAATGGCCATTTATTTTAAATAATGATCCATTTGCTATGCATTGTTGGTTTTCTTCTATTGTTGCAATCGTCGTCTATGTTGGATGGGTTGCCATCCAATGCATTAGAATAAACCCATGGGATAATGATGATGACAACGATAAACTCGCCAGTCTATCGACTTTAATCTTTAATGAAACCGCATTTGAATGCTTTCTAGGTTGGTTATTCCATTTTATTATCTTTTCCAAGGCCAAACATGATAATCTTGACATAGTCTCATACTTACCAAGTTATATACTGGGTGAAATACTCTTTGCATATGTGGTGTATTCATTATATAGCTGGAAGCATGCGACACTTACAGTCTGGGTTGTTTACGTAAGTATTTTGATGTACAGAGCTCGTAGGTAGATTAAGAGTGAATATATACATATAAGAACAAAACGACAACAATTTGTCATATTTTTAATTCATTTTTCGGTATCATTCAAAGATCCTTAGACGGTATATCTAAATTCGTGACGTTATTCCCTTCTAATTTATTAGTGATAACACTATCAGTTGTGGAATTTACAGTTCGTCTTGAATCTGCAATTCCTGATACAAACAAAGTTATCAAATCATCAACATCCTTCGACAGTTTCTCCTTCTCTTTTATAGCTTCGATTTTTTTAGTCTCTGTATCCACCAGACTCTTTTGTAAGGAATCAATTCTATGCATTTGTTCTTCCGTAGAGACATCGACACCAGGTAAAGAATCAATCAACTTAATAACTTGTCGCGTTTTCAGTATGATATCAGTGGATAACTCATCGATAGTGTTTGAGAACTCTTCTGGATTGCTCACTGTAGCATGCTTATCACTCATCTTCGCCTCCAATGGATTACCTGGTTCAAAATCATGATTCTTGTCGATATAATTCAAAGTTGCACAGAATTGCTCCATCATTTGGTCCAAACATATTTGCAACTGAGTAAGTCTATCAGTCATCTTGTCTTATATATTCAAGCCCCTGGTAAACGTCCTCTTGTTGCTTTGTTGCCAGGTTGCAAAAAGTGTATCTTGTATCTCTTTTAAAATTGTTGAAATTGAGATTCATTTTCTTTTTATTTGTTAATGGAAAAACGAAGAGAGCGAAAGTTGAACTGAGAGGGGAATTAATGAGTTAGCACCTTTGGATGGTTGGAAAGGAGCTGGGAGTGAATGTGTTGGTTACAATTTGGTTTCTCGAGCATTTAAAAATTCAACATATATTGCACTTTATTGTAATACAGATACTATGCTTTATGGGGGAAGGACTGAAAGTGTATATCGAGACCCTGGAAAGCGACAGTGAACAAACACCCTATCTCCATATTTTATCCACAAAGCAATTTAGTTATGTCTGAAAGACAAGATAATAAGAAATTCACTCGTCCTGGTGGCATAAATACTATCCAAGTCGATGCTGCTAGACAGGTGCATATGAGGACTATGCAGGCTAGAATTCCTGGAGGAGGATCTACCACTCAATCATCGACATCCCGTTATAAAGTACCACAAACTACAATGAGCAATAGTGGACCTCGTACTCCCACAGCAAGCAGAATGATACCACCTGCAAGACATATATGTAACAATCCTAATAACCCACCTTGTGCTAACTGTGGAGGTGTAATTATTCCGTCGCCAAAGGCGTTTTTACCATTGGAGGATCGTCCATCGATGTCTATCAATAATTGGACCATTTCATCAAAGAAGAGACCTATTCTGAATGCTGAAGAACTACATAATTGGGAAACAAAAGAGCTAAGAGGGTTAGGTGCATTACCTGAGATGATATTTGGTAACAATTTTATTCGAGTTATGAATACAGAACATAAATGGGGAATTGAATACAATACTCTGGATGCTTTGAAGATGGTAGCATTATCAGATTCAGGGATTCGTGTAGCTCATTCAAAGGCATGGTTAGACTCTAAATTACAACAGCAGCAGAATAACGCTGAAGATTCATCGGGTATCGATATGGAGAATTCATTGAAGATTGTCAAAAATTATGACTGGACGTATAGCACGGAGTATGAAGGTACTGTCGTTGGAGATAATAAAGATAAGTACAGTTTCAAAGTAGATAATAACTTGACATTACCCGTCGACAAATTGTCAAAGCAAGATAAAATTCTTTATTTTGATGAGATGGTTCTCTTTGAAGATGAGTTAGCTGACTGTGGTGTTTCAATGCTTAATGTGAAGATCAGAGTCATGAATGAAAGATTGCTACTGTTAAGTAGATTTTTCTTAAGGGTAGACGATGTATTATTAAGAGTGTATGACTCAAGGATATATGTAGAGTTTGATGACAACATAGTCATGAGAGAGATTAAGAAGTATGAAGGAAACTACAATGATATTCTAGCTAAACATCACATTTCACATTCGCATGATCCAAAGGCTGCGTTAAGAGACAGCAATTGGGTAGCTGAGCATACACCGATTATCGATAGAAGATGTGAAGTAATGACATTTAATGATTAACCTTTCGGAACTCTTTTTACCTATTGCAAAAGTAGGCACGAAATATATAAATTGCGTAGATTAGTGATATATATATAAAAGGAACACGATATATTACATTAACATATTTACAGAGACTACTTAACTAAATTCATCTCTTTTATAATAAACTCAGCTGCAATTTTATCACGACTATTAGAAACATTTTGAATCTCTTGTATTTTATTTGTGGCTAATGATAAGACCTCCTGTTTATTACCCAGGGCCTTTGAAGTGACAGCGACGAATGACCACCCCTTTAAATACAGTCCACTTAACTCTACCGATCTCAAAGCATTCTTTAAGGATTCGTCAAGTAAAGATTCTTTATCTTTACTTTGTAGAGCCTTATAATATGTGACTTCTGCGACTTTTGCAAACCCAACATAATTGAATGGCATAATTAATACAACTTCTTCAAAACAATATTTAGCTTCATCAAGTTGTCCTGCTTTATAATATGTTTCACCCAAATACCACCACAATTCAGGATCCAATGGCAATTTCTCTACCAAATCTATAGATTCCTTGAGTATATCATTCTCTTTATCCAATTTACCTGCTTTTGATAATTCAAATTTAATGGCCAAAATCTTTTTCATGATAATCCCATAAGAAGCAGGATCCGAATCAAACTCATATTCTTCATTAATCAATTTCTCTAAATATTTCAATGCCACAATGTCATTTTCATTAATTTGCATCAAAGTAGCATTCATCACGTATAACTTTGCAGAACGTTCTCCTAGACGATCTCTTAGACTGTTATAGATCACTTTAGCATTAACATCACAGCTCATATAGACATTTAAATAAAACAACATCTCCATAAGGGACATATTCTGAGCTTCTGATAGATGGACATCACCACGCTTCATGTATATCATAAGTTCTTCATACAGTTCATTCAATTCGGCAGGCTCTAAAGCTGTGTAGAGCTTGGTGCTCATTATCGTTAGGAATCTTTCCCTAGTATTCTTTAAATCCATGGTTCTCAATCAATGTGGTTGTTAAATATATTGTACCTAGATTACCGTCCTCTTGCAATTCCTAACTTTTTACTTCTCAGCACATGAAGAGTTCCATTGTCCATTCACATATATCTATCTATCTATCTATGTGTGTGTGTGTGTGTGTGTGTGTGGTTCTGTCGCATTCATTGTGAGAGGGAAATGCTGGCGAATTCAATTTTCGGTGTACTCTGAGAGTCGGTGCGCTATTTGAGATTAGATGGAATAATATTATTTATAAGGTATATTTAACGACACACACATTCATATTCACACTTTGTACACAAGCCGTGTCATTCTTATGTGGTCAATTACAAGTATAAGGGTGAGGACTCAGATAATTGTGTTGGTTGGGTTATATCTTCTAAATTTTGTGATATTTTATCGCTGGAAGTATAATTCAGAATGCTAAAAATATACGCGGTGATACAATATAATTCCTCAAGTAGTTAACCGCTGAACAGTACTAAGTCAAAATACCTATTGGAAAGGGCTTCAAAATACTGGAAAGTGATTGAATATTTAGAAACATTACTCTCACTCTGCAGCTCATTTGGTTTGTTTGAAATTCTGTGATGACAGTTTCTCTTTCTTGTAATCTCAAGAGGTTTGAATGTGGATCGAATGTCAGTCGCTTACTTCCAATCAGTTACGAATTTCATAGAGATTAAAGGTTTCAAACGGTAGTGTTTCAGTTCAAGTAGTTGATTTTCAATTAAAACTTCCGTTGGAAGTGGTTCGATTAACCGCCGAGGTTACGTAACTTGCTCGGTGTCACATGTTTGTCACTTGATACGAGTCAGTAGTAACACAGATAGGCAGAGAAATTCCAAAATGAAAAATTTTTGTCGATTTTATTCGATGCTTTCAATTTTTACTCACGATTTTGTTTGACATAGTTAGTAGGCCACACGAACCACGTAAGTAAGAGTTGATATAATTCAATTTCATATAAGTTCAACTAAGAGAGCAAAGTGTTATTATCGAATTGTTCTTTAGCGACAACCACAATTAACTATCAAGTGACAAGTAAGAGATATATATCTCTAGACAATACTGAATAGGAATAATTTCAAAAACATTTACACTTCTTCCCCCCTTTCCCTATTAATTAAAACAGATCTATCATGTCCATTAATATTTGTAGAGATAACCATGATCCTTTCTACCGTTATAAGATGCCTCCTATCCAGGCTAAGGTTGAAGGTAGAGGTAACGGTATCAAGACAGCTCTATTAAACATTGCTGACGTTGCTCGTGCTTTGAACAGACCAGTGCCTTATGTTGTTAAGTACTTTGGTTTTGAACTAGGTACCCAAACCTCTATCTCTGTGGACAAGGATCGTTATTTGGTTAACGGTGTTCACGAGCCAGCCAAATTACAAGATGTTCTAGATGGTTTCATTAACAAGTTTGTTTTATGTGGTAGTTGTAAGAACCCAGAAACTGAAATCATCATTACCAAATCCAGTGATTTAGTCAGAGATTGTAAAGCTTGTGGTAAGAGAACTCCAATGGATCTAAGACACAAACTTTCTTCTTTTATTCTAAAGAACCCACCTGAATCTATTAACACTGGTTCTAAGAAGAGAAAGGCTGCTACTGCTTCCGCCAATGTCCGTGGTGGTGGTGTTTCTATTAGTGATATCGCACAAGGTAAGACCGCCAATGATGCAACAGACAGCTCTTCGCCAGTTGTAGCTGATGATCATGACGAATTGACTCGTCAAATCCACGCTGCTGCTTCTAACTTGGAAGATCTAGAGGTCAAGGATGATGACTGGGCTGTTGACATGTCTCAAGAAGCCATTAGACAACGTGCCAAGGAATTACAAGTTGAATCCGGTGCCATTGATGCTGGTTTATCTAAACTAGACGAATTTGGTGAATGGGTATTAGAAACTGATGAAGTGCCAAGTGATATCGAATTATATAAGAAGGCATCTGAATTGGACCTATTAAATGAACCTAAGATTGCAGCTGTGTTAGCTCAATGTATGTTCGATGAGGATATTCTAAACGAAATTGTTCCACATGCTCCATTCTTCAGTAAATTGTTTACTACAGAAGAATTTGAAAGAAATTTCCTGGGTGGTATTGAAAGATTCTTAGGTCTAGAACATAAGGACATGATCCCACAACTACCAAAGATTTTAGTGCAATTATATAACAACGATATCGTCTCTGAAGAAGAAATTATGAGGTTTGGTACTAAAAGTTCAAAGAAGTTCGTCCCTAAGGATGTCTCTAAGAAGGTTCGTAGAGCTGCTAAGCCATTCATTACCTGGTTAGAGAATGCTGAAAGTGACGATGAAGAGTCCGATGAAGAGTAAAAAGAGTTGCCTATATCAAATGAAAAATTATTGAAGTCTTAAGTATTTTTCAATGTGCTGTTATTGTTAGTTCATTTTCTTATCGTTCTATCGTGAGCACCAGGTATAGTATTGAAGTACATAATATCACATATATATATATATATAACAAATATAATAATAGTAATAATAGTAATTGTGAAAAGATGATTGAAAAAGAATGAATGCATGTATGTGTGTACGTATGTGTGTACGTATGTGTGTACGTATGTGTGTACGTATGTGTGTACGTATGTGTGTACGTATGTATGTGTATATAAATAAATTCTAAAAAGCTTCAAAGCTAATCAGTCTCTGAACTTTGATTTTGATCTCAATGTTGCACCATATTTATATAGTACGAATGGGATCAAAGATAATCCGATGGTGACAAATCCCACGATAGTGGAACCCCAGCCTACAGGGTACCCTTCAATGGCCAAGTTGTTAAACATAGCTTTACCAAACAATGGGAAAGCACAAGCAAAAGTGGATCTCATGACACCATTACCAGCGAAGACAGAAGCAACATGGTTTGGGAAACTAAAGGCCAAATAAGAGAAAGTCACTTGGAATAAATTCCATACTGCAATGATGAAGAATATTTCGGAAATCACTGGGACGATCCAATGGACACTAGCAGCCCATCCAAATAAGAATTGAGATAATGGTAAGAGCCATGCAACACCCATTGCAAGTAGTAAAAACTTTTCAGGGACAAATGTGTTGTTGTCATGTGCAGGATAGATCACTTTGTGTAAGAATAGTATTAGGATTGGATAAGCAATGACACAACCAACAAAGAAACCAAGGAAAGCGACACTACTTTCCATTAAAGTGAAATGATAAATACCAACAAATACAATCGGGATAGATTCGAAGAAAAGATATAGAGCACCGTAGATGACAGAGATATATACATCAAATGCCAAGATAATTGGTTCCTTGATAATCATTTCAAATGGTCTGTAGAAAGTGGTGATTAAGAATTCACTCAATTTTGTAGCAGAATCCTTTTGTTCTTGAATTGTATAGTATCTGTTGTCTCCTGTTTGTTTTCTAATTCTTGAAGCTCTTCTAGAAAGAATAGCATTGCTAGAGGTCTCTGGGAAGAATAGAATAAATACGACTAAAAATGCAGCACAAATCATTGTTAGTAACCAAAAGATCCATCTCCAGCCTTTTGCAATTACCATAGCAGCACCAACAATTGGAGCCATCACTGGTGCAAGGACAGCACCAATGGCCCATAGAGCAATGTATGCAGTAAGTTGTCTACCTTCAATGATATCGGTAATACTGGCACCACCGGTAGCCAAAGCAGGTCCAGATAACACACCTGTAATAAATCTAAGGACCACCAAACCACCGAAGCTGTGTACAGTGGCACAACCTATTTGAAAGACAGTGAAAAGAAAGAAAGTATAAGTATAAATCCATTGACGGCCAATCTTTGCAACTTCAGATAATGGTGAAAATATAGCTTGACCAATACCATAAGCTAGAACATAGATGGATAAATTCAATGTTGCAGTGACGTGTCCTACTTTGAATTCATTTTGGATTTCTTCTTGACCTGGAGTAATAATAGCTGAAGCCATATATGTGACAAAAGTAATCATCATAATTTGAACGATAATTAAAATTTTCTTAAAAGAATCGAAATTCATTGGATTATCAGGATCATCTGATCTATTCCATGTTACCAGAAAAGGGTCAGTGGCAATATCATTGTCAGGTAATTCTTTCTCTTTAATAATGGTTTCTTCTAAGTCAGTAGTGTTTAAATTAATACTAATCTCCGTGGTACCAGAAATAGAACTACTTTCAATTGAATCAGAATCAGGATTGATTGAATTTTCACAATTATATAAAGCGTCATCATCATGTTTTTCAGGACATACCTGTGTACTTGCTGAAAGTCTTGGATAGAGTTGGTTTTCGATATCAACAGTTTTACCAGCAATACCTTCTTCTGTTAGTGTTACTATATGTAGATATTCTAGGATATCTACCATATAAGTATTTTTAAAGTATTCTGTGTACATTGTTTTATATGATTATATTGGTAGTTATGATTGTGAGGTGATGATTAGTTATGATTATTTAGTATTATTTGTAAGAACTAGAATACTTTACAACATTAAGATGAGACAACGTTACAATAATTTCTAATTGACCTAATTAAGTATCTTATTTATATATCATTCGTTGTCAATATTTTATGTTTCTTGATTACCTAATGTTCATCTCATCTTCTTTTTGTATTAGTACCCCTCGTATATCATACTAACATAACTAGATTATTGGTGAAATATCAACTCAAACGATTACCAATAAATTAAAATAAAAAAGATTCTCTACTTTTCCGTCAGGTTCTCTAAAGAAACGTTACAATTTTTTTCTTTTTCTATTAAAATTGTTACATAATCATCATTGAACTTTATCAAATTTGGTTATCTGTTTCGCACCAAGAGACTGAGTCGTTCTCTCTCTCTATTACTGTGAATTAGTTGGTTGCACAGCCATAGAAAATTCCGTTTAATTATTTCTGACTTTGCTGAAAGAGCAATGATTAGAAGCAAAATTGTGGATGTATTCCTGCCACTATTTGCTCCTCTGCGTCTGTCCCTCGCAGATTACATTAAAATGATTGATTGATTATGTAAACATTTTGAAAAATTTTGTAGATTTGTTACGTTTCGGCCGAAAGAGTAATATATACGTGATGACTTCGGAGATTACTTGTACGTGGAACTTGTAGCAGTGCGACGGAAGGATTACTAAAAGGATTGTCATCCGCACGGAAGTTGGCCATACGCAGAAAGATTTTTTGCTGTAATTTGTTAGTCGTTGCAAAGTGAGAAGTTACTAGGCAAATACTATTTAAAGAAGTGATGATTTGTAATAATTCAATATTGTTGGACACGTATGTTCTGGCAATACATATGTTTTAGGGGACGGGTGCGGCTGTAATTACAGCAACAACAACAACAAAAAGATACTGTTTCATTGGAAAATTCGTACAACGAAGGTATAGTTATGTATGGTCTAGAAAGAAAGATCATTATTGGGTTACAAATGTATATTTCACATGTGGAAAGTAGTGTGTATAAACTGTATTAGTTTGAATTAGAAAAAAAAATATTGTATAAATGTATCAATCATTAATAATTATATAATTTGTAACGTCTCCCTTGATTTTTTTTATAATTCTTTTCGAAGGGAGGAAAGTACGTTACGTCATTATCACCCTTCCAATCTAAAACCCGTAACCATTTAATCTTGAAGCATTGTTATTAGTATTAGTTGTATTAGTTGTATCGCCTGTATCACTACTTATTGTACGGTTTAATGACAATTCATTGAATGGAATAGATAGATTATTGCCATTATTGTTGTTATTTCCATCATAATGTAGATAGATCTCATCATTAACATTTACATTTTGATTATTATTCCCTCCGTATGGTCCCATATTATTATTGTTGTTGTTGTTGCTATCATTCAACGAAACTGGTGTCATTGGCTGAATGTTAATCCCAGGTAGCCCGTTGTTACTACGAACACTAGACGCAGATAATCCTCTCATTCTTCTTGATGATGCATCGTTCAATCCCTGATTGTATGCATGATGTTGTAATCCTGAATTTCTATTATGTTTCATCGGTGATCTGTCTTGATTATTATTGTTGATGTTGTTGTTGTTGTTATTATTTGTCGCATTTATAGAGACCAACCCAACTTCTTCCATTAATTTATGATTTTGTTGCGAAATGTTATTCTTTAAGATAACATTACGAATTCTTTCCACTACTGCAGTCCTAATGTCATCATCCAGTAATCTTGACGTTAACAATTTGTGCATGAATGTTGGACCATATGAGACATCACTTAATATCTTAACCAAAACCAGATCCCGGTTATTTTCATCCTTAGCATTATCACCAAAAATTTCATCCAATATCAGTTTCCGACATGATTCATTCCCTCTGGAGTTTAATATTTTTAATATTGTTAATGAACCAAGTTTATGACAACATAATGTAGCAATATTCCCAACGATCTTGTGAGTCAAAGCAATATATTTTTCATCAAATTGACATGTATCCAATAACCATGTTATTAGTAACGTACCGTTATTATCTGTAATTAGATATTCTCCGTATGCAACAATCATTGAACTGATTATTAATGTTTGTTCGGTTGTGATAATGGCAGTAGCTTCTAAGCATGCTCTGATGGCTCTGGCACCATATTTATTCTTACAGATAGTCCAGAAATTACCTAGAATACTTTCAAATATGAAATTGTTCCAGGGGACACCGAATTTAAGTACCTCTTGGATGACATAGTTACCGAATTGATCATTGAACAAAGCAGTACAATAATCTCTAATACCTTCAGTTACTAACCAAAGAGCTCTTGAGTTATGAGCCAATTTGATCATCTTTTGGCATACCCAAGTACCACTCTTGTGAATCCCTAAAGATGTCAAATATTTTGATATCTTTCTCAAGATAATATCTCTAATGATATCGTTAGATCTATCATATATCTTTTGAACAATGGTATTACCCAAATAATCAAAACTTAATTCAGGTAATTCATCTAACATGGCCATACCTAACTGTTCAATCTCAACATCACTTAAGGAGTTGGAATCAATAGCTTTACGGATTTCACGTAATTTTGGTGTTTGGAATTGACGGGAGGATAATGGTTCAGGAGTTGGACCGAAATCAGATAAATCGACCGTTTCCTTGATGTTTAGTGCTCTTATTAAAATATGTGAAGCTTTCTCCCTATCATGTGGAACATTAAATTCGGTTATAACTGTTTTCAATAAATCATTTTGAATTTGAATAGTTGGAGGAGGTAATGGGAATGGACATTTCTCATTTTCAACAGGTAATGTTATTTGTGTATTATTGGCATTGTTGGTAACACTTTGTAACATTACAGTATGTTGCTGTTGTTGTTGTTGTTGTTGTTGCTGTTGGATTTTCTGTGGTGACATCTTTAGGCTATCATTGATTTGATTACGTAATATTGGTATCTGTGTCGAACCTTGTTGATGGAATACTATAGATCCATTAACTAATTGTTCTTGAAGTAAACTGCGAGCCACATTTTGGCCTTTATTACCTTGGGCTTGATGATACAAGGGTAAAATCTTAGCATATGTAATTGTTGAGGAGTATCCAAGAATAGATATATCTTTTCCTTGTAATGATTCCAATGTTATCCTTGCCATATCGATAGAGTCAAACTCAACTAAAGCAATATTTAAGTCTCTTAGAGTTCTGACTGAGATGACATTACCAAATTTCATACAGACAGATGCAAGGGCAGTACTAGTCAAATTCACAGCATTAATATATTGCGGTTCGGTTTGCTGTAATGGATAGATGTTCGTTAATGCAATGGCATTGGTTGGTAATAACGAATTAATCTGGTTGATTGGAGGTACTGTTCCGTTCGTAGTCACCCAACTGATTGATCTTGGATCGATATCATCCATTAATAAAGGGGATGATGTTAAAGGAAACTCTTGTAATGCATTATTATAGTTTTTATTATAATTGTATTGCTCCATTTGATCATAAGAATATTGTAATTGATCGACATTTATATGTGCTGTTGCATCTGAATTCTGAATGATACTAGGTAGAGGTTGTTGAACATAATATGCCTCCGGATGAACTTGTGTTGCCATCGATTGGGATCTTTTCCTTGCCACAGCTTCTGGTGACCAAATTGATGAATCTCCTTGACCCCCAAGTCCATTATTATTGTTGTTGTTGTTGTTGTTATTGGTGGGATTACCACCCATGATGTTATTATTATTATTATTATTATTATTTGAAGTTTCATAAGGATCATAATTAGTGCTTGATTTCATTAATGGTACGTTAAAATATGATGAAGAACCATATCCGTAATCAAACGACGGAGTCAAAGCGGTATTTTGAGAATTAATATTCATATTTAAATCATAACTACTATTATGTTGATGATATTGATTTTGAATATTACTTGCTGCACTAGTTGTGGGCCATAAATTACCAGTACCTGCTGAATTATATGGATGCAACGATAAAGATGTATATTGAGATGCTAAAGTATTATTTCTTGTTCGTGACAGTTGATTCTGTAATTGATCATTAGGTGTAGACACAGGGACATTAGAACTAGTATTAATATTATTATTTGTTGATGTCGTATGTTTATGAGATGGCGTTACGGGACCATTTTTAGATGGTGAAGCGGATGGGAATTGTACTAATCTATCATGTTCATTAGATAATCTAAGTCCAGTACCATAAGGCACACCTGTCAATGGTACCACATTTGCCTTTTCTTTATTCAATGCATCTCCATTATTAGCAGATGCGTGTCTTGTATTTAACGACGACACCGACGTATCACTACTTCCAGCATTCAACTGATTTTCTTTATCATGAAGTAAAGTTTTCTTTGAAGAATGATGCAATTTTGCACTAATCGATGGCAAAATATTACTAAACTTGTTCGAGAACCTCCCTGCTTTCGACCTGTAAGACCCCAGTTTCTGAGGAGATTGATCGTTCGGGGTCAATGTGCTTGCAGTATCATCGTATATGGGGATCGTAATACCTGGTTCAATCGTCTCTGGGATACTAGGGATACTATTCGGGTATGTTTCCTTCCCATTCATTATGCAAGTATATAAGTAATAATATGTGTAGTCTTCCGGGTATCTATAATAAGGGTGTAACAATATTACCAATTTAATTCTACTCGACTGAACTTTATGTAGATATAGATGTGTGTGTGCCCTTTGTAACGACTATAATTGTATTATATGGAAACCGTATTAACTTCGAAACTTCCTTAATAGTTATTATACGTATAATCGAAAGGGTGGAGGCGGCGCCAATGAAGAAAGAGTGGGCAAAGATTGAAAATATAAGAAAAGGACAATCCTGCACAGAAACAAGCGTAGAGAAAGCAAGGCATTCCCCCTATATATCTATATTTATATATCTTTCCATATAAATGAATGGTTGGAATTATTAGTTTACTGATGAGTTGGTTGAATAAGAGTTCGATCAGAGCATGATCGGATTGGATGAGTTGTTGACAGAACAGGATCTTGTTTTATATACGTTTGGATCGGATCCTATCCTGTATAGGGGTAATGACTACATGTCTAGATATTTAATTTTACGTATTTGAAAGATATCTCAGACGTTAGGGATCTTGCACATCTACCATCATAGACTCACTTGCCATGGCAAGTGAGTCTATGACCACAGCTAACAACAACGAGACCTCAAAGTTATCAACATATATGACATATATACATACTGCATAGGTAATTATACAGATATCGTGATGCATTCGCCATATCTGAGATTGAGCTCTCTCCGATGGGTGTGTGGGTGTGTGGGTGGGTGTGGGTGTTGATCTTCGTACACAGTGAGGGTGTGGGTTTAGCAGGGCATGTGACCTGTAAAGGTGTTGTTGGTCACGTGCATCTGGTTTGTTTTCTCATTTTCCCATTTAGGAAATATGTAAACATGATAACAGTTCCGTTCGATGTAATATACTGGAACTGAAAGAGATAGACATCTTCTTAGACACATTTGGTTACAACTGAGTGAGCAAATGTGGGCCGTTTCATTACCTGTAGAGTTTAGAACTAACAGGTAAGATGCTGTCGACGAGGGGGGAAGAGAGGGGATCAAGGACATCGGCGGGACTTTTGACTATCTTGCATTTTGCTTAGTTAAGCAAAAATGTAGTCGTTTACAAATTTGATATTTTATGATATATTATTTACGTATATGTAATTTCTTGCTATTCTTCAGAATTGCTTCTTTCACAATCAACAAATTATATATACTATATATAGTTTTTGGTATAAATAGGACAGAACTATGGCTGATGTTACAGTTGATGAAGTAGTGGACTCCTTAGTTAAAGAGATCGAGAATGAAATGGAAAATACAATAAGTAGTGCAAAGCCTGTGTTGTTGCCCCCTAGGACACAACCAAAGTTTCAGATACCATTGAAAGAGATAGGTAATGATACCATGGAGATGATTATAAAATATAATACAGGCACCAATGGTATTAGTACGATGAAGAGTGGTGAAGATGATGATGATGTCACTGAAGAAGAGATGTTCAATGAGACAAATGCTTTGGATTTAGATCAAGAAAAAGTCACGAGGAATGTTAGAGAGTATACATTGGCGGACTATGATTTAAGTATAGGATCCATTGGGACACTAAGTACAGGTCAGCAGGATGTACTTGATATGGAAGATGAGGACGATGAAGAGCACATCGAGGACCCTAGCGTATCTGAAACTGAGAAACAAAATATAAATGATGGTGTAAATGAGCCTCAAGATATACCTTATGAAGAAGAACAGGTTTTGGATGAGAAAGTTGAAGAGTTTAATGAGGATGGGGAAGCAGGGAGTATCGTTCCTTCATTGGAAGATAAATATATATGTGATGATGAGAAAGAAACTACAGCTACAACGGAACATCATGAAGCATCTATTGATACTGATCCTGAATATGAAGTTCATTTCCAACCATTATCAACCATTGGTGGATTAGGTTCAACGAAATCGGATATAAAATTGGCATTGCCCTCGAATGAAACTCAGTTGAATAATAATTACTGCGTAGACCTTAACGGATCATTCGATTTACCTAACCTTGTTGATCAAGAACCTATTATTATGACTACCATATTTGAAGATGGTGCTAGTACAATGACTGAAAATATACCTCCACTTGCTAAGGATGGACAATTGTCAAACGATTATCTTTCAATATGGCATTATCAAAATAATAATAATAATAATAATAAATCAAATGGTGAAAAGATTACTTCCCCAGCATTGAGTAGTCATTCGAGATTCTCAGATGGTACAGTGACTACCTTAGTTAATTCTCAACAAGGACAACAACAGTTGGATGGACCCTCTAACAATTCGAATTTCTCATTTAAGCCTCGTTTGGTAAGTAGAAGTAAAGTTCATTATCCCAACTCAAATCCAAGTAGTAGGGTTAGCTCAGGTGAAGTAAATGCCATTGTTATTCCAGGGGGCCATAAACCTTATTCTAGAGTGTCTTCTTCAGGTAGAGACAATATCTATTCGAATGGAGAGTACGCTTTTATGGGTGACGTTATTGATAACAGTATTGATTTTACAAAGGAAAACCCTTTAGATTTTACATTTAATAACAATGGAGATTTTTCTAAATTAAACTCATTTGCTCTGTTACCGGAAACAAGCTTAATTAAAAGGGTAACTGATGCTAATTTGGGGGAATCACCAGACACTTCATTGCAAAACCTTGAAGAATCATTATCTACAATAATTGATTTTGATAAACCTAATGTTCTTTCAAATTATTTGGAACATGAATTAGGTACTGGATTCGGAGATTTTCTCTATTCAATTGATCAAGAAAATACCAAGAAGTCACAAAATGATAATTCTCATGTGATTGATCTTGATTCATTAAAAGGGAAGGCCCAATCTGAATCAAGTTCTATTAAAGATGATACAATTTTATTTGAACAGTTTGAATCTGGAACTCCCGTTAAAAGCATTGCGCCAAGGCAATTGGTAAATAAATACCATACACAGAGTCCAATTAAAGTAATTGGAAAATTAAATCATAAAATTCCGATAAAACTAACTTCAGATGATTCAAATCAAATTACAAAACCGAAATTTGTTGAGCCATTTTCAGAAAATAGTATCGTAGAAAATGCTGCCTCTTTAGAACAATCAAGTATTGTTACAAGGGAGAGTCCATTGGTTGAAACTATATCTATCCCAAAAGCAGTTACAGTCATGAAGACTGTAGTTAACCCATTACCAGATGCTGGTAAAATATACATTTCATTTGGAACGTTATCATTTTTCGATTTGGAAGGTGTTGAATCGCATAAATCAAAGTTTTCTGTTCACTGTAAGTTTGGTGACATGCAATTAACTACACCATACGCAGCACTAACTCGTAAACAACTAGAGATGAAACAGGACCTTACAATAACTTTAACCGACAAATTTTTTGAACAACAAAATAATATATTAGATATCCTTATTAAGTGTGCCTACGAAAAGGTAAAAACAGATTTAGTGCCAGTTAAAGAAAAAGTTCAAGTAGGTAAGAAACATTTATTCCGCAAGACGAAATATGTATACAAAACTAGGTATGTTCAAAGATCGATCGATACTGACAGATGGGATCATTTATTTGGTCCCAAAGGTGAATATTGTACAGGTTCTTACACATTTTCCAAAGAAGAAATAGAAAAGCTTAAATTTCAAAATAAGACGATTACCATATCTTTAAAAAATAAATGGGCTAAAGGTTTGAATCCATATGAAGTAACAAACATCAGAGTAAAAGTCAGCTGCATTTCTAGGACTTCCAAGGATGAAATATTACCAGAAAATATAAAGGTAGCTAGTAAAATTTTAGAAAAATATAGGAGACAACAGAGTATATCTAAATGTGGATACATGATTCAAGATGGAGGTGATTTATCTGGTACAATTCAAAGAAGACACTTTGAACTAAACGGTAACGTGTTAACAGCATGTCACGAAACGTCTCATAAACCTCAGTTACTAATTAACCTACTTAATGTGAAAACTGTTTCTGGTTATGAGGTATACGATGAGGAAGACAAACGTAAATTTACAAATTTTACAGATCGTATCTTACTAAATGAATGTATTCAATTAGTTTTTGAAAACGATGAAGTCATAAGCTTTAACGTTGAAGGAGGAGAAGAGGAAAAGTCTGACTGGTTTATGAAACTAAACGAAGTCGTTCAACTAAACGTTTCGCATCAACCCTGGGTTAAGTATCTACTAAGAGAAGAAGAATTCCAAGATGTCCCTAAGGACAATACAACATAATTTTTAATACATAAGATACAATTTTTGTGACGATATATCCATCCGTACACCCATAAATTATATACAACAAAACATTTTTTTATATTCAAAAACTTCATTTTATGGATTTTTTGCGCTTCTTTCAGTTTTTTCTAATGAGTGCCGACGCAGCTAAGAATGAAATTTCCAAAAATACTAAACAAAATTTAGCAGAGCTGCATGATGTGATGGCCAGAATGAACCCACGCAATTAATGGCTGGTTAGTTCATCCCTCATCCAAAGAGCAATTCACAGAGTTTCAATAATCCATAGTGTTCAGGCTCTTTCTTTAATGTAATTGTAATAGAGTTCACCTTATTAAATGTATATATACCTTAATATTTAAAAACAAACTTAGTTACAAATTAAAAGAAACCTACATAGATAATCGAGACAAAATGTATGCATAATAATGATATAATACAAGTTGGAATGGATAGCAGACTGGAGTATTGGAAGAACAGAATCGATATAATGAATAGAAGTGAACAAGAATTTTGTGGTATTACGAGAAACATACTGTGCCATGTTGCAATAGTCACACTGATTACTTAAAACATTGAGATAATGCATTCTGTTGTTTAGTAACACCCTGACATGTTAGTTGATATCACTTTGATGTTGCTAACTAGAAATTGTTCAAAATTAATGTAATGATGATTTAGAACAACGTACATGCTCATCCTGTTGATTCATTTGGATGAAACTAATACCATTAAAATGATTGTAACTTAAATTCCAAGCTATTGAACGATGTTATTACAATGCTTCAAAGTTATCCTTTTTTATTTTGTGAATATAATAATAGTTGTAGATGAAATTGCAACTTCTCTTCCATAACAATAAACAAGATTTACTAACAATATATTAAATACAAATAACTTCGTTTTCATTTTTTGTTTTACACAGACAAGAAAATATCATGAACGATTGTATTACATTTATGTTACAGGGCTAAAAGAACAAAGAAGGTTGGTATCACCGGTAAGTACGGTGTTCGTTACGGTTCCTCTCTAAGAAGACAAGTTAAGAAGCTAGAAGTTCAACAACACGCTAGATACGACTGTTCTTTCTGTGGTAAGAAGACCGTTAGAAGAGGTGCTGCTGGTATCTGGACTTGTGGTTCTTGTAAGAAGACTGTTGCTGGTGGTGCTTACACTGTTTCCACTGCTGCTGCCGCCACTGTCAGATCCACTATCAGAAGACTAAGAGAAATGGCTGAAGCTTAAGCGGATGTTTCTTATAACTTTTTAACAAATTTATAAAACTTCAACTTAACACTTTTTCTCCCATTTTATGTATTTCATATGTACCTAGTTATTTCTAACAACACATAATTACTCATTAATAATTTTAATAGCTTGATATATATTATATTGGCTTCGGTTTTACGGAAAGGTCTCTGACGTATATGTTTTTCGAATTTGTATATTAAAATTACTAGGAAACAACGTTTACATTCAATAATTCTAAAACGTAAACAAATCAAATAAAGTGAGCATATCTTTCAAGTTTAGAGAGGAGTTACAGTTTTGAAATTAAATGATTTACCGAAACGCTGTGAAATATGAAACGCTTGTGAATCGTGTACGTATATCTAAGATGTTGTTACAAAAATGTACCAAGTACTGTGGTTCTTACGAATGTGTTTCAAAATCACAGGACGAAGTGGTATTCTTGAAGCATAGCTCTACAATCTGAATAGAGGGTAGCACTACGAGATACTATTTGAAGAAAAAGTTTGAAGTTCTATTCTTCCATATTAAGAACTTTGTTTTTATCCAAACAAAAGGAATATTAGCTTAAAAAGTGATATTGAGATATAATTAACAACTTAAAGAATTATTCACATCGATCTAGATATTATTTACATATCTTTTAATGTGATCAATTTCCTAATTATATTTTTGAGTTAAAGTAGTTTTTATAGTTAAGAAATTTTAAGGATAATGGGTTAAGTCAAGACTACCACTAAGAGATATGGCCTACATCGAATTTAATAACCCTATGATGAAGCCAAGCAAAAACAGAGGGAACTGTTGAATAAATATCGGATAGTTTGTTTTTAGTATTATCGAAAGAAAAATATGCTATTCCATAATTGAAAGAAACTTAATACAAGTCCAATTTTTGAAGAACTTACGTCGTTCGAGAATCCTATAACAACAGAAATAGCTGAAGATCGTTCATACAAATATTTGTGATTCCGTGGAAAACTTCATTCTTTAGAAGCTCAAGGTTCCTACAACCGTTGTTAACAATAATCCAAGTTATGGAAGGATGGCTCCCTCACTTATTTTCATTGCATTAGAAGATGTGACATTTGGTTCCTATGTCACAGTGTAAAGTTCGAATAACAAACAAATTTAACAGAGGTCAAGAAAAGTATATATAGAATTTTGAAAATATTATTACCAGATGAAACGTGCGTTTGTAACGACCACAGTATTTAGTTCTTGGAATATTGTATTTCTTATCTTTTCTTTGTTCTTATGCGTTAAAAACATGCGTGCAAATGTAATATTTTCTGTTATTGCTATGGGGTACGCAAGATTAAACTAACATGAGAAAACTTTGTTTCCCCTGTATCAGAAAACAATAACAAAACAAATAAATTATCTAATCACTAAATTCACCGTGCGAGTGGAAGGCGCGTTCCTCCAAGAATGCAATATCAAAACAAATCGTCAATAAATATAAACGTTTTAGGTAATATCAAATCCCGAAACAAAAATAAAGACAGAAAATGACGCGTCCAGTTAAACCAAAAATGGAAATAACATTTTTAAGTGTTCTAATTTAAAGTTTAACATTTGGGTAATTTTTCCCCTCAAAAAATGCTGCACGTCGAGAGAAATGAAAATATTTCGGTCTCTTTAAGATCATAACAACAAAAAATGTAAACATTCGAAAAAGGAAAGGGGTGTTGCTGCAACTATTACATGCTAATTGACCATCTCCGGCTAACGTTGAAGATGGTGTATGCTTGGCTACATTATCTTCAGTTTCCTTATGTTTTCTCTACAATAAATTAGCTTACAAATTCGTAAAAAACAGGGTTCATAATATTTCCTAGAAAACTTATGTAAGTACTTGAAGACCAAGGGAGAAAATAACTGATTGGATTAGTGGTAACGTTTTGTCCTTCTAAGTAAGTGAAGACAGATTGAAACGAAAATCAAAAACTCAAAAAAAAGAATTAAATTGCATGTATATATCATTCTGCTTCCTTAATACAAGCTCCTATGATAGTCAGGATGTTCTTCATTATGAACCATAATTTTGTTCGGTCGATACATAGTAGACATGTTAGCTTCTTACGTTGTTGTGAATCGCATTTGTTTGCCCGGACCTCCTTAGGGTGATCCCTCACGATTTGGTGAAATATTCTGAGTAAATATCAAAACATAAAAGTATAAACAGTGATCGACTGTGGAATTCTAATAACAAAAAAAAAAGATAAATAAACAAGTTGATAAACTAGGATTGTTTTAATATTCTTTCAATAAATAGCTAATAGTATATATAAATATTGATAAATGTCTAAAATCATTTTCGAAGGTTATTGTTTTTGTTTTTGATTTTTTTTATACTCTCGTTCATTATCACTGTGTAAAGTAAATTAAAAGTTCGTAAATTAATTTCGTCCCAACTAGCAAAGTATCGAATGGTGTCAATATTTTCAACAATCAATGAGACCGTATATGGTCAGCAACAGCAACGACAACAAGGAAGTAGAAAAGGTAGTGTCGTGTCGATATCACAACCTATAAAAAAAAAGACATGCCTCGATGAAAGTCATTTCATTAATAATTACTCCCCTGTAAATGGACAATTAAAATTTTATATTGTTCAGAAATCTTATAAATCTCAGAATCCAAAACACTTAACCTTGAAACGTGGAACTTTGGTTCAATTAGTATCCAAAGAAAACGATGGTTTGTGTCTTGTACGATTAATAAGAGAAGTCGGTGCAGGGTTAGTACCTTTTGAAAGTCTCGAAGAATATTCTGTCCTTAATGGTTCTTTACCGGTGGCTCATAGATCAATATATAAACCAAATCAATTAATGGAATTAACACCACCAACTTCTCCATCAACTTTGAAATCATATGTGTTTTCGCCAGCATCAGTCTCTAGGGGTTCTTCTCTTTCTGTATCGTCATCAATAGCATCTACGCCTAAAGAGGAAGAGGAAGAAAATAAACGAAAAGTCAATTCCTGTGAAATAGTCTCGATATTTATGAAGGATAATAGGGTTCATTATACTATAAGGATTAAGTCGGCGTCCAATAAAGTAAAGAAAGAAGATCGTTATTATCATGATTTCTATACTTTACATGCATCTCTAATCATGGAAAACTCTAAAAGTCCGAAAATAAAACTTCCATGGCTTCCACCACCAGTTAGTTTTAAGAACAATGAGGTTGACAATGATACCATTACTGATAGAATTTCTTTATTTAATAATTATATGGTTGAATTGAAAAAAGCTGTATCATCTAATAAGGAGTATTCAAATCTAGAAGATATTATCCAGAAGTGGTTCATGGGTGATGAGGAGAAAACTGTTATCAAAGTTAAAGTTTTATTCAGAAAAGATTATTATGTCATGAAGTGTTCATACGGAGAAATATCATCTTATGAGAAGTTACAAAATTATCTTAAAAGAAAGATTGAATCATCCAATGGAAAACCCTCTGTTGTAAGTGATCTACATATTAAAACTAAAATTGATGGTTGGTATATAGTTAACCTATCCAGTGATGAAATTTACAACGAAATTCTTCCTGAGGTAAAGGAGACAAAGAAGTTGGTCCTGGAGGTCATTCTTCAATAATCTAGCAAATATTCAAAAAATTAGGAAAATAGGGTGTAATAACAAAGCTACAATAAATGTGCTTCAATCATTTAATTGTTGTAACAATAAAACAAAAATAAAAATAATGTCACTATATTTAAGTAACTGATAATGTGCTGCTGGAAGCGCCATATATTAATAAATAAATTCTTAAAATAATAATTAATTTCGAAATCATTCACAGTGAAACTGGTTCCTTCTAATATATATATAAGGTCTATAAACAAATATTTATTGCTTCTCAATAGCACTAAACAATGGTTGTAACATAGACGAATTAGAATATTCTAAACATGTAAGGTGACAAAAAAAATCAATCCTATTTTTGACCTTTTAGATCTATCTTTCTCGAGCTTTGATAAAGTGCAGATGCCAGTGCTTTCGACGACTTCGTATCAAGATACTTGAATTCGTTTACTTCCCCTTGATTCTTTACCTTTATGAAATCACCAAAGCCCTTCTTTCGGAGAAAGAAGTCAACTGCATTTACGCTTGGGAAATGAAATTCTTCCGTTAGAAAATCTAAGCCAATTTGGTTGTAACTACTACATATAGTGTTCAGAGACCGTAATATCTCCTTCTCAATGAAAGCATTTATCAAGTGTTTCCCCAGTGTCGTGATTGTATCGCAAATTTTCATAAAAACATGATAGTTTCCCTTTAGTTTTGCGTCCGCTAAACTAAAAGAGTTTTGAACCATCTTGCTCTTAAAAGTATTTGTGTTATCTTGTCTCAATTTCAACCGTAGTGCCATGATTGCACTATTATCATCGGTTAAAATATAATAAAGTATCAAATAACTGATAAATTCAGCAAAATTATTATTGGCATTTTTCAATGAGTTGTCCTCATATAATATAAGTAATCTACTTTGACATTGATTATATTCCCCCAGATCCCCATTTTCAAGAGCTAGTCTTGCGTGTGTTTCATACACCAATACAGTAAACTTATTTTCAATCATTTGTACTCTTAAATCCTGTCTAATAGCTTTAAATTGATCGCATAAGTATGTATATGTTACGGTATGCTTTTTATGTTTTTCTATAAGAAGAGCAAAAGCCTTTTGCAAAACTGCCAACGGTCTAACAAGCTCTGGGTTTGGTTCTGAAGTTAATCTTAAATAAGATTTTTCTATAGTTTGGCACGTCCCAATAATATGCTTATTTTTGTCATAAGCATGAGATTTAGTTGCGATTGCATTCAAGTTAGAAAAATCTTCCATATCATTGAGCGGATCGAACGAATTCTTACTCGGTACACGATTAAGTCCATTCCCCTGGTTTGCTGTCGACCCATTGGCATTATTTGTGTTAAACCTCTCAGCTCTTTTTCTTCGTCTTTCCTCACTATCAGATGTTCCCATACTATTTAGATCCCATTTATTGGAAGTTGACGCTACAGGGTCAGCATGTTGATATGGAAAAGATTTTCTCTTTTTGTTAGTATTACCTGATTGTTTCCCAATTGGGTTGTTACTCTTAAATGGATTTATGGTTTTTGGATTGGATGTATTCGAAGTTTTGTTGTTGTTATTGTTGCTGTTCTTCTTTTTACCCAGAGCAACTGGTTGCACATGGTTATATGATGTATCCATATTTATCAAATATATGTGTGTATGTAACTTCCCAGATCCCCTAGTTTGTTTTCTAGAGTTAAATTGTAATGTAACGTCTCAATATATATATATATATATTGGTTGTATGAAAATTTTCAATTATTTTCAATCCTGCTAAAAATAATTTATTCCTAGATAATTATTGTAAACAACGTGATATTACACCGAAGTTTATCAGTATCGTGTTTTTATTACGAAGATTCTATCTTTTCCACCCAATAAACAAGCCTTGTTAGTGTTTAATTCCAAATTAGTTAATCATTATGATATATTGAATGCATAGGTAATAAACACTTTTGAAGATGTCTTTCTTAAAAATTTAAGGCTCATCTTGTGTAAAAAAGAAACGCGTGAAATGCACGGGTCATTGCAATTTCGCAGTGTGGTGTACGGATCTCATCATTGAATTATATTGGAACCATTAAAAGACGCAAGTATTAAAGATCATAGAGTTGTAATAATCCCTACCTGCGTTGCAATAATCTATTGTGATGCAGCAATAACTATATCTAGATTATGTTTCTTCTTGAGTGGTAGTAATTTTAATAATGTTGAATGATCTTGCGTGGGATGGGATGCCCCAAAAAAAAAGGAACATGTATTCAAGGTAAACAAACGAAAAGGTTTTAGTCAATATCAGATAAACAAGTAGTTATAAACATACCAGCAATCTTGTATGTTATTCGTAAGGGGATTTGAGTGTCAGTATATATCATTATTTAGAGAATAGGTCAATACAATATTAAAAAAATGTCTATTGATGAGTCGAAATTAAGGGAGATACGGGAATTGGAAAGAAGGCATGTTGAAGTGTATTATCAATTGCTTCAAACATTAGACGAACTATATCTACTGAAACAAACGAAGCATGACATAAAATTTAATGATAGAGAAGTAGCTCTTCTGGAGCTTAGAAACCAGGCTCGTTTCTCAATGGATAAATCAGTTGCGTTGTTCAAGACCAATGAACGATTGAACAAAATGATAGCAAACAAACAAGATTTGAACGATGTACAGAGTGGTGAAGATAGATTTGCTATAAACTTGAAGAAAGAACTAGACAGAAGCACAGCGATTGATGCCAATGTAGAGAATATTCTAGAAGAAAATAGGAATCTGGTATCTACTTTACAAGATGAAACTGCTATTTACAATGACCTGACGAAAAAATTACAACAATATCGTCCTGGGAGTACCAACCAAACAACCAATACAGCGACAAAATTGGCAGCTTCTCGAAATATCACACTTGATGGCGACACAAAAGTAAGCAATGAAAATGAGGTTTTACAACAGTTGCTAATAGCGTTAAAAGTGCACACGAAAAGTGGCGTTAACCAATGGTAGTAATTGCACACACACGCACACATACGTATATATATATATATATTCACAACTTGAATGAAAGTACACCCAAACAGCATTAAATAAGACATAAACATGCATACTTATAGACGCCATTGCTATGGTGATCACAGAGGTATCGTCATTAATAGTAAAATCGTTAATGAATAAATTGTTAAGTAAGAGAATGGCTCACTGTAAGATTGATTTGCCCTAACAAACGGCGCAGTTTCTGCTAATTCTCTGGTCTCCTTTGCGCCAAAAGAAGAAAAAAAACGAAAAAAAACGAAAAACGAAAAACGAAAAATTTTCCAACCTCATCGATGAGGTTGGAAAATAATTAGTATATATATGGCGTTCTTAAAGGTTTAGAACTTGGTTTGTTCTTAATGACACAGCACGTCCCCTTTCCACGTCTGTTTAACTTTTGTATATAGTTTGCTTTTTTCTTGCTACTTCTTGAGGATATTGTATTATTATAAATATTTATCCGTTTGAATAGAGTTATTACAGCTTAAGATCTGTCACACTCAGTTTGAAAACTATCATTGAACCCAAATAAATAAACTTAATAAAGAATTAAAAAAGATGAAGTACGTCGTTGTATCAGGTGGTGTCATTTCAGGTATCGGTAAGGGTGTGTTGGCATCCTCTACAGGTATGCTTTTAAAGACCTTAGGTCTAAAGGTTACCTCTATCAAGATCGATCCATACATGAACATCGATGCTGGTACTATGTCTCCTTTGGAACACGGTGAATGTTTTGTCTTGAATGATGGTGGTGAGACCGATTTAGATTTAGGTAATTACGAACGTTATTTGAACGTTACTCTAACCAGAGACCATAACATTACTACTGGTAAGATTTACTCTCACGTTATCGCTAAGGAAAGAAAAGGTGATTATTTAGGTAAAACTGTCCAAATCGTTCCTCATTTGACTAATGCTATCCAAGAATGGATTGAACGTGTTTCTCGTATTCCTGTTGACGATACTGGTTTGGAACCAGATGTCTGTATCATTGAACTTGGTGGTACTGTCGGTGACATTGAAAGTGCTCCTTTCGTTGAAGCTTTGAGACAATTCCAATTCAAGGTTGGTAAGGAAAACTTCGCTTTGATTCACGTCTCTTTGGTTCCAGTTATTCACGGTGAACAGAAAACAAAGCCTACTCAAGCTGCAATTAAGGATTTAAGATCATTAGGTCTTGTTCCAGACATGATTGCATGTAGATGTTCCGAACAATTGGAACAATCCACTATTGATAAGATTGCTATGTTCTGTCATGTGGGTTCTGACCAAGTTGTTAATGTCCATGATGTTAACTCCACTTACCACGTTCCTTTACTATTGTTAGAACAAAAGATGATTGATTACTTGCACAACAGATTACATTTATGCGATATTACTTTGTCTGATGATGATAAGCAAAAGGGTAACGAATTACTAGCCAAGTGGAAGAAAACTACTGGTAACTTCGATGCTTCTATGGAAACCGTTAAGATTGCTTTAGTTGGTAAATACACAAACTTGAAGGATTCTTATCTCTCTGTCATTAAGGCTCTAGAACATTCCTCCATGAAATGTCGTCGTAAGTTGGATATTATGTGGGTTGACTCTACTGATTTGGAACCTGAAACTCAAGAGGTCGACAAGGCTAAATTCCATGAAGCTTGGAACAAAGTCAGTTCCGCTGATGGTATCTTAGTTCCAGGTGGTTTTGGTACTAGAGGTACCGAAGGTATGATTCATGCCGCTAGATGGGCTCGTGAAAATAAGATTCCATACTTAGGTGTCTGTTTGGGTCTACAAATTGCTACTATTGAATTTGTTCGTGATGTCATTGGTAAAACTGAAGCCAGTTCTACTGAATTTGTAGAAGGTTTAGATGAAGAAAACCAAGTTGTCATTTACATGCCAGAGATTGACAAAGCCACTATGGGTGGTAACATGAGACTGGGTCTAAGACCTACTTATTTCCAAGATAACAGTGAGTGGAGTAAGATTAGAAAACTATATGGCAGTCCAGCATCTGTTGAAGAAAGACATAGACATCGTTATGAGATCAACCCAGAGATTGTCGAAGAACTTGAAGAAAATGGTTTAGTCTTTGTTGGTAAGGATGAATCTAACAAGCGTTGTGAGATCTTTGAATTGAAGAACCATCCATTCTACGTTGCTACTCAATACCATCCAGAATATACATCCAAGGTTTTGGACCCATCCAAGCCATTCTTGGGTCTAGTTGCAGCTGCATCTGGTATTCTAGACGATGTCATCGATGGTAAGTACGACTTCCACACCGGATCTGAATCTACCGATTTCTAAGCTCTTCCTACATTCCAAAAATAAAAGAAAAGAAATATAGAGTGAATAAACTGTGGAATAATGATTGCTTGATTTATTAAAGTGTCTACTGCTTTAAAACTTCAAAAAAAAAATTAAAAATTTAAGAAATTTAATGGATTTTCCACATCACCTATTTGTCATCATATATATAGTAATCATATATCTTGATTCATATTTTTTATTGTTATATATGTATATTATTAGATAGTAGAGTCACTTAAATAGAACAAATAAAAACTAATGAATAAGATCATAATAATCTACCACGTCCTCTTCTTCTAGAGTTTTCATTAAATGAAGAATATGAGCTTACATATTTATATAAAGGGCAACTTCTCTCAAGCTTTCACGAACTTAATCATATTGAATACCTCAGCCACCTTATCTATAGTTACCTAATGTAACTAACTATCTTAAACAGAAACTACTATTTTTTTATTTTTAATAAAGTAAATTTATTGGAAATTTTATGTTTTTTAAGGTATTTGAAAATTTCAAAAATCTATTAAACACAGTGACAGAGTAAACAAAAAAATGAAAGTGATAAATATTCTTATTTTTAATTTTATTTAAATATAGATTTCATATATTACAAATACGAAAGAAGTATTAGTATATATTATAGAATTGTGTACTCAGTATTTGATACCACCCCCACTCAAAACACAATAGTGAAGTTATAGATATCTTTCCCGCGGTGATGCTCTTTGTCCTCACTGCTACAATTCTTTACTCCTACCAATAGATGAACAAAAAAACTCAACATCTAGTTGATTCAAAAATGTAATCATAGTCGTTTTTTACCTTTCTTGCTATTATCTATATTATTATCAATACCAAAATCTGATGGGAAAGGAGCTAATATTAAATATAGAGTACTAGTCACTATTAAACCAGTAAATAACCACATTAAAATATCACCTGGCTTTCTAAAAAATCTATGAAAAAATTCAATTACGACGTTATCCTTAAAGAAACCCATAGTAAAACAATATAACTCCCTTTGTAACTTGAATATATATATATATCTATTTTCAAGGATTAGAAGTCGTAGCGCAAACGAAACAACAAAATCAAAACCAGTTTATGTCAGACAACCTGAATAAACTATTAAAAAGCTTTGTAATGTAAGACAGTGTATAACGAGATTCTAAAGTTTCTTAAACAAGCTCACATTCCCTCTTAACCAATATATTTCCCATCGACCAACATCAAACTACTGAAAAGTCCGACCTTTCTTACCATTTCAGCAATAATCTAAATTCTGTTAAAGACAGGGTAACTAAACAGCATTTCATTTCATTTCTTCTGCGCGCGTTCTTACTGTGGTTACTGTTGTCAAGGTGACTGATAATTACGATTACATAATATTATCATCATCAACACGCTACAAACTTATAGCAATTATCGATGATAGCTATAAGTTTTTTCAAAATATAACCATTCTAACAGCCACAACCAGTAGTAATATATATATATGCAACTACATAGCGTAAATAGCAGTAAATAACAATCAAATTAAACAAAAAACTGGGGGATTACCCTCACAATCACACCAAAATTTTAATTTTTGGGTCTCCCAACGACTCCCTGCGCCATTTTTCTGTCTTTAAACAGCGGAATTCTTCAATATTCAAATAGAAAAGAGACGAAACGAAAAAAATCAAATGGCGGGGATTTTGAAATATTTTGTCAATATTATTGTAACAGACAGCTTGTCATTTATTGAAATGCAAATTCACATAGGCATACATCTTAAATGAAAATACTAAAAAATTAAAATTGGTAAGAGATATTATTTAATCTCGTGATTTGTTAACCTTGGTTCGTTCCTACATATATATTATCATCTAGTCTTCCAATTCTACTCTACTATACGGTACCATTGTTGCTATTTTAATTGAAATACAACCTTATACATTAATCCTTTTAATCCACGCAACAACATATCGTTTTCATATTATCACTATTAAAGGGGATCCCAAAATAAATAAATAAAATAAAAACAAAAATAAAAGATGAATATTTTCAGAATCTTAGGTGATTTGTCTCATTTGGCAAGTATATTGATCCTTATCTACACTATTCGGAGTACTCATGTGATTGAAGGTATTTCTTTCAAGACTCAAACTTTATATGCTTTGGTTTTCATAACTCGTTATGTAGATCTATTGACTTTCAACTATATTTCCTTCTACAACACTATAATGAAGATTTTCTTCATTGTATCCTCGGCGTACATTGTGGTATTATTACAAAGTTACCAAAAGAGTAATTCAATTGCTTATAAAGAAATGATTCTCGCTGATAACTTTAAGATTCAATATATATTAGCTGCTAGTTTTGCATTATCTCTAGTATTGAACTATAAGTTTTCAGTCATTGAAATTCTTTGGAGTTTCTCTCTATGGTTGGAAAGTTTTGCCATCTTGCCTCAATTGTTCATGTTATCAAAGAGTGGGAAATCTAAAAGTTTAACCATTCACTACATTTTTGCTTTAGGTCTATACAGAGCTTTATATATTCCAAATTGGGCTTGGAGATATTATGCAGAAGAAAAAGTTCAAAGTATTGCTTTGCTTGCTGGGATTATTCAAACATTAATTTATTCTGATTTCTTTTACATTTATTATAAGAAAGTCATTAGAGGTAATAAAAGTGATTTACCACATTATGTCTAAGCAAACAGAAATAAAAAAATATGATAAAGAAGAAGATTGGTTTCATCCTTACATATACACACACACATACACACTCACATAGATACATACATTCATATGTAAGCATTACACTTTTGTGATATCCCCTACACCTTACATATAGATATCGAAAAGCCAAGAAAAAAATAAATAATAAAAATACTTAAATATAGTTCATAATTACAAAAAAAATATTGGACCTTATTATACTTTTAAATCAACATATATATATATAAGTAGGATTATAACGTTTTCAATCTCTCTTCAAGTCGAAATATTCCTTCCTTACACCATCTTTTGTCACAATTAAAATCTCTAACCCATCACCTACATGTATATGTCTCTCGGTAGCTGATGTGAATGCATCTCTAACTAATCTAATAACTTCTTCGACAGTTAAAAATTTAATATGTCTCTTTTCTTTCCCATCTGTTCCTGGAACATATTGATTCTTAAAATTGACTTGATTATCCAAAAATGGCATAATTAACGAGGCTGCAGCACCACCTGCTCTACACTGTTCTCTTTCGTACGAACCAACTGGGTCAAATGAATATACTGTACCTTTCCCATCTTGATCTAAACCAGCAATAATAGTATGCACATAGTAAGGGAAAAATCTCTTCCCATATAATAGTTGTTGAATGTTTCTAGCAGCAGCGCTCATTGATAAAGTCTTTTCATTATTATCAAAATGGTACCATTTGAGACTGTTCTTAAATCTTTTCAATAGAGCTTCACCATCCGCGGCAAACCCATTGGCTGACATTACAATATTATCTCCTACGTCGAACACTTTTGGTTCATAACGTGAATTGATACTGTAGTCAGTAGTATGTCTAGTGTCACCTGCTAAGACTGCAAAATCTTCACCTGCAATACCTAAAATAGTACCACCATTATCTGAATAAGGATTAAAGCTGTGTTCAATTGGCGTGCTTTGCACTTCTGATGAGTATTCTGAAGCCACTGTATTCATTATTGAGAGCTTGTTATATATATAGATACCTTCACTTACGTATGTTTATTATTAATATGGTGAATGATTCTTCTCTTTTATAATATAATCAACCCACTTGAAAAGGGATTCCCTTCGCTCCTCCCATCATAAAGAGTGTTAACATTTCATTTTGCCACCCTTTGAGATTTTGAAACTTCGTGAAAGGCAGCGGCCGGTTCTCTATGAAAGGTTGTCACCATAATAAAATATAGATATACTTTCGTATCAAGTGATAAATATTTATATCTACAAATAAGGACTCTCTAACGACATAGTCACACAGTGACAGTAAATCTGTTTCTCATCGTGTAACCATATTCATTACTAGTCGCGATAGGTTATATAAAGATTCATTCCTTTTACATTTTCAAAGAATAAATTCAGTTTTCCTCGATGCATTAGATGAGGTGTAACACAGTACACAAATATATAACCTTTATCCATTTACTTTTATTATAAATTTATGATAATAGGAGTACTGCAACTTTAACTCCCAAAAACATTTGTCTTACAAATCGCTATGAAGGGAGAAGAATTTGTAAGAGCAACATATTGTTTTTTCCCCAGTTACTAATATTTTGATACTGTTTTTTTTATTTCAACTACCAGACAGTTTAATAGTTCAATATTACTTCGTAAACATTTATATATAATTCCAAAATATGTTTTATGGTGTAAAGAATAGTGTATTTAGAGGCGTTACGTTCACCTTACAAATATTAGGTTTTTGAAAGAGTTGTAAAAATAAAAAACAAATGATAATATCTAATACTTCTGGGTTGTCTCTAATGGAAGAACAGGAACATTATTGCAGAGATTAATTGGTACTTTCAAACAAAATAACTGACCGTAGGATAGTCATGAATGCAATGAATGAAATAATAAGTACCCTGAACTTCAAGGAAATATTTAGTATTCCAGAAATCCCTGCCTGTGACGAATAGAAGGAACTTTATTCAAAGGAAGAGAACTGTCAATATAGTTATTACTGCAGATATGTACTCCATCTTTGGTTAACAGCTAGCTAATCTAAGATTAACTGCTTCAATAATTTTAAATATTGAAGATAAAATTGTTGAAGGATTTCCTTTATTAGTTTACAATGACGTTTCTTAGATGTATCTAATAGATTTAGAATCCTTAGAAGTTACACCATCCAACTATATTAACAAGTTGGACCGAAAGAATAGTTTCCAGAAACCGATTAACCATATTTCTTCCATACAATTTAATCTTTTAGAAATGATAATAAACGATTATATCATGCACTTGAATATTTTGACAATGATACCCATAAATTTCTAGTAACAAACTCACTAGATATGAAATGAAGAATAATGTATCATATTGTCCAAATGTTTCCGAAGGTTTACATATTTCCTGGTAGCCAATCCTTTCATCTAACCTGTCAATATACTTGGCAAATATTTACTTTAAGAAATACTCTAAGTTCATTATTTGCTGGCAGAAATTTTGTTATGAGCAAGTAATCGAAGTTTGGCATCATCAATCTTCCCTTAATCATTTTTTAAATGAGAGGAAGAGACACATTTGGGGTCAGATATACCCGAATTAACAAGGAAAACTATATTTTCAGTAATATAAATACTAGCTGCTTTTTCTCCTTTTAGGTAATGTTCATGCTCCTTATTATACCTTGGGACTTCGAGGATATCGATTCTTTGAAAGTGGAGAAGTGTCGAACCTTTAAAAAAAATGGTCGTGGCTAACAATGAATTTACTTAGAAGCTGGGAACCTATTTACTGTGACCATGTGGTTACATGGTGCGTATTTGTAGATATGAATATATACAGAAAGTAGAACATCATTCATTACCTTTTCCCCTGGACGGTGTCACTCAGATTGCCGAATTGAGGGAAAGTAGAGAAGCCAAGAAATGAATAAATAGATAGAGAGGTGAATACTTGGTGTGAACGATGTAATATATCATTTAATGAAGTCAGTCACTCTTTATACTACTATGGAATAATACTCGAATGCATTAATAAATGGTAGCGCTGGTGCTATGCCTTGTTCAAGAGAGGTGATCATCAGCTATATCCGTAGTACCATATGTATATATATATACATATCACAAACTTACACTTTACTTTGTGAAAGATGGGGTTAAGCCACGGAACATTTGGAATATTGAAGATTACGGTTATAAGTAAAAATTGACATACCCCTAATTCTTTTTCCTAATATTTTGATAATTCTTAGTAGGTCTAGATCTATATTTGTAGAGAGGGAAGTTCCAACAACCTAGCCTAATCTCAAGTAATGAATATAATTGTAAACCATACCTATAAATTGTTATTTCTGAAGGTTATAAATAAATGAATAATAATAATAAGTATAACAATAATTTAAAAAAAACATAAGAACAGAATATAATTTTAACTTGAAGGAAGAATATAAATAAATATAAATAAATATAAATGCATAAATAAAAAAGATGACTAAAGGAACGACGACAGGAATATATATATATGATGATGATGATGATGATGATGATGATGATGATGATGATGATGATAATGCGAAAGTAAATGAAAACTCCTTGATTATAAGGGAACGTTCTCAAATGTATGATGTAATAATGATTATGCAGAGACTTGTTGTTTATCTAAATGCATAGAGGCGTATTCTTTATGACTTACACTTGGCATTAAAGATAAGTCTTCAATTTTACAATGACGTGGAACGTTATCGATTTGTTCACCGAAATCGTATTCATATTCAAAATCCGAATCTGAATCCGATTCAGAGACAGAATCCCAATCTGAATCAGAGTCCGAGTCCGATTCAGAATTAGAGTCTGAGTCCGAGTCAGATACGTAGACTTGTTCGATATGTTGATGTTGTTTTTGTAATTCTTGTTGTTGTTGATCACGTAAGTATTGTTCTTTAATTAAGTTATTATTTAATACAATATTAGATGATAATTTATCGTATAAATTAGCATGAGCTACTAATTTTCTTAAATCGTACTGCTTACTTTGTGATTCCATATTAACGCAAGTAACCAATTTGTTTCTTGCTAAATTCATTAATTGGTGTTGTTGTTGTAAATTATTTTGAGATAGCATTGTGTGTGTGTGTGTGTGTGTGTGTAGAGTGTGATGTTCTTATATGAATGTAAAGAATATTATATTTTATATGGATAAGGTGTGTGTGTGTGTATGTATGTTTCAAATCAAAACAGATAAAATGTGTCGAATATTTATATAAAATATGAAGTATAATAAAAAGAAAAAGAAAAAGAAAAAGAATAAATTCTAAGATCTATCCATTGAAGATAATCATACCATTATTCTCGACATCTCCTTATATATACAAGGAGATCAAATGACTTATCATAAATTAAAAAAGAAAGAACTCAGAAACAGCCAACCAAGTTACAATAAATTACAATTGTCTTACCTTGAACTAATGTAAAAAGAAAATATTTCACTTGAAACCGCTAAGCTGAAAACTGATTTACTTTCATCCGACAAGATAAATTTCTACCCTGGATGACTTATTTTCCATGTAATGTAATGCAATGTATGTGTATTTATCAACCGACGAATCCGAGAATGCATTACTATCATCAATATCATCAATATCATCAATATCATCACCATTTCACAGCAAAAATCCCGAAGTTCTTCTCGACTGAAAGAAACCCGCCGCTCTCATACTATTAACAGTAATAGTAGTTGGCTGTTGTTATTGCGTGGGGTGATAATTAGTACTGCAAAATTATAATACCGAGGCCGGTTAGAAAGAGAGACCCTTTCTTGCCGTTCGCTTCTCTCGCTTCTCTCGGTCCCTTACTTAATCCTTCCTCTACAAATCACGCATGCACACAAAAAAAAGGAGCGAGGGGAAGGGGGCAGCCGGCCATCGGTCTTTGATGTGATTGGCTCTGTGACGGATATCCATTGCAAAATCAGCTGAAATCGAATGAGATTTGTCAGTAATCAGCGAAAAATGAAACAGCCACTTTCTTCTTTGTACGGGCATTGATCTGCAAATGCACATAAGTACAGAAAAGCAGATATTACTCAGAAGCAGAGTGAGCGAGCGACGATGATATACCATGAAATATAGATAGCCGCACCATCTGTCCGTTCATCCGTTCATCCGTTTATCCTTTTTTTCTTTTATCGTTTCGATTTTAATCGGTATAACGGATCGCATATCCACACCCCACACCACACACACCCATACTTACATACTTACATACTCACCCTGCCTTTGTTTTTCCGTCATACGCAAAAGTCACACGAGAGGAACCTGATGTCACCTTTGCTACTACTACTACTACTCTATTGACATATTTCTTTTAATTTATTAGTACTGCGAAATAATATTATATACTACATGTAGATGGCGGGGTTGAATAGAAGGGAAATGAATACAGCTTAGTGTGGGATTTTATTAAATATATGTATATACATATACATATGGATCTTTCTTTGTTAGTTACTACGTTTGGGTTAATTGAAATCTACACATATACTTACGATGTGATATTGCTCAAAGAAATGTAGATATAACCACCCTCATTTCTCGATAATCATAACAATATATATATATATATATACGGAAAGAAGGTGTAGGTGGGCTTGTTTTTCTGTTATGTATTGAAGTATACTACTACTACCAAAGTTAGTATCTATTCTTGTCGGTAGTCATCACATCATTCAGCCAGTTGTAATCTGTCTGACAGTATATATAGTTGTGTGCATCGTTCATAGTGATGGATGTTCAGCCTGTCACGTGAGCACAACCCACACACCCGGTCCAATCAGATGGAAGAATGCAGCATGGGCGTGTGTGTCGAATGTCACACGGTACGAGCCCGTCTTTCTTCATTATTTTTTTCGTTCTGTTCTCCCTCCCTCCCCCCATTCCTTCAGCCAACATGAACAGGGGCAGAGAGAAAAATTATTTGTATGGGCAGGGAGCGAGCGAGCGCACGTAGTGTGGACTTCTCGGTCTTACTGGGAATAGCCAATGGGATCCCAGAAATTAATTAATTAAATTAACAAGGGAGAGTGAAGCCAAAAAACATATACAGTCAGTTACATTGAATAATTAAATAATATTATAGTTAGTGAAATTACTTACATTTTACTTTTATTTTACTTTTTCATATATATATATATTATAGTGTTTAGGTTTATACTTAAGATATAAACAGTTATAACTTGGACAAACATACATACATACACACACACACACACACACACATACATAACAATGCTTAGATCAACTACATCCAATTTGATGTCTAGAAGATCTCTAGCTACCGTGGCTAAGACCCTGCCTAAGATTGAAGTCACTGAACTATCTAACGGTATTACTGTCGCATCTGAATATAACCCTGATGCAAAGACTAGCTCTATCGGTTTAGTATATGCAGCAGGTTCAAGTGCAGAAAATCTTTATAATAATGGTGTCTCTAATTTATGGACTAATTACTTCACCCATTCCGGTATACAACAAGAAGCAGCCAAAAAGGGGTTCTCTTTGTCGTCAAAAGTTAATAGAGAATCGCAATCCTTTACTGTTAATACTCTATCGGGGAATACACAACAAGCTTTAAATTTCTTACAGAGTCAATTTGTCTCTAAATTATCAGGCTCTTTAGGAAGCGCTGCTTCTACAAATATCTTCAGCACTGTAAAGAAGGATACTTTGAAACAAATAACCGAGTTTGAAGAGAATAATCATTCGGGTCTTGTCTTGGAACATTTACATTCTACTGCGTTCCAAAATACTCCTCTGGCTCTACCCACTAGAGGTACTGTGGAGACTGTGGAGACTTTGATCCCTGAAGATTTGGAAACTTTTGCTAACGAATTCTTCCATTCAAAGAATACTACCATTGTCGCTACAGGTAATACTCCACATGATGAACTGGTTAAAGCTATCGACTCTGAATTATCACTAAACACTAAGTCTATCTCCACACCAATCGCTAAGTCATCCTTCTTAGGTTCTGAAGTTAGATTAAGAGATGATACTTTACCAAAGGCTTGGATATCTTTGGCTGTAGAAGGTGAAAGTAGTAAATCTCCAAATTATCTGGTAGCTAATGTTGCTGCTAACATCTTTGGCTCGTATGTTGCCAATGAACCACGTTCAAGACTACAAGGGATCAAATTGCTAGATAACATCCAAGAATACCGTTTGTGTGACTCGTTCAACCATTTCTCCTACTCTTATAAAGATACTGGTCTATGGGGGTTCTCTACTGAGATCGGTAATGTCGGTGGGATTGACGATATGATCCATTTCACTTTGAAACAATGGAATAGATTGACCATCTCCATCACAGAAACCGAATTGGAAAGAGGTAAAGCTCTATTGAAATTGAAATTGGGACAAGCTAATAGCTTGCGTACTAGAGACGCCTCTTTACTAGGTAATGAATTGATTGAAAACGGCGGATTATACTTGAACACCGCCGAAGTCTTTAAGAAGATCGATTCTATCACTACTAAGGATATTAAGAACTGGGCAGGTAGCCGTGTTTGGGATCAAGATATCGCTATCTCTGGTACTGGTCAAATCGAAGATTTGTTAGACTATATGAGAATGAGAAATGATATGTCTATGTTGAGATGGTAATCTGAAACATCATGAGAAAAACAACATAGTTTTGATACACCTTTTTTTCTCTCTCTCTAAAATTTACCATTCAATTACTCATTTTACTATTCTTATTTCATGTACAACAATATTACAAACTATTACAACTTTCCTTCCCCCCCTTCTCTTTTAAGTATACATAAATATTCATATTATCTGTCTGTATTTATTTATTTATTTAATAATTAAAATAAAAATAAAAATAATAATAAAAACAACACGTACATACAGTCATATTATCTCGTCTTATTCCCCAAAGGACTAGTCTCATTAATATCAGTGATCGCTCTCATCTTTTCCTTATTATTCACTGCAACAATAGCTTCATCACATGGTGAATATAACACAGAGTTCCCCATCATCATAGTACTGGCAACATTGGTGGTAACCACAGTCTTCTTATCCAGTGTTGAATCGACGACACCCTTAAGTTTGGAATCCCCAGGTATATTCGTGGACCTAGTAGTACTTGGATCCATTATGTTAACAGGCTTGTTCTCTAATGTATTTGTTACAACAGGTGATTCTATTACTAAAGTTCCATCGTCTTGTTTATATTTCTTGGGAGTCGTAAGTTCATTATTATTTATTTGTGAATTGTCACTGTAATCAAATATATCTAATTCCATAGGTTTCCTCTTTCGTGGAGTCTTTGAATTTTGAACAGATATTTCTCCCTGCGGCACACCCTTTTCTTCCAGATCCTCATCCTCCTCTTCCTCTTCATCACTGGGACTCTCTGATGCATTTTCATTATAATCCTCGTCATCTACATCGTCACTATCTACTTCTTGGTCAGTAATATTAACATTCTCAATATTTTCATTCCCACTTTCAATATCACCATCATCTTCATAGTATTCCTCCACTATCACGTTTGAACCTGGGTGGTCACCCATCAAGATATCGTTGTCATCCAGTGATCCTTGTTGTTCTATATCCTCATCATCCTCATCCTCATCATCTTCACCTTCGTCGTATCCAAAATTTACACTCATGATATTATCAATGTCTTTCAAGAATTGAGGGAAGTCAGGATCCGGCTTCACTTCATCAAGCCAAGGAATCTTCACCAACGAGACGTCATCATCGTTACCCTCAACGTTTTCATCAACATCAGTTGGACCGAGACAAGTCTTTTGATTCTTCTCTATATTCTTAACTTCGGGATCTGTATCATCCTTGGTGTCTAATGGTGACGTCACTACACAACATTTCTCTAACGCATTAACAAATTTTGTCAATTCATTAATCTTAAAATATTTGAAAGGATCGTAACAAAGTTGACAGATCCTTAGAATCGTGAATGGGAAAAGGTTCATTTTCACAAAATTCTCTGTCATCCATTGATTAATCGTTTCCAGTCGTTGTTGATCATTAGCGCTGTTCTTCAAGAATAATTCATTCGGTATTGTAATAAGTAAATGTTCTAACAGTAGAGGTAGTAATTCATGTGGGGTAATATCGCAGAAATTCTTGACCGCATCTGTTTTACAAGTAGAAAGGGTCTGTAAGAAATCATATAGTTTTTCAGATTTGATGCCGTTCATATTATTTGAGATATTATCGTCATCCGTTAGTCTCAGATCTTCGTCCTTCATCAAAACTTCAGTCATTTATTAATAGTATGTTATTAGCGGGTCGTTGTACTCACACACAGAATTAAATATGGTATGTTCGAATTAACTTCTTTAACTGATATCACCCTAAGATCTAATAACCTTTTCTTTTTACTCTTTAACTTTATAATGAAAGGTAATATTTTCTTTTTCTTTTTAACTTTTCATTTTTTCGTATTTGTTTACATAATTTAATTAATTTCCATTAATTGGCGTTTTTTAAAAAGAGGTAGTTTAGTCTAAGAGACATATCAACAAGTATATCTATATATGTATGTATCTGTATATATATATACTTTTTAGAATCCACAATTAGATGTATTCCATATTCCTATCCTTTAAATTAAGTTTCCGTTATATACGCTATATATATTCCAAGACCACTACCTGAAGCATTGCACAATATATCTAATAGATCAAAGGTCCGAGCACCACGAGTCAATATACTTTGCATGAACTCACTACCAATGGCCACCAGTAAAGTACATACAACGACTCCCAAAATATATTTGTCTACTTGAATTATATCACTTGTTTCGCCAATTGAACCTACATTGTTCCCTAGCTCAATATCCATCGGTTGAGCTAAGGGATTATAATAATAACCCCACAGCTGTAGATTATTATAACCGATAGGTAATCTTACCTTTCTATGTGCAAACATCTTCACAAAGAGCCACGATTCCAACGTGAATACAACGAAATGGGCCATCTTGTCATGTGTAGCTGTTATAGCCTTAAATTTTTCATTGCTTGTAAGGCCTAAGGTATAGACAACATAGCGAGACCAGAGCAAACGTCATTGCATACCTTCTACGTAACTCCATCACACCAGCAAGCAAATATATACCCAATATGTGCCCTGTGATCAATACTGGATACCACAACACATATAGCAACCTACGACCTTCTTCTTATATAGAATAGAAACTGGATAATTTCTATAAATTGAAAACTATACTGCCAAGAAGCCAAAAAAAGCAATTTGAGGTGTGGGAACACAAGCCCTAGGGTTTATATGTTAAACCCTAGGGCTTGCTTTTGATTTTCGCTGAAAGAAAAAAAATTGAAATATTTTGAAGGGGCAGAAGCAAAGTGCCTCTCTTCAGCTCAAATTGTAAACGTCATACACATGTGTTTTCTGTTCAATGGTGAATATAGTAGGTTGAAATAAGGCTAAATTATGAACAATTAGATATTTAAGATAACACCAGAAGTGTACTAAATTACAGCTTTCTAATAAATATTAACTTACTGTTACTAAAAATAAGTACATTGCATATAAGACCACAATAATGTCTGATCCTATAGAACTATTACATAGAGCAGAGAAGAAAGGTGTTCCATCATCGGGGTTTATGAAGATATTTGGAGGTTCTGATTCATATAAATTGGAAGAAGCTGCTGATCTCTGCATTCAAGCAGCCAATTTATACAAATTACGTAAAGAATTGAAACTAGCAGGTGATGCATTTGTGAAGGCAGCCGTGTTCCAAATCAAAGCTGGTAATGACGATGAAGCTTCCAATATTTACACCGATGCATACAAATCATACAAGAGTAGTGGAGATGCTACAGAAGCGACAGATGCTTTAGTGTGTGCTGTTGATTTGTTTACTAAGAAAGGTCAATTCAGAAGAGCTGCAAATTTTAAATTTGAATTGGGTGAAATGTATGAACAGGATTTGAATGATTATAAGAAAGCAATTGATAGCTTTGAGACTGCCGCCGAATGGTACTCTCAAGATCAGGCTATTGCATTAGCTAACAAATGTTGGGTTAGATGTGCTGATTTGAAAGCAATGGATAATCAATATATTGAGGCTAGTAATGTTTTTGCCAAATTAATTAAAAATAGTATTGGTAACAGATTAAGCCAGTGGTCCCTAAAGGAATACTTTCTGAAGAAAGGTCTATGTGAACTTGCTGCAACAGATGCTGTCGCCGCTGAAAGAACATTAAAGGAAGGACAACATGAAGATCCAAATTTCGTGGACTCTAGAGAGGCCATATTATTACAAAATTTAATCGAATGTACTAACGAAAATGACGCTGAAAGATTAGGACAATGTGTGTTTGATTTTGATAAATTTAATAAGTTAGATAAATGGAAGACTACTATTCTTCTGAAGGTAAAAGAAAATATAACGGAAGCTGAAGATGACTTGTTGTAAGATAGCTTTATGTCTTTTTTATACATATTTGTTAATAATGAGTATCAATATTTTTTGTATACATGAACATACACATACATACATAAATTTGTATACAGACCTCGTCGTATGTTAATTGAAATAATTTATAAATTATATAATGTTTTCGTTATCGTTTTCGTTTCGATTTTGCTTTTGCTTTTTTGCTTTTCGACGTAACAAATATGAACATATTCCAAAGGACGTCACAAATACCTTTTATAATAAATTATTAAACCTTCAAAATACATTTGTAGCAAAATCATTCTGAACATTAGCTACAAAAAAGAATCAAACAATAGTGAAAGTTCATGATGGGTTGGAATTATATTTATAACTTAACTTTTCTCTTTTTTATATTGTATCTCCTATAATTATAACAAACAAAATTAAATTCTTTGAGATTATTATAATTTTTATCTCTTTTTTATGTCAAAACCATAGTATTCATAGAACCCTCACTCAGAATTTTGATGTTCAAATAGAAAAGAATAAAATAATGTTTTGTTAATTTAGATAATAATATACCTTTTCTCCTAAACTGACAATATTTATTTTTACCATCAATGATGTAACTTTCAAGAGAATCCAATAGTTTAAAAAACTTCAATTTAAAATCCTAATGATTACAGTTTCCATTCAATAGCACAGTTTATTATAAATTTAATATCTATCTATCAACTCTATATAAATTAATAATTTAATTTTATAATTTATGATAACTATTTCAATATCTATAACTTCACCACATCGGTTTTCCAATGGACACCGCACCATACAGATATCATTAATGAGTAATTTCTTACTACCTCAATAAAATCACAGTCCCATCCAAGATTTAACGCACCTCTTAAGTGCCCACGTAGTTGTGAGTTTACATCTAATGGAATTAGTGCACATATGACTACTAAACTGGTTAAACTTGCATCGATTATTTCGCCATATGACAACACATCGCTGTATACATCCTTTATAATAAATTGCCACAGATCTGGATAGAAATCATTCAAATCATTTATAATCCTCATTGAGACTTTACCATATGTTTTGTTCCAATGCTCGAGACCTCTTTGCAAATTATGTGATTCATCTTTTCTGTTAACTGTTTTACTGATAAAGGTATTCTCAGGAAGTAACTCACATTTCTCATTCAATAATGATTTCGGAGTGGTTGTATACAATGATCTAAGTCCGTTTATAGCTCTAGGTATACCAACCAATGCACTTTCTTTAAGGATAACTTCCTTGACTTCAGAATTAAATTTAATTTGAGCATTGTTCACATCAGCAAATGTTACGTCCAACTCATCGTGATGAAGTAAAATTGTTTCAGTCTTTAGAAGTATATCTTGTGTAGACTTTTCTTTATTAGCTTCTTGTAACTGTAATAGTCTTGTAATATATATTTTTGGTATTAGTTCTGGAAAATTACAGGAAACTACTGTTGCAATTGCCAGATGAGCCCAATAAGGGTCCAGTTTATTATTAAACTCAATTAAGTTGATTAGACGTTCATTAGTTATTGGCATTTTGGGATATAAAGTTATTTGATTTTATGTTAATCTTGTTTTAGTTTCTCAAGTTTGAGGTTTAAAACTCTCTTATGAATTTCATTACTATTTTATTTTGTTTTTCAAGGGTGCACTTATATATCTATATTATATATGTCTACACTCGACTTACACACGAGGATTCACATGCAAGCATATGCATTACTAATAGAAACAGTTTATAATTTGTACAAATATTAAATATACATATTTATTTTTTTCATTAATTTTTTTAGTTCGACAACATTATCTTTATGTTGATCTTTTAAGAGTTTGTGATAAAAGTAGACGCTAAATAGCAACATGTGTCATTCAATAAACTGTGCAATTCAAGTGCCTTTACTATTCTTTTCTTTTCTTTTCACATGTAACTTCATTCAGGCGTTGTCCAGTAGGTAGTTTGTAGCTGTGTCTAAATCCCAGTTACATTTTTCTAAAGCCTTAGTAGCTTCAGCTTCACTGAAACCCATACCACTCAACTCTTCAATAGCCAGAGCTTTTGGAGTTGTAGCAATCATACGGTCGACCCTGTTATTGGAAGGTGGCATAGAATTCCTATCAGGAGTAGGTTGCTGTAGAGCGTTGTGAATTGGTGGCTGTAATTGTCCTTGTGATTGGGGAGCAGGTTGTTTCCCATTCCCAAACCCAGCAAATATCTCATCCCATTCATCGTTACTAACATTACTTGGTTGTTCCTGTTCTGGTATTTGCTGCTGTTGTTCTGATACAACTGATTCTGAAGCTGGGAAGTCGTTACTTTGTAATTTATCTCTCACATCACTCTGACTGGCATCCTTAAATGGTTCCATTGCCTCAGCAGCTGTGTAACCGGCATTTGAATTATCATTATCGGAATCACTTTCTTCTTCGACGTCAGCTTGTTCTAAGCCTGCAAATTCATCATCAAATTCATCCTTTGGCTCGGTAACTGGGCTAGAAACATTTTGCATGCTTGGAGTAATGACATCCTTAGTATCTTCAAATTGTTCATCATCGTCATCATCTGATGAATCACTTTCCTCAATTTCCAATTCCCTAATTGGTGGGAATTCTTCATCGATGGCGTTGGAAGCCACACCACCTGGAACATTAACTTGGTCTACAGCTTCTTCAAAGTGCTTGTCGACATTTTCTGCCACTAAAGAGTGTTGGATAGAACTTTCAGATTCAGCCCCACTCAAGTTGGAGTCCTTATCTGTATCATTGTCCTTCTGAGGAATATCGGTGGTCTTCACTTGTTCACCTGTTATGGTACCAGCAGATGGTAAAGCCGGAGTTCCTGAGATACGAGAATCTAAAGTGTCAACGATTTCTGCATCACCTCTAACAGATTGTGGTGCATTATTAGCCACTGAAGATGTCAATGACTCAGTTCTTGGGATACCATATTCGTTCAAGTCACCTTCGAATCTATCAGAGAGAGGCTGATTAGCATCTGGGGCAGCTTGAGTTTCACCTTGTTCACTTTGTGAAGCTAGAGTTGGGACATCCTTATCAAATACTTCACTTCCACTTCTTTCGGTTCTTGAAGCGTCTTCATCTTCTTGAGATACTGGAGTTTCAACCTGTTTGTTCATCTTATTCTTTTCAACAATGTCCTTGGTATCTTCTGGCATTTTACCCATGGCTAAGTTCATTTGTCTTTCAGCTAGGTCCTGAACGTTATTAGCATATTCCATATGTTGTGCTTTCAAATCCTGGTCAGCTTTGTCGAATGATTCCTTTCTTTGAGACAAATCTGTAAACATTGTTTGTAGACGAGCCACTTGGTCGTTGTAAATCTTCTCTTGCTCTTCAATTTGTTGGGTGTGATCCTTCAATTGTATATCTCTTTGATTCAAATCGGTTTCCTTGTCAGTCATTTCATTGTATCTTGTCTCTAATTGGGTATGTTTCTCTTGAATAGTCTTTTCGTAATCTTCTAGTTCTTGTTTCTTGGTCAAATATGTAGCCAATTTTTCTTCTAGACCTGAAATCTCAACGGTGAAATTAGCCACAGTAATTTGACTTAATTCTAATTGTTTTGAATTGACATCAACCATAGATCTTTGTTGTTTCACTTGTTGTTGTTTTTCGTCCAATTGAGTTTGTAAAGCACTTGACTGAATATTTAAATTCTTAATGTTTTCTTTGAAATTACTATTTTCTTCTTGTACTTTTTGGAACTCTTCATTACTTTCATTCAATTTAGTTTCAATTGCATGATAGTTAGCTTCCACAACAGCCAATTGTTGTTTCAATTGATCATTTTCACCGTTGACTGCAACCAAAGAACGTTGCAAATCTTCAGTTTGCTTGACATTTTGTTCATGAGTGGTTCTTAATGTTGTTAATTTAACATTCAAGGAATTCTTCATATCTGTCAAACGAGATAATTCTTGACCAGCTTTAATCTTCTTATCATTGGTAATTGTAGCTTGCTTGGACAATGAATTCATTTGATTTGATAAATTGGCTAAATCTGTAGTAGCTGCAGATAATTGAGTAGAAGCATTTGAATCAGCAAATAAATCATTATTATGGAAGATACCACCAGCAGCAGCGCCAGCAGCAGCACCCATACCAGCACCAGCTGCGGTAGAGGCTAGATTCAAAGAACCGAAATTTGGAACTTGTGGTAAAGATACGGAAGCGGCTCTTTGCATTGGAGCCACTGGAGCAGCAGCAGGCATAGATTGCTTTTGTTGTTGTACTGGAGCAGAAAAATTATTAGTTTCTTCTTCCTCTTGGATGATATGTTGACCGAATTGAGATGTTGGGTTAAACTTTTTCAAATTCATTGAAGAATGTTGAGCTGTTGGATGATTACCAGAATTCATACTATTATTAGTATCATTTCTTATAATAGGTTGAGGAGAAGGAGAAAATGTATTATTCAAAGCCATTAAGTCATTCAACGAACCATTATTAGAGTTTTGTGGTATTTGTTGTGGAGCAGCTTGCTGAGACATATCTTGGAAGGAGGGCTTAGTAGCTCTAGATGGGATGGTCATATTTGGTTGCTGCTGCTGTTGCTGTTGTTGGGAAGTTGGATACAAACCAAGTGCTGGTGATTGTAATAATTCATTTGGCACAACATCAGGTAGATCAATACCTGCATTTTTCTTTTGAATTAAAAACATAGCAATAGCAAATTCCATATTAGAAAATTCTGCATTGTTATGAATATCAGCAAGATCCCAAACAGTAGCCAAAGTTTCTTGATTTAATTTTGAAGATAAGAAGAATGGTACTAATACTTGAGATCCTAATTTCCCTATATTTTGTTTATCCAAAGAACTGAAAATTGCATCGAATTGCTGTTTCTTCTCTGGGGTTAACACCCAATCGTTAGACGCATTATTAAATGCACCACTTGAGACTCTAGAGATTGTTGGTTGTCTACCTAAAGCAGAAGTACCTGTTGAATTTGCACTTAAAGTACCTGGCATGGACATATTATTAGCATAAGATTGTTGTTGTTGTGGTATAGTAGATACAGCATTCCATAATGATTGCGACAAACTACTTGGAACTACACTCATTGCAGGATTGCCAGTCATTGATAATTGAATTAAATACATTGCCATAATAAATTCAGGTTTTTCCAATGAACCTGAGGTATTTCTATCACATAAACCCCATATTTCACCTAAAGTTTGATTAGGTAATCTTGCCTTTAGAAAGATATCTTTAGCTTTATCACCTGTTAAAATAGTGTTACCCATACCTGCAGTTCTATCAAATAATTCTGCAAATTTAGTGATATCAGATGATGAAGGTAATGGAATATTTGATGATGAATCGTTATTTGGCATAGAAGTTGTAGAAGAACCTTGAAGATTAGGCATTGCGTTTAAAGGGTTTTCATATAATGTACCATTAATTGGTAAAGTTGGATAATTTTGTAACATACCTATACAACGTAAAGCAGCTGCAAATTCATTAAAATTTAGAAACCCCTTGTTATTAATGTCAACTAATGCCCAAATTTGGGATAATACATGTGATGATAACCCAGAACTAGCAAATAAAGGTCTTGAGTTTTCACCAGTTAATACACCTAATGAATCAGTATCCAACTGCTTAAATTTATTGTTGAAGAATTGAGATTCTTCCGAAGTTAATGGAACTTTCAAATTAATTGAAGCCATTTTTGCTTTCTTTTGGTTTTGTTAGAATACAAAAGTTCAACTGGATGTTTATACAGATTGTAATTCTTCAAAAAGAACGTAAACTATAAATTCAAAACTAATGCAAAAATTCCTTTTCTATTATAATTTAAAAACACTGACTAATTAATGTTCAAAATGTGTAAATATTTAAAATGATTCCTTTTCGCTAATTTCTTTTCCCTATTTTGATTGTTGTTTTTTCTTTTGCTCTCTCGCTCTCTTCTTTTTCAGTTTATTGCCGCGAGGTCAAAAGATATGCAGATTCCCCAGTAGTAATAATAATATATCGAAACGGGGAAAAAACATTCATGCTAACAGCAATAATAATACTACAAACGAAGAAAATAATGGGAGTGCAACGAACGGCAAGTGTTAAAAAAAGAGAGAAACAATCATGACCAGAATTATCACTTTGAACGACTATGACACTTTTATACATCTAATAGAATATCAATAGATTTAATACCAGAAATAGTAAATGATAATATTATCCTTTTCATTAAATTTATAATTATTCATAATAAAATGTGTATAACTAATGTGATCCTTGCTATAATCCATTGGCACTTGATGGATATATGAATAACTTGTTTTACTTCAAAAGTTGTCTATATTTGTTGCATTTTAATAGTAGTATTGTGAAAGGTATCTCGTAATCTTAAGAAAATAAAAAACAACAGAAAAACATTCCCTCTCTTCTCTATATATATTTCTCATCTTCATTCTATAATAAAGTAGCCGCTGACTATCTTGGTAAGTACCAATAAATTATCCAAATTAGGAACACCCACACATCCATGAAACATCTTCTGGAATAGGTATCAAACGATATGTCATCCTAAGGTTTTAACATATGTAGATTCAAGACAAATTAATAATACTCTTTATTGAGATATAAAAATACATCTCATCTCAGAAGCCTGTACAGTATTTCTACAATTTCTTCTGTGTATCAATGGACCTTTCATACCTTACATTATGTCATTCATGTCACTTTAAACACAATAAAAGGGTGTAAATATAAATATATTGTAAGGTGACGAATTGACCGTTGACGTGAAAAAGACAGAAACATCAATACATTTAAAATACTTCTTAGTAACTGTTTATAAGGTCCTATTAAGAGAATTAAACAAGATTAGTATAACTCCTGATTTATATGAGCAGAAATTGTTTAGTACTTAGACTTGTTTGACAAACCTTTCTAACTCAAAATTATTTTGCAAAATACAATATCTAGTTGTCTTTTCAGATTTATTTTCTTATTTTTTATTTCGTATTTTGACACTGATAAAATTGTATAACATAACCTAGTATAGGGGGTAATAAACAATCCAAAATAACTTTGATAGTGACAGAGTTTTGGGGCTATTGCTCTTCCAATTTATCCAAAACATTTCTCATCCTCACAATATCATTCTCAAGATTTGTGAGTTCGATTGACGAGTTTCGATCAAATATTTTGTTAAAAGAAAATAATCGTGACACATAAAATTTTCTTCAACCGATTTCAAATATAACAATGAATCCTTAAAGACCTCATCATATACCAGGACTAAGAAACCTATTTACTGTGACCATGTGGTTACATGGTGTGTATTTGTAGATATGAATATATACAGAAAGTAGAACATCATTCATTACCTTTTCCCCTGGGCGGTGTCACTCAGATTGCCGAATTGAGGGAAAGTAGAGAAGCCAAGAAATGAATAAATAGATGAAGAGGTGAATACTTGGTGAGAACGATGTAATATATCATTTGATGAAGTCAGTCACTCTTTATACTACTATGGAATAATACTCGAATGCATTAATAAATGGTAGCCCTTGGGCTATGCCCTCAGATCTATTTAAATATTCTTCCCTTGAAAAGGCTTTACTTAATTATAAGAACTTTGGTGGTCCCCAAACCCTAACCAGAATTTAACAAGACCTAATAGAGCCCCAGGGTATGTTCCTTGGTCTTTGAGAAAAAACTGCTGCAGAAAGAAAAAAGTTTTTTTTTATTGTCACCCACACATCACATATAATGAATGCGAAATGGCGGGGCAGAATACTGAAATATTGAATGCCATATTCTTTGTCACTATTCTGCACGTTTGCTCTTAAACACCTTTATCCAAAGCCCTAAACTAACTAAGGTAGAGAGACCTAACAACACGTATACTAGTCTGTAGGGTTACGTACTAATAAGTGTCAGGGCACAATCCCACTCCTGCAACATTAAAACTTCTAACAAAACATTTTTCTATCAACGTCTTCTTCCGTATCTGCCCTCTTCTTTCTCTCTTTGTTCTCTTGGGTAGTGTGGGATGGGACGGGAAAGAAAGAAGAAGAAAAGCGAATTTGTCCTGTCCCTTTTCTCTGTCCCCCCCCCAAAAGCGACGCACGTCCATTTTGCCGTAACTTCCTATTTCTCTCTCTTTTCTCTCTCTTTCGTATTTCCTAAAAGGAAGACAGACCAAACCAACACCAAATATACGTTATACGTTATACGTTACATTACGTTACGTTACACTACATTTATACGTGATTGAAAACTTCCAATTTTGTTTTTTTCATTTAAATTTTAATTTCAACGTCAATTTTTAGCCTTTGACAACAGACAAATCTCTTTATTACGATGAATGGAAAGAATATTAGGAATACAGACAGGCAGTGAGTGATCTTTTCAAATCAATTTTATAAAATTTTCATTACAAAGAATTATATATATATGTATTTTTAATTATAATTTTTATACTTGGTATTCTACTTACATAAGAATAAATAAATTGAACAAAGTTCAACTATCCTTGTCATTTATAAAACACACACATTAATAACATATTTTTTATTGTAATACTATTTTGTCGCTATATTTGCCTGTGTGTGTATGAACGTAAGGTGATCGATTAAGTGAACAATTTTTTTTTTGTATTATAAATGGGGATCTGTGGGTCAAAACAGGAGAGTGTGAATTCTTCATCTACAGCTGTTACTTCTTCAACAACTAATAATAACAATAACAATAACAATAATAGTACGACAGCTCAAAGAAATGTTGTGAAGTCTAAGAATAATACTACGACTACTACTGCGACTACTGCTAATAATAAGAATGTGGCTGGAACATCATCAAATTCACCATTTCAAGAAAATAATGGGAATGGTAGTACAGATCTAAGAGAATTAAAAGTGTTATTACTTGGTGCTGGTGAATCAGGTAAATCAACAGTTTTACAACAATTGAAAATTTTACGTAAGAATGGGTTTACAGAAGCTGAATTATATAGTTATGTGCCTATTATTTATGGGAATATCATAGAGATCGGGAAAGGGATTGTCGATGCTAGAGCAAAATTTAATATCGGATTAGATAATGGGTTGACGCAGGAGGAAATTGACGAATTGATGACATTTAGATTCGATACCAATGTAACTAAAAATTTAAATGATGAATCAAACGTTAATGGTACTATTAATGAAATAGAACCAAATACAACAATTACTAATAATGATGATATAACATTGGCTAATTCTAATTTACCACAAAGATTTCATTCTACTTTAGAGAAATTATGGACCTCTAAAGCTACACAAAATTTAATTAAAAGTACGAAATCTTCGAATTTTTATTTAATGGATTCTACACCATATTTTATGAATTCCTCAAATTTAAAGAGAATATTCGATGCAGCAAATTATAAACCAAGTTTACAAGATATTTTAAGATCAAGACAAAAGACTTCTGGTATATTTGATACATATTTCGATATGGGTTCAAATTTGAAATTCCATATTTATGATGTTGGTGGGCAAAGATCCGAAAGAAAGAAATGGATTCATTGTTTTGATAACGTTACATTAGCAATCTTTTGTGTTTCATTATCAGAATATGATCAATTCTTATTAGAAGATAAATCACAGAATAGATTTCAAGAATCTTTAATTCTGTTTGAAAATATCGTTAATTCAAGATGGTTCGCAAATTCATCAATTGTTTTATTTTTAAATAAAATCGATTTATTTGCTGAAAAATTAAAGATTAAACCATTGGAAAATTATTTCCCAGATTATACAGGTGGCAGTGATATTAATAAAGCCACCAAATATATCCTTTGGAGATTCGTTAAATTGAATAGAGCCAATCTGAATATATATCCTCATATTACACAAGCTACAGACACTTCAAATATTAAATTGGTCTTTGCAGCAATTAAAGAAACTATCCTGGAGAATAGTTTGAAAGAGACAGGTGTCATTGTCGGGTGATAATGATATACCACTATATTCATATTTAGTTCATTTGATACCTGGTCTTCTTTATAATTGTTTGGGGTATCGTTGTAACATCAATCATTTCATTATTTCTCATATTTTATAATTTTTTTTATACACAATCATTTTTTTGATCTTCTTCAACATTGCGAGAAGCCCAAAAAAAAAAAATAAATGAACAAACGAAATATAATGGCAGTGAAAAAATATATTTATACATATACTAATATATCTAGATACAGCATAAACTAGTGATAATAAGTAATTATAGAATAGCTAGGTAATAAAAACAAAGGTCCCTGTACATTAACACCAGCGTAATAAATAAATATGAGCAGTCCAAACGTATCGACGGGAATAAATCTCGCATTAGACCCCAATTTATTATCATTACAGAAAGATCCACCACAATCAACGTCACCGACCAGTTTCACTGGAAGCCCTACAACAAATGAATCTACAACAACTAATACCGTGGAGACGACGGAACAGAATAAAATTGGCTCGTTAGTGAATAATCCATATGAACAGTATGGTAATATGCCGCTATCACAAGTAGTGCCTTTAATCTTACAACAGAAGCAGATGACATTTGCACAATTATTAGAATCTCAGATTGAGGAAGAGATTACAGTTGTGCAATCATCTGAAGTCGATCCGATCGAGACAGATGATGGCATTCTTAAGGATGAGGAAAAAGAACAAGATGAACAAGATCAACCAATGATTGCACCTACTGAACCAATTGCAAACAAAATTATCACAACAACACAAGAACCTACAGACTCTACAACATTGGAATCAATCCGTTCCACAATGGTAGAGCAGATCAATACCGCGATGAACGAATCCTCGTTAGCTCTAGAGACCGTATCATTACTTTTATCTGCAGTGCGTGAAAACAATGCCAAGAGTTCTTTGTCTCCTTACTTGAAGAGAACGATACCAATGGGATCATTAAACAGCGATCGTGTTAACAACCCACCAGATATCGACAATCAATTACGTACTGTTCAATTTGGAGTCGGTTGGAAATTAAAATCATTAGATGAATCCCGTACTGTGTTAAGAGATACTGCAGATTCTCTATGGTCAATCTTAGCCAAAGAACATTCGTATTGGAAGATGATCTCAGAAGTGATTACTAATAGTGATGTTGTCTTTAAAGTCCGTGAACGTGGTAGTGCACAACGAGTCCTTGGAATCAAATATGGTTATGAGGATAGTGGTTCGACTTATCGGTTGGATCGAGGGGTAGCATTATTACGAAACAATGAAGAATTGGATAAATTAGAACTTGTTCCATTTAATGGAGAAACCTCTAGAGTAAATGGTAGTTCCACCATACATTCAAAATCAAAAAATAGTAACAATACCAATACTGGTGGAATTAAGAATATGATCAGTGGGATGAATGGTACACCTGCAGTGACAGTTCCTACGATCAATCCAATTGATAATATTAGTAACGATGGAGGATCATCTCATCAACTAATGAAGTATTTCCTTAGAGTTCGTATATTTACCAAACTTGAATATGAGGATGATTATATATTGAGTGGTGAGAGTCATGTCGATCCTAAATTTTTCAGTATTGGAACAATCCGTTCTCAAATTCATAAATTCAAGGATATAATATTTGAAAAAGAGTTAATGTATCGATTAAAGAAAGAATGCAGTTCATTAATTTCCTATGGGGTACGTATTGAGAATGAAAACAAGATCGCTATAGAATTACCTCAAGAGAAGTTTGAGATCGAACTAGTGAGTGTAGCAGAGGATGAATGCGAAGGTGGTAGTTTACCAGATGGTGGCAATGCCACACGAATCAACGATAAACGTGCCAATTTGATATTGATTACGCTACGAGTCTTATTAGTAGTAATGTTTAAGAAGAATTTAAAACGTCAATTATTATCGGGACATGTTAAAAAATTGAATTCTATTAATGGTATAGATGGAATCTTATTAATTAGACCAATATTAGGTACGTTACGTCATAAAAACTATAAGACGTTATTATTACGAATCATTCGAGAAAATGTATTGGATGTAATAAAGGATAGTTCTATAACAGTGACGAAAAGACGTGATACTACCACCACCAAATCTGATAAATCAGTTCAGCAAGATGAGCATATCGAACGCTTAGATGAAGATATTAAAGTCTTCAATCAAATATTAAAGATGCCTGTGACACAACTTGATATTACATTACCAAAAGAACAATCCTTAAGAGTTACGTTACGTACTACCAATTATTGCAATGCAGTGATACATGTTGTATATACTGAAAAGGGTGATGAAGTCTTATTTGATACAACATTTACAGAATTCAAAGAAATTGAAGAATTTTTACATTTTTTAATAAGTGAATACGTCATATCGAATGAAGAAAGTACTTAAATAAATGGTATTCCCCCCGTGTTTTTACACAAGCAACAGCAAAAAGCAAAAGCACAAGCAAAAAAATTTTCATCACCGAGAAAAATACATAGCATACAGACATACATACATATATATATATAAGGAAGCATGCAGAATAATACATAATTGCAGTGATCCAAGGGTACTTAGTAGTAGAATTGGCAGAAACACAAACACAAACATAAGTATAAAACAAACAAGACAAAATGGGTTATACATTAACAATTCTAGGGTGTGGTGTTATGGGTCAAGCCATCTTATCTGCTATTTATAGAGCACCAAAGGCTATTAATTCTTCAATTGCATCATTATATCCAAGTCATATCATTGCATGTAATCATGATGATTCCTCAGTGAAACAAGTTGAAGATTTAGTTAAAGAGATGGGTGAATCTCCAAATGGTATTACTGTGAGTGTCACACATTCTCGTAATAATGAAGCAGTTTCTCAATCTGCTGTAGTATTATTAGGTACCAAACCTTATTTAGCTGAAAAAGTTCTTGATGGTGTTTCCACAGAAATCAATGATAAACTAATTATATCTATTGTTGCAGGGTGGACCATTTCGCAATTACAATCATATAGTAAGAGAGTATCTCGTATTATGACAAATACCCCAGCACGTTATGGGTATGGTTGTGCTGTAGTGTCTCATTCAACAGAGACATCTTCTGAGGATAAAATTTTGGTTAAAGAGTTGATTGACCGTGTTGGTACATGTATTGAGTTACCGGAACGTAATATGGATGCGGCTACATCTTTAGTTGGATCTGGACCAGCATTTGTCTTGTTAATGATCGAATCCATGACTGAGGCAGGAATCAAGATGGGTATTCCATTCAAGGAGTCGTTACAATGTGCTACTAAAGTTATGGAAGGTACTACAAAGATGCTAGAATTAAGTGGACAACATCCAAGTGTATTAAAACATCAAGTTTGTACACCAGGTGGTACTACAATTGCAGGGTTATGTGCAATGGAAGATCGTGGAGTGAAGAGTGGATTAATCCATGGTTTCCAGGAGGCAGCCGATGTTGCAGCTAAACTAGGGAAGAAATAGAATCGTTCTCTTTCTATATATCTATATCTCTCTCTCTATATCTCTCTCTATATATATAACTAATTTACTTTCTTTTACTTTCTTTAAGCCGTTGCCGCTATAGCGAACCAAACAAATTTCCGTTCGCTTGCCGTTCGCTTGCTGTTCGCCTTCCATATTACCGAGACAAACGCAGAAAATGAATGATCCATAGTAACAACGATAGTAATAGTAACAATCTATGCTGAATTCACTATTCAGATATATCTGTTACAAGAAAAGTGTGACTACAATATAGAGAGATATGGTCATATGGTCATATGGTCATATACAAAGACAGATACTACTCCAACTTCAACACTTTATAATATTCGTAGTTGGAGTAATTGAATGATAGTTGAATACTACCATTGCTTTATTAATATTCTTGTAGTTGTAGTTGTAGTTATTGCGTGTCTATCTATCTATCTATCCATCTATATATATTATATTACATTATATATCGATATATCTCCAACTCTTAGTGTGTATACTGTCTGTGCGGTGTGTCGTTTGCTCGTTGAGCGATTTCCGCGTATTAATTATATTTCTTATTGTGTGGTCGTTAGTTGTTCTGTGCAGACATTTCTTAAGCACGATGTGTAAACAGAGAATAGCTTGGCCCTTTAATATTTTTACTTGATAGAGAGTCATTCATTTTTGAATTTGCAATGCATTTGAACAACTGTGTGATATTTTAGAACGATGATTGACATCATTAATAAATGTAAACATATCTAGTTATATCTAGTCATACATACATATATATATAGATAAGTGATTAAGCCTTGCTTCTTGAGATTATTTGTCATTGCTTACCGTCTACATTCTTATTTATTTAGTGGACAGTAATAAAATATTCATACACACACACACACACACACACAATAATGGCAATCGGTACTTCTGATGATTCAAATGTTCAAACATTTGCATATGAAGAAAGTTTACCTAAATTACCATTACCACAATTATCGAAAACACTACATCATTTGAAAAAATCATTGGAACCATTATATTATGCAGATGGTTATTATAAACATCCTTTGGACCCACGCACAATTCATGATTTATCTCAATGTATTCAAGATTTCGAAACTTCAACTGTAGCAGAAAAATTACAAAATAAATTAAATGAATATCATTCATCTCAATCGTCGTATCTCGATAAATTACACTTAGATATTAATAATCACACTGCTGCTACCGATATTCAGGATGATATCTTACCAAGAAATCCATTTTTGATTCTAGCAGATGACGCCGTCAAAGGGATCGATCAAGCTGATAGAGCTGCCGTCTTACTACATTCTGCTTTAAGATTCATATCTGCTTTGAAAAAAAATATTTTACCACCTGATGTTGCAATGAATCATTCGTCATCTAAAAAGAATAAAAATTTAGAGGATTCAGTGGCTCATCTTTCAATGTATCCTTATAGGAATTTATTCGGTACCACTCGTGCTCCCGTTTTCCAAAATGGTGAAGTCGAAACTTTTGATTTACAAAAACCTTACACTATTTCAGATTTAGAAAATGATGAGGATGATGACCAGGAAGAACAAGAACAGTACTCTTCAAAGGAAGGTAGTACGGAAAGTACTAATAGTGCAAAGGATTGTTTTACACGTAATGGTATTACTATTGCACGTTATCCTGAATCTCGTCATATTGTCATTATTTCAAAAGGTCAATATTATACAGTCGATGTTCTGGATGATGATAATGATGTCTTATACACATCGAATGAATTCACAAGTTTTTGTAATTATATTATAAAGGATTCAGAAAAGTCTTATAATTTTAGAGCTTCAACTGCTTTAGGTTCTTTAACATCTCATAGTTTTAAAAATTGGAAATATGCAAGAAAGAGGCTTCAAAAGAGATACCCTGAAGAATTACATTTGATCGATTCTGCTTTATTTGTCCTTGTATTAGATGAATCTGATGAATCAGATTTAATGAATACCGACCCCGAGGTAATCAATTCTATTGTTCATGATTATGATTATAAACCAATTAATAAAAATGTAAATCAAGAATCTTCAATTAATTGTAAAAGATTGTTTTACGGTACTTCGATTATTGATAGTAAAGGCCATCAAATTGGATCCTGTGTCTCAAGATGGTATGATAAATTGCAACTTGTTGTCACTAAAGATTCAAAAGCCGCCGTGATTTGGGATTCATTCACTTGTGATGGATCAGCGGTATTAAGATTCACTTCAGAGACTTATACTGAATCTATCCTTAGACTAGCTAAAGAAGTCAATGCAGGTGATCCAGAGTTTTCATTATGGCCTACCGTAAAACAATCCTCGATTCCAAATGATTTAATTAGAAAGGATAAGAGAACAATGACTTTAGATGAAGCACAGATTAAAAATATCGTCTTTAAGATTGATTGGTCATTTAGTAATATCTTAAATACTCATGTTCATTTATCTGAAACAAAATTAGCAGATTTGATCTCTAAACATGATATTATTCATGCTTCTGTACCATTTGGTCGTAGATCTGCATTAAGGTTAGGTATTCAACCAGATTCAATGATCCAAGTTGCTTTACAGATTGCGCACTATTCATTATATGGAAAAATGGTCTTTTCATTGGAACCAATCTCTACAAGAAGATTTAGAAATTCAAGATCTTCTTTCATTAATGTACAAACACAAGAATTATTAGAATTATGCCAATTGTTTATTTCTAATTCAATCGATGGTCCAGGAAAATTAGAGAAATTCTTGAATACTTGTGATTCTCATAGTTCAAATATTAAAAAAGCAAAATCCGGTTCAAGTTACGAAAAGCATTTTAATGCATTGAAATATTTATATAAATTCCATGATCATTATGGAATTGAGTTGGATGCAGAAGATGAAAAAATTGCAACTAATTTATTCGACAATAGTATCATAGCTCCATTCTCACAACCAGAATTAATCGTAGCTAATTGTGGCAATAGTGCCACTACCACGTTTGGTATTACTCCAGTGGTACCACAAGGGTTCGGTATAGGTTATATCATTAATGATGATCAATGCGATATCACTGTGACCTCACAATTCAGACAAGGTGACAGACTAATGTTTATGTTGGTATGGGTGCTTCATGAAATCCGTTCATATTGGAAAGAAGCAAGAACTTTGGATCAAAGTAGAACAGGGGTGAAAATTAGTCCCGGAGTAGATAGATTGTATCAAATGGATAACGCCGTCAAGAGTAAAATAGATGGCCAAAGCTCGAATGAAAATAGTCCCTCCCCATCCTCTACTCAATTGAACAATTTGCCTCAAGGTAGAAAACTTCATCATGGACACCAACATCCAAATAGTGGATTTAGATTCTTTGATATCGATTCTCATATCGATAGTAGAGGTACGTCTGTGACACCACCAATTGTGAATGGGAATAGAGTGCTTATGGCTCAAGGGGACCCGCTACGTGGCCAATTGGATGGATCTAGTGGTAAATTATCTGCAAAATTGGCAGCTTTGTCAGTGAACAATACAAATTATAACTCTTCTCAGTCATTATCGGCATTGACTGCTTCAGAGAAATTAAACACAGGTTCCGAAATTCCACAGATTCAACCTAACCATACAGCTGATTCATCAGATTTTGATGGAGAAAGTATTCGTGCACAATCGAATGGATACTCTATCGATAGTGATTCCGCCAATGGTTCAAGACCTGACTCTAAAAAAGGTAACGTCATTAACTCTAAATTTGAAATCGATTTTGATCGTGCTGATGTCGGCAGAAAAGTCTCGACATACGAATAATGATAACAAAGATAACAACTATTTTATTTATTTATCCTTATACATCTACATCTATCATTTTTTATTTATTAAAAAGTTTCTTAGAAAACAAAAAAAATAAACGAGAAGCTTACGCATATTTTATTTATTTATTATTTTTAAAATTCCCTAATAATAATATATATACAGATGCAAACACTGACTTTTACATTAGTACAAATCAGAAATATCTTTCCCTTGATTGTCGTCATTCCCATTATCATAATCATAATCATCTCGTTGTCTTTTTTCATATCTTTTACCATGACTACTATTCCTACGCGTATAGTTCACAGTGTTCTTGTTTTGTTCAATTTGACTGTTTGTTTTCATTTCTAATGATTTATTTGTCTCTATTATTTTACTTTTCTTATTATTGTTATTGTTATTATTAGCACGTTGATACCTCGATTGGTTGAAGCTGATTGATCTGGCATTAGTCTCTTTGTCGTACCACCCAGAATTCTGATTATAATCATTATAATTATTTTGATTGTATCTTTCAACATTACGAGTATTATTATTGGTTCTAGAGTTATATCCTGTGTTACCATTGTTTCGATCATTAATATTATATTGTTCGTTTGTGTTAACGTTAGTTGGGATTTTATTAAACCGCGACGCTGTTTGGTGAACTTCTGGTAGGGGCATCTTATTAGGTCTAGGCGGCAGTGAACTGACCCCCTTATCCATTTTTGTTGTGTTATACCTCGAAGGTTTCTTTGCAACTGAATTATCTTCAATGACAACTTCTTTGTTTTCTCCCATATGATTTGGTGTTTTTTTAGCAGGTCCCGATGGTGGAATCCTTTTCAGTGGAAGTTTATTGTTGTTACGTGATCTGTCATATTGACTCTTTGATATGGAATCTACATCGTTCACATGACCCCTAGGAGCAGTTGGTGCTCTCTGAGACATATTTTGATGCATTTCTTCCTTATAACGTTTGATATCAGATTCATGACTCTCTTCACACAATAATTCCAAACGAGCCGCTGGTAATGGTTCCTTCTTGAAAAAATCATCTTGCATCGCAGCCATCGCAGTATATCTCTTATATGGATCTAATGCTAATAATTTGGCTAGGAATTGCAATCCAGTATCATCAAGATATTTGCCAAATCGTTCATTTAATGTGCTCTTATATACGGCCTTCGTCAACTCTGCCCCTGGTAAATATCTAGCCAATTTCCAATCTTCTTCTGTCGGTGTCCCCATTAGTTTAAAGATAACATGTCCTTGATCTATATCTGTTGTACCTTGTAAAATAGGTTTCTTTTCGAAGAATTCGGCAAAGACACAACCAACACCCCAAATATCTACCGCCGTAGTGTAATGCTTTTCACCTAGAACCAATTCGGGAGCTCTATACCATCTAGTCACTACTACAGATGTATATTTAGCACCAGTTCCTGCACTACCTGGGAATTTCAAATTTGGTGGCGAACCATAGTACAATCTTGCTAACCCAAAATCAGCAAGCTTAATAGTACCATTATGGTCGATTAAAATATTTGCTGTCTTAATATCTCTATGCATATATTTGGTGCAATGTAGATAGTTGACCCCTTCTAGTAACTGTAACATAATATTCTTAATTTCAGGCATCGATAAACTTATTCTAGGGTTATGTAATATACCGGCCAAATCAGAGACCATATATGGTAGAATCATGTAGAAGAATTTATTATTAGCCTTAGCAGTAGGGTTAAGAGGATTTGAATCCCTAGTGGCAACTCCATCATCAGAATGTGATTCTGGAGGTGAATCAAATACCATTTCGATTAGTTTAATAATATTCTTATGATCTAGTTTCTTTAGAATAGTAATCTCTCTTTGGGCAGTGATAGGGAATAAATCATTCTCCTCGTTAATCAAAATTCTCTTCATAGCCACTTGTCTTTGAGTCTCTAGATGGCTTCCTAGATAAACGGAACCAAACGTACCTTGACCCAGTTTCTTTTCCACCTGATAATGATTTAAGAACTTCGTAACACCATATACTTTTTCGTCTGGTCTTTTCTTCAAATCAATGGATTGTAAACCAGTTCTTGGATCTGTTACTACAGAACATATTTGTTTCATCTTCCCAATCATATACTTTCTGGGAGTTGCAGTTTGAGCCGCACTCTGCTTCCCAACAGCTGAGTTACTAGTCGTTGCCCTGTGATCACTCATGTCTATATATGTTAAAACTCTTGAAAAATCAGGAAGTATTTAATGCAACAAATATATGAAAATAATTACTATTCCAATGTAGTATGGAGTCTTAGATGTACTGAGACTTCTTACCGCTATGCACGTTTATGTATTATTCCTTACAGACACCTGTTATATTAAATGTTTCTCTCTCTTTATTTTTTTTTTCACTTTACCTCTTTTTCCATCGGTTACTATACAAAATCATTTAAGATCAGATTCTCTACTATATTTTCTGGTGCAATATGACGAAAACAGAAACATATGAACAATGTAAGCAAAAGAAGATTAATACAGTGAACAACATAGAACAATAAATAATTCAGCTAAGGATCGTTTTAAAAAGGGTACTATTTTTGCTTTAATGTTATATATAAATTACACATTTAAAAGACTATATTTTTCCCGTTCTGTCTATAATTGCGTCCAAGGATAAAACATAGATGATTTTGATACTACACCCCTTAGATCATGAAGGGTGATCTGCATATTATATGTTCTAAGGTCAAAGGGTATTGTAGTCGTTTGGATCAGATAATTACTTGCGTAAAACACAGCAAGAGATGACTCTCTTAAACCCATTGCACCTTTCTCAGTGAGGAATTTGAATTCTTGTAACGTTTCCCAAACATTTTTCACATCTTCTTTACTCCACAACTTTATTAAATTATCTAGGATTTTATCTGTTGTGGAATTTAAATTATTGGTTGAAGGAATTCTGGCATTTAATGATTTAATTATGTTTGAATATTCAACATAAGTTATATTGAAGTTTGTACTTTCATCCCTACTCTTCAGAATGGTTCTTGCAGCCGCAATTAATATGACCAATTCCAAATCAGATAAAGTTTGCACTATTGCTGTACTATCATTTTGGTATTGATTTATTGAATAATTAGTTATTGCTTTACAAGTTGTAATTGCATCTTGTAATTCTTCAAAATTTGAACATCCACTTACTAATGGGAGAAGACTATTTCTAAAAACCGTTTGAGATTTGAATGTTTCATAATTTCTATGTACTTCCAAGAATAACGGAGATGACTCATCTTTTAAGAGAATGTCTATTTTATCATTCCATTTCTTAAGATATACAACTTCATCATCAGAGGTTCGAGGAATCATAGGCGATAAACTTTCCCCTGAAGCAATAACAAAATCATCTAAATCATTAGGTTCAGGAACATATATTACCCTCTGTGAGAAACGACTCCTAACTCTTTTCTCCAAGAATTCTGATATGTTTAGTTTGGTTGTTGTTCCAATGATACATACAGGCACTACAGAATGTTCAACCATATCAAATAAATTGTAAAGTAGAGTTTGTCTAACAGGTCCTGCAAATGTATCAATTTCATCGAACACAAAAACAACTGAAACTTTCGCAGATTCACTGCCATCCTTATTTTCATGTGTTTTGGTTGCGTCTAGCAATTTCAAAATCTTCTCAAAAATCTCTGTCAATGACCCAGTACTAACATCGATACTATCATCTGCGGAAGTTGTCTGGTCCTGGTTCAATCTTTTCAGTTCTAATTCAAGTTGTAATGCGATACTTTTAATAGCTGTTTGCTCAGAGTGTATTAACCCATTCAATCTAACAACGATAAATTGATCCGAATGATCCTGCGATAAATATCGTAATTCATTATTTATTAAAGACGATTTATAGCTGTTTCTAGGTCCCACCATAATAGCCGAATGGCTCTCCTTTTGGATGATTGATTGTTTTAAAATTCTAGATACTTCTTGCCTTGTTTCTGTTAGATAGGAATATATTTTGGTTTCTTCATAGGGCAATGTCTGATTGATATGACGTAATAAACGAATCTTGAAATCTATAAAATGTGAATCCGTTATTTCTGTAGTATGACTATTATTGTGCGAATTTATTTTTGATAATTTATTTTTATTATTTTCAAGGCTATCTTCTTCAAGGTTCCTTTTATTTGATTCTAATGTCGCTATCCCATCTTTACTTCCAATTGCAGGTGATGTTTCAAAGAAAACATCTTTTTTTTGATCCTGGTTCATTTCTTCATTTGATTCTGACATTATTATATCGCAGTAGAATGTGCTTTGATATATTATAGACAGAGAGTTTTCACTTCTTTCATTCAATTCTACTTGCTTTATGCCTATATAGAAATTGATTTGTTTACATTTTTCATTTCAATATTTTTCATTTTTCATTTTTCACTCAATTCTCATTAAGTGATTGATTCCAATGTGTGGAAAGTAGCACAATTAGGGCTTTAAGGAAAACTATTTGCATATCATTTAGACAGCATTTTGAACTTGGTACGCACGAACTCCTTATAATACTAGTATGTTGAGTATAATTTAATTTAAATAATTGCACTCATTATCATTATCTTGACTTTTGAAATGGAGCTATTACAGATGGTCATCGATATCAAACTTAGGGTTTCCTTCTCGGCCTCGCTTTACTGCGAGGCCGAGAAGACGCGGCTAATGATTGCACCGAATTTTCTTTGCTTCTGTTGGGTGACACAAATATGACAGCAAAATTAAGCAAATAACAGTATTGAGTTAGGTTGAAATGAAGTAAATATGTAATAAGAAAATGTTTATGCTTACCTACAGAATACGGATAGTTGAAGAAATTAAGAATAAGCCTTGTTATTATTTCGGCGTTTGGATTTACCTTCAAATTATATAATTACAACCACGTCTTTATTAGTTGTGTACTGATACAGTATAACATGTAGTGTGACCTAGATACAATCCGGAGGTAAGAAAGTGTTTTTTCTCACTTCAAAACCTTTAAAGAGTTCCTTTTATTCCCATCTATACTATTTAAAACCTCTTTCTCTATTTTCTTCTGGTGAAAGTTCCTCATGACAAAAATATCTGCCATCCATATTGTTTATGATTATCATCAAACGTCTCGGTTAGCTTAAATATTGATTCAAAAAAGAAAATTGTCTCTGTTGGTGAAAATATTGGGTTAAGCTAATCTTGTTTGGTAGTTGTAATGGAACCTTATAATATTAATACTGAGAATTAACTTAAAACATTCCGAAGATTAGTGACGTTCAACTCATAACATTTCTATATATATTCGTTATTCACATTTATAAACTTTTATTGGGCTGGATGTCGGATGAATAACATACACAATAATTGAAAGAACTTCATTAATACACAGAGAGCTTCACAAATAGTGATTGGGGTAGTAAACGAGTACAACTATCGCAAGTGCAATATGTTGTTTTCACACAGTAGGTATCCTCTCCTTCAAGTTACCGTATCCTATAAAAACAACTAAACAAATAAAAATATCGCCAAAACATTTCCAGAAGGATTTCAATTGGTTTACAATCATCAATATTTATATATAGACTACATATCTGATATAGGTTTTATAGAGGTAGTTTATGTAGTCTTTGACAATTTGCATATATTCTCCATTTTTTTTACCTTTTACTTTATTAAGATTAAATAATATCTACCATTCAAATTATCCTATTAAGATTTAAAGCAGACTGATTATAATGTTATATCGATAAATGTCATATGCAGCCAGATTTCGAGAGCTTCTAAAAGTTCAATCAATAAAAGAGTGAAAATAACGAAAAGCAAGAAAAAATAAAACTAGGTTGTGAGATAATGAAAACAGGATTTAATTTAGAAATGTAGTTATATATATACAGAGGGAGAGAACGACTTAAGAAATTGTGACGTCTAACTAATAATGACTTCTTATAACGATCAAACACTTAACATATTATACACTTTCCTGTTCCGATCTCTCTTCGGCTTTCACTTTCAATCTTTAAAAAATCCGTTTAAAGCGCTAAAAGAATTCGAGTGGATTCATAAGAGAGATTGATAAAGAAGATCGAGATCGATACATTGGGATGAACGAATAAGAATATAGTTTGTTACTACTTATACATACATATTCTAGGCGGAAGCTGGATACGAGTTGCATTAATATTGCGTATTACACGCGTCAATTTAACAGAGACTGGCGATTTTTTATTTTTGGGTATTTTAGATTTAAGAATAGTCATTCTACAAAAAATATTAGAATATAAATATCAATGTCTGGTAACGGAAGAAACCAGATCAATTACCATATCACCTCTACAAGGGAGACCAATTTAGAGACCCCCGAATCGAGTAGAGCTTATGAATCCTATGATGAAATAAGTGATAATAGTAGTGACGACAATAGCTCTACTTCCGAACTTGATACTTCTAATTTCAATTATAAAGAAATAGACATGAATGATGAAGATCCATATCATGAAAATGAGATAGAAAAGGAAGTACGTCATGGATTATTTACCCTACGATCACAAACGACAGGATTTAGAGCTAAATACGCATTGCCATTCAAATACCTTCCAAACAACAACTATTTTAATAATTTAATAACACTGATAAACCCCACCAAAAAAAAATATAAACCAACAGAATTACATAGTTATTACAACCTAAGCCCTCATAGTTATTTTAATGCTTATGAAGATGAAAACATGAATGAAACTCCAAATAATACATACGATACACCTACTGATGAGAAAAAGAAAGATGAGCGTAATGAAGAACAAGCAATTGAAAATAAAGAGAAGAATTGTCAATTCATACATACAACTTTGCTAATTAGTTATGACTCCTTTCGTTTTATTGGAAATCCCACAACTACTAAGTTGCGCGAAGGAATTAGTGATGCCATTGTGGTCAATGTTAACAATGACGAACTGGATGACCTTCTCTTAGTTGTCCAACCTAATGGGATGTTATTGTCAATTCTACCAACAAAAAATACAGGAAATTCAGAAACAGATTACAGTTTAGAAATGTCGACTGTGTTGCAATATTGGGATCTAGGGAATCGGGGTAGTTGGAAGATTATTGCCGAACAAAGCTCACGTGAAGATTTGAATTTCATCGTGACAGATACGCTTTCTGGCAATATAAAATTCTTCGAATTCAAATATAGATATGAATTTACAATGATAAATAACCTATGCTTAGATGACTACATCATACACTCTTGTGAGTTTTTTGTCAGTCAAGTAAAATCATATTCAGCTAACAACATCCAACAATATGCTACCGTGGAAAATATAAATAAAAACCAAAATAATGATCCTGTTATGCTATTTGTTGCAACAACATATGCCGAAAGAATTGTTCATCTCTGCATAGAATGGAGTAATTCAGATCCTTACCACAAGAGAGTACATCAGCTAACATACCATAGAAATAATCATAACTACAACTCAATCCCATTACATCATAACAGAGTCCTGACTAGCCAAAAGGATGGCCTAGCCATTATATCAGCTAATCAAATCATGTCAGGTGAAACTTCTTTTATTACTACACGTCTACCAAATAATATGAAAGGAATAGTGTCTTGGTTTTCGTGTAATATTCTACTAAAAAAACTGCAATCTCTGAATTCCTCACAATTTGATAAATATGATGATTGCATAGTTGCATCATCTACAACGGGTACAATATTTGCCTGTTTAATAAGTAATACAGATATAGACCTGCATCCACTTACAAGGTTTAAAGGTGTTACCTTTATTTCTCCTTTTTATTCACCCTCTTCTGAAAATGAAAACCTTCGCTACAACATGAGGGTTATGAGTTTCAACAGAATGGTTAATATTAGAATTGATCTGATGAATACAATAAACTCTAACTCAGTTCTAGCATATCAAAATGTTTTATCGAGAAAGACAGAGGATATTAGTTCTGATAACAATACAAAAATTGCTATCATAAAAAATAATATATGGTTATTTTCCGATTCATCCATATCCCAAATGACTAACATAATTGATGATCGTGGCCCATTGCCTTATTTGAAAGTATCAGAGGTAGTGGAGAATCTTAGGATATTTAATACCTACAATAACATACAAACCTTTAAACTCGATGCACTGGCTTCATGGAGAACATTTTTGGATATAGAATTCCCAAATGATAGCTTACTCATTGCTGGTACTGATGGAGAACAGATAATGGATCTTTATCTATTGCAACAATTTTATGATACTCAAAATGAGGAGGCCAATTTTGAAATCACTAATTTGAAGGGTATATTGAAAAATAATTTTAATACAACTTCAACACCGTTATTTTGCGAACCATACAAACAATTTTTAATCTATGGCGATAAAGAACGTGTGTCTGTTCTATGTGTGGAAACAGGGGTCATTAAAACATACACTGCGGAATTCAGAATTGACGGGATAACATTTTCGCTTGGGGTTATAACCATTTGGAACTATGAATCTGATAAAATCATCTACTTTTATTGTCATAATATAATAGAATGGTTTCTTGATGTCACTGGGAACATTAATTTTGAAAGTATGACAGGAGATGTTTGTTGTACTTTTAACTTGAAAGAAGAATATAAAGTACTGTTTATTGATAAATTAAATTATAAAAACTCTAATCGATTTAAAATATTTTTTGCAGGGGACTCATCGCTTTCTTCAACATTATATCCCTATAATCCAGATGACAATAGAGAATATAGTATACGCACCCAAGTTAATGATTTTATAGTGTTGGATGGACTACTTGTGTACTCTGCAGAAGGTGCGGTAATCCAGTGTTTAATGCTCCAGGATGAGGAATATAAGAACATACCTTTGCCATTGCTACCAACTGGCCCACAAGATATACAAATTCGGAAATTTACGCGAAGTTCGATTTTAGCTTTTACTGCTAATCGAGTGTTTGTTATTAATTTCAGAGACATGAATAATTATAATTTGCATGATCCGTTCCTATTTGAACTCAAAATACCGTACGAGGGGAAAGAAAATTTAATTCTAGATATTTCTGTCCAATCAGATGATGATTGGACACATGATCCCATCAAATGTACATTATATATTCTATTTACCAACGGACTAAAGATTTTCAAACCGAGCTATTACAGTTGGACATATACGAATTGTCTCCTAAAATACACAAGGAGTAATAACAAGTCGTTTGTCTATCTTCAAAAGTTGAATAGACTTGCAGTTATCAATTACGACTATAATGATTGGTACTGTATTAAATTAGAGAATGGGAAAGTTCTAAGCTTAGACAATTCCGTTTTTGAAAAAGATCATAAATTAATTAATGTCGTTGATGTTAGCAAGCATTCTAAAAATAAACAATGTGACACTTTACTTTTTGTTTTCGAGACTTTGATTAAGATTATTGAAATTTCTTCGAAGAATGCAAAGGTTATTACAAAATGTTTACAAACTAAAACCCTTGGAAGCAAACTCAGTAAAGAGGTCTGTGTTACACCAGACATGATCTATATATTGCGGAATAATGTAGTAGAAAACGATTACGATAGATCTTATAATGATTACCCAACTGAAAATGATATGGACTGCATGTTTCATATTAACCTCGAAGGTATCGATCAAAAAATTGTGATTGAAAACGAAGTTAAATTTTATGGTAAAGGTGAAATAGGGATGTTCCAATTTTTTAGTAATAAATATGCAGTTATGACAGATTCCTGTAATAAGCACTTATTACAGGATCTTAATGTGAATAAAGATGGTATATTTGATCCGGTATCATTTTCTGCAACAGATATACCTACTGATTCTAAAGTCGTGAAAATAGTACCAATCACCGAATATCTCTGTGTTGTTGCTATTCAGTTAGAAGAGAGAGTTCAATATTCATCTAAATTAATATTTTTGGGGTACCACGATAGAAACTTTAATGCTACAAAAACTGAGACGGAAAAAAACCATTATTCTGAAGCATCACATAGTATCGATAACGCCGCATCACATGCCATCTCCTACGTCAAAAATGTGTTAGATCGTACTGATAACAGTTACTATAATGAATCCTTAATACAACTGCCCAGAGATCAGAGTCTACCTGACTATATAGATGATAATCAGGATATCACAATGCCAATATCTGGTGAGACAATAGATTCCAATCATTATTTAACCAAAAATTACAAGTTGTCATTTGAGGATCCCATTTATCACTGTGGACATAATGGTTACACTAGAGTTATTAATATCCAGGGTACAATCCAAGATATAACATATAGTCCTGAACAGAAAACACTGGCGGTCCTTTGTGGGGATCAAACTGTATTACAATTCAAGATGGGGGGTACATATTGCGCTGAGTTAATGTACCCGTTAAGGATGGAAGCTGCTCGTGGACACGATGCTGCATATGTTCCTCAACGATCTAAGAGACCTAAAGAAAACCACGGGAGGATTTTGAGAGATATTGACATATTTGGCAGAATTTGGGATTGAAATTTATATTATCTTTTTCATAAAAAGGGATTTTTCAATAGTAATTTTAATTGATAAATATATATTCATGAGCAGCTGACTAGATATACATAACGGTGCTACTATTTCGATTTTAAAACACTGTATAGGTAACAAGTCAATACAAATTTTCTATTATATTTTATGCATGGCGTCTTCATACTTTGTAACAATTTCCCTTTGACTTATCTGTCTCTGATAAGATAAACAAACAATCAGGAAATTTATTACCATAAGTCAGTTACTTATCATAATACGGATATAATTGGTTAAGTATAGGCACAGAATATTAAACGCTATAAATATATCAATATATATATATATATATAAATAAACCTTGTACTTATTATTTATTCATTAATTTAGTGGCTTACGACTCCCTAAATAAAGTTGAGAATCTTTATATCTGCTTTTTCAAATCTTTGTGGAGGTGAGATTTTCTTCTGTCATGATAAGACAGAAGAAAGGTTTCCATAGTCATCAAAAATATAACTCTTACAGGCTGATATTGAATATATTTGAACATCAATATATTCGACAATCAGAACCATCTTTGTGAATAACACTAAATATTTTAAAACTTGGTTCTGCATATATTTTTATGATATCATACGCTTGAAAGATATGACATTTTTCTTAAATTAATTTTAATTGTCATTAAAATTCTTGTTTTAACTTATTTTCTTTATATATCTTGGTTTCCCATGTATATATTTGGCTGCCACTATAGCGCTTGCACTTACTACTCCAAAAGGTGGGAAATATTCTAACATTGCCCTCAAAGCTGTTGGCTTAATCTTCTTCATCAAGGTATCAATCTCTTGATACAAATAAACGACCGATTTATCATTTTCTAAAACGTAATCGCTAACCTCAACTCTTTGCTCCATAGGCATCTGGGATTTAATTCTATTCCTTGCATCTTCTATACTTAATGTAATATCCCTTACTTGTAATCTTTCCAATTGTGTTTCGTTTTCACAGACTACACTAATTGTCACTCCACAAAATGAATCTAATCCACCTTCAAACAACAATGGAACATCTAATACACACATACTATAACCACGTATATAATATCCTAATACTTCTCTTAACATAGCGTATCTAATGGCTGGGTGTGTCAAATCATTAAGAACCTTTAAATCTTCAGGATGACTGAAAACATATTTACCCAACATTTGTCTATTTAAATGACCATCGTCCATCAAAAGTTCGGAGATTTTACCCTTAAAGTGATTTACAATACCTTGATAGACTTTAGTACCAGGTTCAACCACATCTCTCGATATCTTATCAGCATCAACAATTGGAATCTTGTATTTATCCTTGAATCTTCTTGAGACAGTACTCTTACCACAGGCAATACCACCTGTCAAACCAATAATAAGCATTACGTTCTGAAATACACGATGCCCAAATAATGTGTTATTCAGCTAATGGAGAGTATATCAACTCATGTAATATATCCAATATATCCAATAGTCTTTTAAAATATTCTAAATTTTGGCTTTCCCTTCTTTTTTTGTGTTTAGACGTTCTTCTTCTATTTGTATGGCATTATTAAGATTAGCTTCATCGAAAATTGAAATTCCATAAAGGATGCCCGAACAAGAACTGTTCAAATCGACGAGGTTTGGATACAGATAAAAATGATCGAGGTTTCACTAAAGGTAGTGAGAAAGTGGTTACAACAGAAGAACAAGAATAGTTCTTAGTCTGCTTATTATTTCCCAAAGAATAGGGAACATAGAATAGAATTACACAATGACTACAGTCCCAAGAGTGTATGTCTTAGGAAATTCCTTATTATCTAATTATTTTGCTTATGAAATCGCACAGCTGAAAGCACAACAGAGTATACCGAATATTGTACTACTACTTAACGACCAAAAGAAATTAAATAGATTTCTCGATGGAAGCTCGAAATTGACAAAGGGAGGAACAACTGAGGAATCGATTCAGTTCATGGCAGCATGTTCCCCGCCAACATTTGCAAGTGGGAAACCTGCTATAATGGAGAACCTTATACTAGCAGACAATAGTAAAAAGAACATATCGCATTTGATAACCAAGTACCACAATTCTTTGGATGAGACCTCTAATGTTCTGTTATTGAATCCACCCGTAGGGTCGATAGAGTACCTTTATGATAAGATAATGACTAGAGATAAATACCCCAGACCACACATGCTTCTTGGTATGACGAAACAGGGTGACTCCACCGTAAGTTTAATAAATAACAAGAGGACAAATTATATTCCATATTCAGAATTTGAAGTATCGCCTATATTAAGTGACAGAAAGTTGAGTGTCTTGTTATGTTCAGTACCGGAATCATATAATACCTTTGATTTGTCTCTGGAGACCACCCAGGTAAAAGATCTTTATAAAAATAAATTGGTTAACTTATTGCAAGATACACAGAATATATCTGTCCAAATATTAAGTTACTCGGAGTTAATGATAATCCGTTTTGAGAATTTAATTGTAAATAGTTGCATTGAATCTTTGGCTGTTTTGTTCGATTGTAAATATATTCATGAATTATTAAATGCACCAAGATCAGAATCAATTTTGAGGTCATTAATACAAGAACAAGTGAAGATTATTTCAATGGGATACCCCTTTCTAACGGAATTGCCTCATTATGATATTGCATTTGATAATGGACGATTATACGATATAATCGCAAATAAATTAGAACAGGGGAAAAGAACAAAGAGCGTTTTAAATATTCAACAGAAAGCCCTTAACCAAACAGATATAAAGCAACTGACGGGATATTTTGTAAGGCTTGCATATAAATGTAAAACGGATTGCCGATGGAATATGACAATCAGCTGGTTGATAGAGTGTAAAGTAGAGTTACAGAAAGCAAGAGCTTTAGATTACCATTATCTGTAGATAGAAAAAAACAACGACATAGAATCCTAATTTACCCAACCTTCTTTTCATCTAATGTATCAATGATACCAAAGAGAATTCAACTCTTAGCTACTAACGAAACAATTTTATAAATCACAAATTCATTATTTATTCTTTATGCAAGTCAACAAATCAACATAGCCCTTATATATATTTAACAGATTATAGAAGCAAGGATCAGTCTCGACATATATGTCCAGCATAATCAGAGAATCCATCTTTTGCTGAAATTCCATGAGTAGATTATTCAATATATCTAATGTAATATCCTTGATTTTATTTAAGAAATAATCTTCCGATATATAACCTAAGATGAGTTTACCAACTCTCTTATAATCTTTGGTTATAAATAAACTTAATGCGACAATAGCCCTATAATTAAACCCATCAAGATTAATTGTGTATTCACCCCAGTAATCATTAGTTTTCAAATAATCTGTCACATCGGTATCCGTACTAATGAAATCTTTAAGAATAAAAGATACATCAAGGTAATTCCAATTATTTTCTGGTAATGTGAACCCATATTCATTCAACAGAAAATCATTAGAATGAGGTCCATAGTTGAAAAGTATTTGTTCATTAGGCGTTTCATAAGTGTATGGTCCACCTCTTATAACAAACTGTCCAGCACCAGTTATGTTTGCATGTGTATACTCTATTTTAGGATAACAGAAACTATCTATTTCGGTTGAATGGTTGATAAAATCAACATATGGTACCAATGTGAGTTTGCTTGCTACATCGTCCTTCTTCAACTGTATTTCGGCGTAAAGGCAACGAGAGTTGATGATAAAATAGATATGTAAATAATCTTCATAAATTTCATCTATATTATATTGTATATCAAATAATCTTAACCATTGTTCAATAATTGGTTTCATAATTATCCAATCATGGGATATAAGGCTGGTAAGCCTCTTACAATGATTTTCCGAATCACTAGTCAAGTATGACAAAAGTGTTTTATATTTCGAGAGGTTTGAATTTTGCCATATTGCAGGTATAGATTTTAGATCGTTTATTTTTGGCCACACATTAAAAAATGGTGTCCAATACGAATCGATGGTATCATTGCTCCATTTTGGTAAAAGTTTCCATTCTGCTATAATATATAAAGATAATAACTGGAATGAGCTCAATTCTAATAAAGATTCAGTTGTGAAAATATCATATGCTTTTACTCGAGGATCATCATCTGTATATAATGTTTCATTTTGTTCATCATCGCTATAAATTACAGAAGGAACGTCTATATTCCTGTTGAACATTGATATGTGGTATAATACAGAATTAAAATTTATCTGGTGGGTACTGGGTACTGATATCACGATTTCATTTCTTCTAATTTTCCCATCTAATAAAACAATACCTTTACCTGCCTTCTCTATATTCCTAACGGCTACTTTTTCATTAAGATAAAAATCCTTTGATTGTTGTAACCACGAAACTAGTTCATCGATTTCCTCATGCATCCTATAAAGTTCCAATGGATGTTATACTAACGGTTATATAAACGTCAATGCCTGTATCAATGAAAATTGTATACTACGTTTCTGTTTTGTCAATCTGTGTATTGAAGTGGGTATATGACTTCATAATCGTGTCTATGATTTTTTTTTTCAGGGAATTTGAAGAAGAGTTTTATCTCTCGAAGACGTCTAACTATCGAGAATTGGAACTACATGATTACAAAGGAAGGAAAATCATTATAAATTGTTTTTCATTGCTTAAATGTTCTTTTTATATATCATTATGAAGGAGAAATTTAATGCCTTGTACACTTTTTTTTATTCGATGTTTATATACAATGGTATTAAAATTCTAGTTATTTGTAAGAATATTTTAGAATTAATGCTATAAATCCAACGGAAACGGCGGTAATGGTTAATAACGTAGCACCTTTCAAACTTTTTCCAGCATTCGCTTTATGTTCGTCTAAATACTGTCTGTTTTTGTCTATCTTAGATGGTTTATCATCATCAATACCCTCTTCTGCAAGAGCTGTGCTATCTGCTATATTAATTTTGGAAACTTTTTTCTGGGTCGTATTTGAAGCTTGTAATTTCGTATTCTTATATTTTTCAACCTCTAACCTTGTCTTGAGATCATCTACTTGCATTTCAAGTCCCTGTATCGTAGCGTTATCATTTTTTCCTTTTTCATTACAAATATCCTTAAACTCATTGGCATCGTTTTTGGTTTTTTCAATTTGTGCCTTTGTATCCTTAATTAAAGTCTCATGTTTTTCAGTAAACTGCTGTTTTAATGAGTTTTGTAATTTTACTAATTGCTTATCATTCATTTCCATCATGAGTTTATTGACGTATTCTAAATTTGTTGTATAATTAACCAAGAAATTTTCAATAGATTTCAATTTGAGGAATTCTTGTTTCTCTAATGCAATTTCTGTGGCCAGTGATTTTATTATATTTATCAGGTTGGGACTCGTTCCAATTGAATTATTAATAAATATACCACTCAAAATTTCTGTTTCCGGTCCTAATACTGCATCCTCGATATCTAAGTTATTAACATCCCCAAACATTGCTGCCTCAAATGCTGCTCTTTGAGCTGTGGAAGCTGTAACTGCCAAATAGGGATCGTCGTTACCTCTATGCAAGTTATATCTATTCGAGTTAATTGCTGTCGTTGTCGGTTGCGATTGTTGTTGTTTGGAGAATGATTGGGATTGTAATTGTGCATGTCCCTGGATGGTCTTCGCAACACCTAAAGGCATAGAACTGCTCAAATCTGTTTTATTATTTCCAGTTTCCGAGAATGTATTTGGCAATTCAGTAATACCATCTATAAGTGGTATGACCGATATTTCTTCAACAAATGCACTGATCTTTCTATGTTCAAATTTTGTATCTATATCTGTCCCTAGATCAATAACATCACCTACTTTCAATTCCACATACTCTTGATCTATTCTATTCCCATTAACAAACGTACCATTACTCGACTTCAAATCCTTGATGTATATTTTACCTGTTTTACTATCACAACTCAAAGACGCATGATTTCTCGATAGGACTCTTGAATCGAAATTTCCATTATCTGATTTGACCATTGAGCTGGCGTCACGTTTGCTATTACTTCCACAATTATTACCATTTGGGCCAGATCCCCCATTCCCATTTCCACTACTATTTGAACTTACTACGGGTCTTCCAAGTTTTAATGCATCAGGCTTGAAAGGGATCACTAAATATTTTGTTTCAAAAGTACCATTTAATGACCTTAGAATAAGAATATGTGTATATCGGTTTCGTGATGTGAATGTCGGTGGTGGTACTACCTGCCTCTCTAAAGGTGCATTTATAGTTGATTGCATCATATCTGGACCTGGAGGACTGGTTGGTAGAATAGGTATTACTGAACCACCAATTTTTGTATTCGGACTGTTTGCATTTACTGGTTTCATTGTCATTGGATTGATGGCTAGATCAAACTGATCAAAGGATGGCTGTGACCTAGACCCACTACTTCTAGAGTTAGATCTTGCTCTGCCAGTTGACATCCTACTGTTTTGTTTCATCTTAGGGGATGCGTGAGATTGTAGTCTCTTTCCCTTATCAACTTCGGCCATGCTTTTTTCTATGTATATATAAACAATGTCTGATCTATTTTTATCTTTTTGTCACAAATTAAAATATAATGAAAAAAGGATCAGCACTTAATTAACCACTTTAATTGTAGTCCTTGATCTATATTTTCATTAACTCTTTGAACCTTTACTCGTTGGTCCCCTGTCTGTGTTTTATCCTTCACAGTCCAAAAAAATGTTTCAGTTGCTTTGTCGTAATTCCTGTTCGCCTTGGGCAGCCTAACCACGCCCAATAATTAACAAGTTATTTGTTTGTTTGTTTGTTTTGATGTGTATCGACAAGGGTAAGACATGTTGAAGTAAACATGAACAGGTGATGACGTTGTATTTGTTGATGGTAGTATAATAAATCTATGATACTCCATTACAGGCAAGCGACACATACATATACAAAGTGAACAATGAGTGAAGCATTAGAAGAATCGCTATGGCATTTACAAGAAATAAACGAACTGTTAGAGTCATCCGTACATCAGCTGCAAGAGGATAGCAAACAGAATGATGATCTGACAAATACAATGCTACAGTTTAAACAAGTATATGAACTTGTACCTGAGTTTGATATAGAGCGGGCTAGGATTGATTTAAATGAAGAAGTAGAACCAATAATACATGCTTTAGGAGATAAATTGAAAGAGACACTCAATCGTAGAGCCATTGATTTAAACACACTCAAACAGAAATATGAACTGAATAAACTTAAACTTAATAATAACTACAACAATCAATCAGTTGGTAATGATGACAGCATAGAAAATGATAGTGAATCAGGTGGGGTTGTCGTCATGGGGTCCACGACAAATGAGGAATTGGAAGAATTGAAGCAACTAAGAGTAAAGAAAGATGAATTACAGAAGAGACTTCAAGAATTGAAAAATTAAAATTTTCAAGTATGCATATGGGAATATAAATATATATATATATATGTGTGTGTGTAATAATACTTTGTTTATGTATTGGTGTACCAAAGGACGTCAATAATTATTTAGTGATGAATCTTCAAATTTTCATAATGATTGTCTATGGAATGTTTTAAACCGTTTAGTTTAGAACTCACACATATAAGTATGGGATCACTTGTAGATGCTATGATCTTCGAGGACTCTGTCACGGCACACCCATCGAATGTCGATCCTCTTCTTAAATAATCTTGGGCATCAGAAAGTGTGGTTGTTGTATCGGGTTTAAATGTACTGCTAATAAAGTTATTCAAGAAATTAGAATCATCAACGGTTAGTCCATTCTCTTCGAGGATAAGCTTAACATTTTTCGTTCTTGCTGTCATTAATTCATCCTTTATCTTATCTATAAAAGATTTACCTGTCTTGGGATCCATTGTACACCAAGGTTTCTTTGTCACTTTATTTAAATTTCTAAAATCAATGCATAATTCATTCTTTACCAATATGAGATCCAACGCTATGAGGTTTGTAGAGTTATCGCATGTTTCCTTGTAGTTTTCAAATATTTGTTTCATGGGTTCGTTATTGTTTTCTGGGTACGTTAGTTTACTTGGTGGTGCCTGCAGAAGATTTATTGAATCATCTAAAATTGTCACAACATCTTTATAAATTTTAACAAATTGATGTACATCTGTCATAGTTTCTAAATCATCAAGTAAAGTAATGATTTTATGCAAATTATCTGCTATTGAACCAAATTGTGTTAATAAATATTTGAAATTTGGTCTCATCTCCAAAGCCACTACTTTCCCATTCTGGTAATCTGGGAACCTGACCATCACTCTAAAGCCAGTAATGTATTCTTGTTTTCTAGATACAACACCTTTAACCCATGGTACATCTGAATTCCCTTCTTTTACACCATTGGAAACTGGCATTTTGTAGACTTGATCATTTTCTAACATTTGAAGACAGAGACTGACATTATCACTAATATTAGGGAGCTCAGGTTTGATAATTTCATCGATTAGCCAAAGGGTTTCTGCATCAATTTCTTCATGTTCATTAGCTGAGTGCCTACCATTCTCATTGACAGAACTGTCACCAAACGTGCTATTTAGAAAAAGATCAGTAGACATTACAGAAAATAGTTGGTATTCAATGTTCGATAGTAACCTATATAGATAAAAATAACGTTCTTCTCTAGTGAATACCTTTCCTCTTCTCTCTTTTTTGACAAATAATGTTATTATACCAGTAGATAACATAATCATCGTGAAAAAAATATTAGTGGAAAAAAAGAACGACTCCATCATTACTTAAAGGGAAAGTTGCAAAGGGACGGACTAACAAAGGGGATTATAGAAGACAAGCATAGTTTATTAGATAGCAAAAGTGCTTAATTAGAATAGTCGAAAGAATAAATTGACACGGATTTAAATAAAATTGGATATAGTAGGTTTAACTCTATGACTGTAAAGACGGTTTCCTGTCGGGGATCGAACATGATAAGGATGAACTTTGTTCAACCTAACAGAAGACTTGTTTTGGCCGCTGCATTGACAGCTACACTAGCTGAGTTAATCGGTGGTCGCCAAGCTTTTATGGCTAATGCCATGGAAAATGGTGATTTGCATAATAAGAATATCGATTACAAAGCAGAAAAGGAGGAACGAGTTCTAAGACGTATAAACAACTTAAAGAATACAAGACCAATGACTCCTAATTACGAAGGTCATATTCCCCTATACACTACTGAAAAGGCACTATTATTCGCAATAAGTGGGTTGAGGTCATTTTTCCATCCAGAAAATGGTTTGAATATTGTTCAACTTGGTGAAGCTACCGCATGGCCTATTTTCTTAGAGAGCATGAAACGTACAATGTTATCTGATCCTACTGGCCGGAGAATTCTGAGAGATAGACCAAATGTGACCACTCAACAGTTAGATATGGATCATCTAGCTGAATATCCAAAGGGTTCCTTTGGATACCAATTCTATACGTGGTGTAAACGTGAAAACGTTTCCCCTGATACAAGAGCTCCCGTAAGTTACATAGATGATCCACTACATGCCTATATTTTCAAAAGATACAGACAATGCCATGATTTTTACCATGCATTGAATGATATGCCCATTGTCATTGAGGGTGAAATCACAGTAAAGGCTCTGGAGGCCGCTAATATGGGTGTTCCTATGGCTACTTTGGGAGCTGTGCTTGCCCCTTTGAGATTAAAACCAATTCAGAGGGAAAGATTATATCAGACCTATTTGCCATGGGCTGTCAGGACGGGGTTAACATGCAAACCATTAATCAATGTGTATTGGGAAGAGGTGTTGTCGATGGATTGCAATGAATTAAGAAAAGAATTAGGTATTGCGTTACCTCCTGATTTGAGAAACATGAGAGCCGAACGTAAAGCAAAGATACATGACTTGAATTTAAAATATAAGAAATTGAAGGAAGAGAGTCATGATTTATGAGTAAGATCCTTTACTAATGAAAATAAAATGATGTATTTTGTTTCGTATAATTGTAAATAGGGAAAAATATTATTAATTATTATTTAAAATAACATTGACATATTAAAATTAATAGAATAAGAAGAATGGTTACAAATCAATATATATAGACAGAAATATTAAAGTTATATCTGTGTGGAGAAATGAGTAAATAAAAAAGTCATATTGGGTTGAAAGATAGGAGATTACAATTAAGGTGAGTTAAATTATCACGCTTTTTCTCTATCATGTAATGTATTTCCTCATCTGAATATAAGTCTTTCATATGCAGTACGGTTACAATTCATTAGGTTGCTTATTTATTTCTTTCTACTCTTGTTTCGAAGAAACATTAACCTGATTCAATGAAGCAGCACTATCACTAGAACTACTAGTCTTTCCTAGAGTACCTTCGGTCTCCACTGTAGTCAATACGACAGGTGTTTTCTTTTCTAAGCCACCTTCATTGGAATCGACTGATGATACTTCCTCAACTCTAGTATATGACAAGTCACCTTCGATATTATAAGCATCACGTTCATATTGTTCAACTTCTTCGTATGGAACCATACCCTTTTTGAGAGCTTCCTCTGCAGTGAAAGCACCATAATAATCCTTACCATCATGCAAGATATCAATCTTGAATGGGAAGAAGATGCAAAGTGCCCAATATAAGAAGAAAGAGATGACGAAGGAGAAGAATGAATCACCGTAATAGAAGTTAACAATACCTTTGTTGGTGAAGTAACTGTTGTTGACTTGCCATGCAATACCTGGTAGACCAGGAGCCATTCCTACCACCCAAGCAACCATTGCTCTCCAGTTAAAACCTTTGTTGAAATAGTACTCACCTTCAGCGACAAAGGCTTGAGACACAGAGTAGTTTCTCTTTCTGATGATGAAATTATCACAGATCATGACAGATATCAATGGAGTCACAATGACACCGAATGAACTCATTACAGTCAAGAAAATAGAAGACGAATTGTAGAAATTCCATGGTAAACAAGCAAACGATAAAGCAGCAGTCAATAGAGCACCTCTCTTAATGTTAATATATTTAGGGAAGACACCTGCCAAATCCATACCACTAGCAAAACCTGAGTTAGAGATGGTGTAAGCCATTTGAGACAGAGTAAACGCGACACCACAGAAGAATGCACCTGCACGCCCACCAGCAGAATAGTTGGCGTTTAACCAATGGTCGAAGAAATCAAATGGCATCCAAAATTGAGAACCGTATAAGGATTGAGATGTAGAGGCACCGATGACACCAAAGACAGGGATCAAAGTAGTTGGAATCAAAAGAGCACAAATTGTACCTAACCAAATAGCAGTCTTTGAAGAACCAAATCTTGAGTAATCACTTTGATTGACAGAACCTGGAGACACAGAACCGAACCAATAAGAAATCATGTACACCCAAGCCCAAGCTTTGGTAGAACCTGTTGCGGTACCAGCTGTTGATGTGAATAAATCGCCAACACCATGGTTTTCTTTTGTCAAATAGATGATCATACCAAGCATTGCGAAAAAAGTTGCAGTACATGAAATAATCAAAAAATAATTACTTTGGTGTGGTTTCATTAAGTAACAGAAACAAGTCAATACGTGGAAAATCATGAATCCAATGACTTCCTTTGTAGTCATTGCTACATGAGAGGATAAAGTATTTGGTAAAGTTAAATAATGATGAGACCATGAATCTAAAATCAAATTTATACTTAGGCCACCTAACCATGCGTTGGAACCGTAATTAACAATACTTAGTAACACTCTAATTAAGATACCAAATGTAGAACCATAAACCCCAAAAACGAATCTTTGGGTCAAAGTAAAACCGACTTTCCAGTCATGACCCGGATAAGAATTAGCTAAAGTGAATACAATTGTTAAAGCATCACCAACAATGTAAGTCCCAATAGTCTCTGGATAACTTAAACCTACGTCTAGAGCAGATGAGGCACTAATCCAAGTACCTACAGAGAAGGAGATAACACCCCAATATGCAAAATTTGACCAGAACCCCCATGTTTGATTTTCTCTCTTTATAGGTAATAAATCCGGATTCTGTAAGAAATTTAAAGTTTGTCTATCATTAACAGGAATTTCAAGAGCTTTAAGGGCTCTTTGGAAACTCATTTTTTTTTTAGTCAATTAAACTTAAAATTTGTGATGATTATTAAGTTGTAATTCTAAACCAAAAAGAATACTAGAAATATTAATTTTAAATGAAAAACTTTTGGGAAATTGTGAAAAGAATGTAGTTTATCTTTCTTATATAAGTTTCGAGATATTGTTGCAAATATAATAAAGTGTCAAAGAAATATAACTTTATACTGGAAAATGTCAATTCTTTATTATGAATGGCTGCTAGAAATGATTGTATAAAGATTATTCTAAGTCACAAAATAACAAAAGAAGAGTAAGAGAATATCAGAATCAGGTTACTCTAAGTTATATTATGAAAGTAATAAAAATTTTCGATGAGATAATATCACCAGATGAACAATATAGTATGCAGTTAAAGTATTTAATGATAATTGATAACGTTATTTCAATTGACCGGCAATAAGAAATATTTTCAATTAAATTAAATTAAATTAACTTAGAGAATGGATGAGAGTACTTTATTAATAAACCAACGTACAGGTAAATATTATTGATGGATAGTAAACGGTATTGTTTGACTCTAAAGCAGGTTTAAGTAAATATATGTACGATATGATGCACAAATTAAATAGCAAAACTAATCTGATAATAATATTCTTGTTAACCCCAGTAATGAATATAGACTTGCAACAATTAAAATAATAATTTTCAGTTATTTCAATTCATTAGTATTTATAAAGTAAATATCGATGAGGTAACACAATAGGAATATCTTAACTTATCCTTTCAATTTCATATATAAATTGATCATTTAAAAGAATAAGTTGCTGCTACTTACAACTCTGGATTGAGATGGAAAAAAAAGTATCTACAAGGGACTGGCTGACTACTAAATTAATTAAGATGAAGAAACAAAAAAGAAAAAGAGAAAGATCAACATCATCTACATCAGCATATGTTTCCTTCTCCTTCTCTGTGTATTTCTTCCTTCCATATAAAATTTATTATTATTTTATTCCTTTAATTAACAAATTAAAATATCGATTTAATAGATTTTTCAAATTTTGCATTTAACGGGCATCAACAATTATGCAAAAAGACTAAAAAAAAGAGAGACAGAGATTTGAAATTGTTCGTTGCATGATTAAGACAACTGTTTTGGAAAGGGGAGGGAAGAAGGATCACATATTGTAATTAAAATGTTGTACATATGGAGGGAGCTATTAAGATAGAGCTATTAAGATAGAGCAAATTAATGTTTTGTTTTCTCTATCTTTGTAATATTGATCATGATGAGTACCAACTATTTTATTATTATAGAATGTATATAGCATTGAATAAAGTAAAGGCATCTGGTGATGGAGCATCGCTCATATATATATCTAAGAAAAAGATATGCACCAGTAATTGTCCCTGATTTGCATTAGATGTTATCGTATTCTATGGTTTTCAAGAGGATAGTTAAGCTCTTTCTATCATATGTAATATATGAAGATGCATATTCTTTCTTATATAGATGGATATGATTCTATTTACAAAGAATTGAGACTACATAAAAAGAACATTCTCTTAAGAAATATCTTGCACAAATTGTTATTGTAGTTAACGTTAGTGTCTTGTCTATTTGAGTTTTGTTTTTTGGTCTGCCGTTTAGAGTGACGATTTTTAACTGAAAAATATAGATTTATTTAGGTTTGTTGTCTATTTGTTCGTTAAATCTAAGCCAATATTTGTAAAACTTCTATTCAATGGTTTATTTTAATATTAATATAATGACTGTCAAGATATAAAGCATTTAAACACACATGGGTGTACGAATTTAGAAATATCCTTTTGCATTTTATAGAGATAACATAACCATTTCCTTATTTTATTGATTTTACTATTTTCTCCTATACACACCTTCTTCTTCTTCTTTTTTTAATTTTTTAATCCTTCATTATGGTACAATCCTTTCTTGCAAGGATACCTCTCATTATATCATTCCCAACAATCATTCTTTCAAGTAATTTGATTGTACCGACTTATCAAGATATTTTAGAACAACACATATCACATAATATTAATCATAATTCAAATTTGCATAATGAACAAGATCATTTTTTGTTCAGTGACTTAATAGTAAGACTAATATTCTTACCGCTATTTGCATCATTATCATTTGTCTCAATTGGGTGTTCTGTAAATATTATCAAGAGAAGATGGAGTTCTGTTATTCCAATATCCTTAACATTTATGGTTGTCTCTTTGTTAAATTTTATATTAAATCCAATTCAAACTACTGTCTTTACAATGGTTACCGTAAAGAAATTAATTCATAATGAAAATAATCAAATATATGATATCTCAATGAAGAGTCATATTTTCAATTTCATGAAAACTTATTTACCTTTAATAGGTCTATGCCTGATCATTAATTGCATCAATGAAGAAAATAGAGCATTATCGAATTTTATGTCCACCTCAGAACCATGGTATTACCTATTATTAAATTTCGTAATATATTTAGTGCTGATTATACTATTACGTTACACATATCCTGTCTTAAAATACAAACTTTTCGATACTCAAGATGACCATAATAATGCACAAGAAGATAACTATATAGAAAATAAATCTACCAGAAGAAAAGTTCTTATTTCTTTGATCTTAGGATCATTGGCATCATTGGCTACAATGTTAGTTTTAACAATATTTTATCGTGCTTCAACTTTACAATTACTTATGGTATTTGTATATATAGGTTGTGTTACCATATTCTTTTTCTCTTTGAAGGATAGTTTAATTGAATATTCTCAACGGATGTCAGATGATGGATCCAATGATCAAGCACAGATTGCAACACTTCAAATACCTAATTTCATGACTTTAATCATTGGGTTTATGTCTATTTCTTTACAGTATCTTTCGTTTAATAAAGTGGCTTCTTCCTTCACTAAGGATCTATTGACTGTGGTATTTGTCACCCTAGCTGAATATATTTCTAGGGTATCAATAAGATTGTCTTACCACAATAAACAGGGTTATCCGATTAAAAGTAGAGTTACATCAACTACACATAACGACCATCATCATCATAATCATTCATCTCAGAAGCAAAAGAAAAGTATATTTAAACAAATTGTTTTGAATAAAGATACAAGATCAATTTTTTCTTTCTTACTATTAAACACAACGTTTATGTTCGTGCAACTTTTATACTCATTTCGCTCAAAATCCCTTGGTCTATTATCGGATTCGTTACATATGGCTTTGGATTGTACATCTTTGTTTTTAGGTTTGTTGGCTAGTGTTCTAGCAACTCAAGAAGCTAGTGATAAGTTTCCATTCCATCTTAAGTACTTACAGACATTAGCAGGTTTTACCAATGGTATTTTGTTGTTAGGGATCGTATGTGGTATTTTCGTAGAAGCTGCTGGTAGAGTCTTCAAACCTACTGCTATTGAGGAGACCAATGAACTATTGGTTGTTGCTGTTCTTGGTCTATTGGTGAATTTGGTTGGTTTGGTTGCATTCGACCATACTGGCGATGGTCATAACCATGGAGATAATGGTGCTAGTAGTGACAACATGAGAGGTATCTTTTTACATATTTTAGCTGATACTCTTGGTTCTGTGGGTGTGATAATATCAACATTATTGATTAAATTGACAAACCTACACATATTTGACCCTATCGCATCTATTATGATTGCAAGTTTAATCTTATTAAGTTCATTACCTTTATTAAAATCTACGACTTTAAATTTATTATTGAAATTAGATACTAAAAAGCATAATAGTGTGAAAAATGCTTTAAATCAGATCACTACGACTCCAGGGATTACAGGTTATACAACACCTCGTTTCTGGCCAGTACAACCAAATGCTTCGGAACATGCACATAGTCATGGGGGTTCTCAACATAGTGAGAATGATCATGATCATGAACACGATCACGATCATGGCCATGAACATAGCCATAATTCACAAAATGGACATAATCATCACCATATGTCTAAGAATTTAGACAAATGCACTCTTGTTGGGTACATTCATATTCAATACGCTGAAGGTGAGAATTCTACAATCATTAAGAAAAGAGTAGAGAGGATACTGGAAAATGAAGGCATCCAAGCATGGGTACAAGTCGAGCCACAGAGTTCTAGTTGCTGGTGTAGAACAACCTCTATGAGTAGCGTCATTAATCCTAACATAAGTTCAAACTAGTCCAGTAATCTGGATATCCAGTTAATAATTATTTTAAGGAAACAAAATGCATTTTATCGATATATATACATAATGTAAAACAATTACATAATATTCTTAATACAGTTTATATAACCGAATCAGGATAGATACGTGGAACAGAAGTTGTTCAATCAGTAATGTCAATAGTCATCGGTAGCGATCATCTCAGAGTGTCCCTATCTCGTTGGATCCATATTTTTATTCTGTCTCGGTGATGAGAACATCGGAAACGTCTGTCTATCTTTGGCCGTCGTCATTTTTTTCTTTCAATTTTGCACTCAGTTTTTTATTTTATTTTTTTTTGTTTGTTTGTTTGCTCAGGAAATTTGGAAGTCTTCGTTGTAAGTCGTAAGAAGCATTGTACAAAACATTTACATAACAGTATATCATACAGTTTTATACATGATTAAGTTCAAGGTTTAATCATAGAATATCATACATTATATATATTATTAGAATATTAACCTTTTTTAAACAAGAAAAGTGAATTTAAAAGTACATCAGGAGGGGAAAAAGTACAATATAAAAATTGCGATTAGCCTCATGACAACAATTAGAAAAGATCAAAAAGTCTAGTGTTATAATAGCCTTTTTTTATAATTTAATTGTCACCCTGTTTTAAATATCTATCGATATACAAGATTGACGAACCGTTTATCAATCTAAAATAGGAACATACTTTTAGTATATTATTCCATATTTGAAGACAATTTGAATATCTATATTCCATTTTGTTTTGAAAACCAACTGAGTTAAGTATTAGAAACTTTAATAATCTCTAAGAACCTTTAAGTATTTTACGGTAATATTTCGATGGAGGGTAGCGATCTTAAAAATCCTACAAAAGATGGTATTGATAAGGCTTCTTTGCAAGAAATAATTAAAGGATTTCAAATACAATTGGACGACATCTTTAAATCCAACCAATTGACTCAAGATTATACCATTTTGAAAGGTTTTGTTAGCTTTGTACAATCAAAGATACAATCTGTATTAGAAAATAACTTTCAACGTGCATTGGAGGAATCCAAGAGCAATGATGGTGTCTCAGATATAGACTTCATTCCATTTATCCTTGATTTGACTTGGGAAAGTATATGGTACCCGATTTTTAAATGGTTTCAATCGTTTAGAAAGGTTGTTTTACGTTCTTCAGCTAATAAGAATCAACCCAGTTATACTGAACTAAGAAAATTTACTTCTAAAGTTAAGAAATTCTCGAACTCAGTAGCCGACTTTTATATGAATACTATTTTAATGTTCCATAACAACGTCGACACATCATCTGCAATTCCAAAATTTCTTTCCAATAATCTAAATCTAGAATCTAGAACTAACCCATCGCCAGCTTCTGTTGAATATAATTCCAAATTTGCAGCTTTATTGATAAGGTCATATCACAGATGTCTCATATATCTTGGTTCATTACACCGTTATAAGGCATTATGTGAAAAATTCAATAACCGATATGTGGTTGACGATTTCAATAAGTCCCTTCAATATTTTGATTTTGCCATCCTTTTATGTCCCTCGGTAGGGGAGACATATTTCCAGAAAGGTCTTATTTATATGCAGATGAATAAAATTTCAAAACTCTGTGTTAATAATATCATTGGTTGTTTAGTACCGTTACGTAGCAGATCCGCCTTGATAAATATAAACAACCTATTCTCAAAACGTGATAGTTCACTGCATAAAGCTGTCTTAGAGGTTCTATCATCGATTCATAAGGATGATTTGATTGGATCAAAAATTGTTAATAGAGAGATAATAGAATATTATACAATTGTATTGTTAGGTTATAACTTGCAGAAAGAATCCTGGATTGATAACCAAGGGAAATCAATTTCTCCTGCAATTAATAGCATAGGATTAAAGCATCTAGAATTAACTTTATATGAAAAGATATCTACTAGATATATCAAAAATATTGAATTGATTTATCATAACATAATATCGGTGATAGGGAGCTACCATTTAATAGACACATTAAAAATGGGTTGCGATGAGGAAACAGTTAAACAAAGTAAAATAGATTACTTAAAATTTGCCTTTTCCTTTATATCTATTGTCCTTGAAAAGGTTGTTATTGATGGATGGACCAAAAATATTGAAACTTCAGAATATCTGTCGATAGCTCGTATTATATTAAATTGGGTTCAAGCTGATAAAGATGTCCTAGCATATGCAAATAGTAACTCGTCATTTACTCAACTTGTGGCAACTTTACTGAACGATATTTTAGACAGCAAGTATTTGTCTCCTGGAGATCTTGAAACTAAGATACCGAGAACGTATATGTTGGAAGATGATATACTGTTGAACAGTTTACCAATTTTAAGGAAATCATACTCAGAATTTGATGATTCATCCATTATTTCAGCTTCTGATCGGATAGATCGATTATCCGGGCAGATTGGTAGTTCCGAAAAGTTAGACAAAATAGGTGAATCTACATTGAGGATGAAATCGATCATTAAAATGGGTTCAAAAGTTTTATTGAAAAATACGCAAGATATTACTTGGGATGAAAATACTGGGAAATATAAATTTACAAAGACAAGAAAGAGAACGAAGCTGAATAACAGGGAATCATTTCAAGGGGATGATAATAGATATAGTTCGAATGGTGCCTTTAACATAAACAATGATAGAATTCCGAAGGGTTTATTTTCGAAAGAAATCATAAATAACGCCCAAACAAAAAGGAATAACCACTCGTATGTCACTAAGAACGTGACTTCCAAGAATACTACTGACCCAAACAAGAATAATAAAGGGCAGTCAAATAAGAACATACCCGTATACAGTGGCTCCTCTGTAGTTGCACCAGAAACGTTTAATATCAAACCAAGTATTGGATTAGCAAACAAAGTCGAAGAACCTGGTGTGACAGAGCAATACAACAATAACATTTTGTCTGATAATATAAGTTCAACAAATTATAAAAATCCAGCCACACCTTTAGAGGTAGATGCACCACTGGATATGGCTACAATTGAGAGTGCTTTGAGAGAATTGACAAAGCAAGAGGTTAATGAACCAACTTATCAAGAGCCATTATCGAATGAAGCGCATTCGTTTTCCCTTGACTCACAACCCTCTTCTATTCCAAGTATTCCGACAACGCCTTATTCGAATACCATGAATCATTCCCAATCACAACTGGATCAAACTTTATATTATCCAAACCATAGTTCTTCTAATGGAACTTATGCACCATCTTCCACAGGTTTAATGTATATGAATAATATTATTGGCAATCCCATGGAGCAGAATGTGACGCCTACCAACAATATTGGTTTTATGAACGAACCACATCAAATGCGCGGTCCTCCAAATATGATGCCTAATGTAGGTATGAATTTTGCACAACATAGCAATTATATAAACTTTGGTTCTATGGGTTCTCAGGCATTATTACAACAACCAAATATGCCGGCTGGTAATTCACAAGGGCCAAACATGTGGGGTGGTTCTCAATTATTACCCAATCATAATATGCAACAAATTCCAGCTCCCCCTCCTCAACATAATTTTAATCAATCACAATCGCCACAGCAACAACATCAACATCAACATCAATATTATCCATATTCTAATATGAGTGGCACACCACAATGGTAAAAAATTGGCGTGGTATATATATAGATGTTTATATATAAATAATTACATTTATTGTTCGTTATATATCACAGATATTTAATGTTATGAAAATATATATTGACTGTTTGTTTGGTATTCTTATCCACTTTGATTCTTTGACTTTATGCACGATATAAATCAGTGTAGTATACTTACTGTACTGCACCCGAAGAAGTTTCACTTTCTGTCGGAGATTGAATATATGTTCGTTTCCTCATAGCATTCTTTTTAGCTTCTCTTGTATATTTCTTTATCTCTAACAATTTTTCCGCCTTCTTGACTGGATCTGATACAAAATCAGGTCTCCTTTCATCATAATAACAAGTTAAATTCAGTCTTGAACAATTAATGCACGATGGTTTCTCCTCTGTGCATTTTTTCTTTCTTAATCTACAGATCCAACAACCTGTTCTTGACCTTGTTCCGGTAGGACCTACCTTTCCCGACTGTCCATTCGAAATTACCCTAAACGAATTTCGAGCACCGCTTATGTTTGCCTTGAGAACTTCAGGAGATAACGGTTCCATTCTGACCTTCTTTTGTCCTTTCTTTAAATTTAAGCCATATGGATCTTTAGTGGATTCATTTTGTTGGGGAGGTGGTTTTGCAGAAGCAATCAGTACATACTTTGGATCATTTTTAATATGTTTTATTTTGTCTGAGTCGATATGTGTAGTACTTACCCTTTTCCCATTTTTATTCCAGTTAACAGGTTCCTGTATATATTCATCTTTTGATTTATTATCATAAATTTCATGTGGATCATTTTTCAACTTTTCATCATCAGTTGAAGATTGTGAAAGAGCATTTTCAGTATCTTTAGGGTCTATCTCAGCTCCGTGAATGACTACCCTAGGTCTTGTATATGAATGACTACCACGAGAAGAAAATGAAGCTGAATGAGGTCTTGGTAATACTGTATCTGTAGTAGTTGATGTAGCAGTATTTGTGGCTGTGGCAACTGTTAATGAATTTAATGGAGGTAATGTTTTATCACCGAATTTAAATGGTGAAGATCTCATATTTGATAATACAGCGGCAGCATTACCCATGACGTCTTCTTCTTCACTATGTCTTCTTGGTTTGTTAATTTTAGGGTTATTTAATAATCTTGTTCTTAAACCATCAAATTTTGAATTAATAATTTTTGGTTGACTTGTTGGTGTTTGTGATAATGTATCAGTTGGTGCACTACTTGGTAAATCTGGTTTTGTAGTAGGACGATTATTATTTAGGATAAAATTTGCAGGAATTTGTTGATGATGTTTCCCTGTCGGTATTCTTGATTGATCTACTGATGAAGTGACGAATTGTTCATGATAATGTGATAAATCGTTACTTCCACTTGAGTTTAGTCTACTTCTTTCTTCCTCTAATTTACCAAATGAATTTAATTTTGGTAATTTAGGAGAAGTTAATGCATCATTATTACTTGAGACTAAAAAAGCATCTCTTGATAATTTATTTGAGTTTTCTGTGAGTAAACCATCATTAGATGATGGATTATTTTTATTCCTTAAAATATTTGAAGGATATTGTGAATCTGAACTACTAGGAACCAAATCACTTGATCTAGAGGTTGTAATCACAGCAGTACTTACGCTACTACTTGGTGGAGTTTTTTTTTCATTTGAATCATTTTTAGATTTATTATTTTCATTTAAAGAATATTCATTATCATCATATTTTGAATGCATCCAAGAGGACATTTTTAAAGTGGACTGTTCTAATTTCACATTTGGATCAGTTCTTGTCTTTGTTGAATCAAAATGTAAATCACTTGCAATTACTGTATTTCTTCTCTTAGTATTACTATTTTGTTGAGACGAGTGATCCTCCAATGTTGATGAATTATTTTGTTTTAATATATCGTTAGGATTATTCTTGTTAGTGTTCATACTATTATTATGTTGATTAGTATGGTTATCATCCATGATAGTATTGTTCTCTGAAATTATTTTACTATTATAATTGCTATCATTATCTTGTTTGTTATTATTATTATTATTATTATTATTCGTAGTTTTAACTTCAATTGAATTATCTTTATTATTATGGGTATTATTATTATCCGCGCCGCCGCCGCCGTTGTTTTTTTTGTTACCGTCCTTTGAAATTGAACGAACAAAAAAATTGCCGCCTTTGTGCGCGGTAAAATTATTATTATTACCATTTTCATTCATAACGATCATTGAACGTTGTGGAGGTGGTGGCGGTGCTACCAGTGGAGAATTCGTTATATTAGTAGTTGTAGCACTAGAAGTAGTGGTTGATGGTGATGAAGTGGAAAGATCATGAATCCCAGAATGTATTAAACCAGTATCTTGTCTGGATGGAGAAGGTTCATGTTTTAATATATTAGAGGGACTATTTTCAGGTGTATTATTTGGAGCTATAGTAATTTTATTAATTGATAATAAAGGATTTTCGTCGTACTCTGTCTTTACTGAATTAAATTCAGTGACAGTATTGGTATTTTTCTGATCTTCACTCATTATTCGACCAAAAAAAAATATAATGAACTTCTATTTTAGAGAGACTGTGTGTTTAATTTATGCAAAAAGGGTGGGGTGAGTATTTATTAGACAATTCTATAATCTCAATATAATTAGCATATAGCTAAATGTTTGTTTGTATTTTTTTTTCCACGTACTGAGAGTATCACTCTTTCTTACAGGAGTCTTATCTCAATGCATTCAAGTAATAAGAATAACTTGGTTTAAGTATTTTCTATTCTCTATATATTATATACTATTTTTCTTATCTATTAATTATTAGTTTTTTTTAGTTTTTTGGGCTCTTCTTCGTTCTCCACACGTTTCAAAAAATAAAAGTAAAAAAAAGGAAACAGATGAAAGTGGGGGGGAAAGAACGAATAAGAGTATATATATGCACACCCACATAGTGATATATGTTGGTATAAAACAGGTTGTATTATAATACTATAATAAAAATACAGTTACAGTGATATATATTCTCAACTTGCCATCCTTAATTTTGTATTATAACGTATCAATGACCAGAGAGGGATACGGGCGTCTATTTCCCAACAGGCGAATTAGAACCAGAATTATTTAAGGATACACCACCACGCACACACACAAATATAATTAAGCGCCCAACCTTAAAAATACAGAGCGGAGAGAGAAAGAGAAAATCGACAACGCGAGAAAAACTGAAAAAACTGAAAATTTGGAAAAAACTGAGAATTTTTATCGCTGTTTCTATCTCGCAATATGGTCACGTTGAACGAACCCCCACCCTGCATAAACGAAAAAAAAAAAGAAGGATGAGAATATATTATCACAGAAACAGAGGTACAATAATATATTTATTTGTATATTATTGATTATTTCCTATTTCTATTATAATAATAATAATAACGTTGTAATAATATTATGTAAAGAAGGATGTACACGATATCTCTATTTTGATTGTGTTTTTTGAAGAAGAAGAGGGAATAGTGAACCTTGCATTAAATTTGTTATTGTATTCATTGTTATTTAAACTTTTTAATGGAGGTTGAAGTTATATATATTATATTATATATATATCAATATATATAATATATTGATATTGGTAAACATTACGTACACTGTTTTACAACAATTTTCCAATTTGATTTTGCGCGTTTACTTAACATTACTACATAAAAAAAGTATCAATTAAACAATATCGATATACACATATACATATATATATTCGAAAGGGATTAGATTATTGTGGATTAAATGGTTTTAAGGTGTAAATTGATTTTGATTATTACAATTATTAAATGAATTTAATACAAAATACAAACAATAATATTGATATTAGTATTGATATTAATATTGATAATGATAAAAAAGGAAGAATGAATACAACAACTACAACAACACATAAACATTCAAATAGTTTCCATTCTTCTTCAAATAGTGAATCTAATTTGGAATCTCCAAAATTATTAAATGATAATATATCAACGCCAACTTCTATTGAAGATTACTCAACGACAAATAAATTGGCTTATAAAAATAACACAAATAATAAAGATGATACAATAATAATAAAGAAAGAACAACAACAACAACAACAACAACAACAACAACAACAACAACATAATAATAAAATACTTGATAGTGACCATTTATTGATTCATACAAATTCATATATTCATGATCCCATCAATGATAGCATATTATTAAATAAAAATGTATCAAGAAGAACATCAAAATCAAGAAAATCTATTAAGCATTTATCATCCTTTGATTTTAGCAATAATAATAATACAAACAATAAAAATAACAATAATAATATTCCGTTTCATGCTTCAAAGCATTCTCAAATTTTACCATTAAGAACAAATGTTAATGTTAATGATGATAATGATCAGAGTATTCCAAATATACGGCATTTATCAATAAATTCATTACCAACGGGATCCATAAATTCAAAGAGAAAAAGTAGAATATTAAGATTAAAGAAAGATCAAGATCAAGATAATATACAATATCAACGTTCTAATTCAATCCCAAATGAATTATTATCAACAAATTCTGAAGGTTCAAGTTTAGATAAGATTAGAAATAATGTTCGTGGTAGTATTAAAAAGACAGATATTTCAAAGAAAGAAATTAATAAAATGAGAAAGATTTTAAGAAGAGACAGAAGAATGAGAAGAAAAAGAAAAACTTTTTTAATTGACGATGATCGTGTTCTAATCGGTAATAAAGTTAGTGAAGGCCATGTGAATTTCATTATTGCTTATAATATGTTAACTGGAATTAGAGTAGCTGTATCAAGATGTTCAGGTATAATGAAACCATTAACTATGTCAGATTTCCATTTTAATAAGAAACTTGCATTTGATTATCATGGTAATGAATTGACTCCATCATCTCAATATGCATTTAAATTTAAGGATTATAGTCCCGAAGTCTTTAGAGAATTAAGATCTATGTTTGGTTTGGATCCTGCAGATTATTTGGTATCTTTAACTTCAAAATATATTTTAAGTGAATTAAATTCACCAGGGAAAAGTGGTTCTTTTTTTTATTATTCAAGAGATTATAAATATATAATTAAAACCATTCATCATTCTGAGCATATTCATCTTAGAAAACATTTAAAGGAATATTATGATCATATTAAAAAAAATCCCAATACTTTGATTTGTCAATTTTATGGTCTACATAGAGTGAAAATGCCAATTTCATTTCAAAATAAAATTAAACATAGAAAAATTTATTTTATTGTAATGAATAATTTATTCCCACCTCATTTAGATATCCATAGAACGTATGATTTGAAAGGATCCACTTGGGGCAGAAGAACAATAATAGATCAAAAACAATTCCAACAAAATGACAATACTTATAGACCAGTTCTAAAAGATTTGAATTGGTTAGATTTAAAAGAGACTATAAAATTTGGACCTTTGAAGAAAACAAAGTTTTTGAATCAATTACAAAATGATATTGTTTTATTAACAAAATTAAATATTATGGATTATTCGTTATTGATTGGTATTCATGATTTGAACAAAGATGAATTAATATCAGATAATGAAGACGAATACGAAGATAATAATGAAGAAGAAGAGATACAGGTTGCAGTGGATGCAATTATTCAAACCCATAACAATATAGAACCACATCATGATAATGTTAGTAACATATCACCTTTGGATGGTTCTGCTGCTTCTGATGGAATAAATCTTAATGAGATTTTGAAAAGGCATGATGTAGAACAGTCAGTCAAGAAAAGACCAATTCGAGGCTATGAAGTGAGCACAGTGGTCTCCCATTTTTTCAAAGATTATGAGGGTGGTATAAGATCTTCAGATACATTCAACCAAGATGGCCAATATATTTATTATATTGGATTGATTGATTGTTTGACGAATTATTCAATTGTTAAAAAATTGGAAACATTTTGGAGAAGTTTGAACCATAATAGGAAATTGGTCAGTGCTATTCCTTCAAAGGATTATGGGGAGAGATTGTATGAGTTCGTGGAGAATTCTTTAGAGACAAAAACTTCTTTTGAACCATATTTAGATAATCCCAATGTAAGGAATTATAAAGATTGTCCATGATGTATCGAGAAACAAAAAAATATAAAAACCCTTTTGCATGAAATCAATACCTATAGACAATTTCAAATATATCTATATTTATATATTTTTTACACATAGCATATTCTTCATTACAATATTTATAACAACCCTATTTCCCACCGTCAATTGTTTTTGGCACTTTTGAAAAGAAAAGATTTTGGGTATATCAAAATTATTAATATTAATACATATGTAGACATAATACAGGATATTATACGAGGATATTAAACGTGGGTTGTTTTTATATATTAATTCACATTTAAAAAAAAGATAGGAAAACGAACTTTGAATGATAAGATACTACTATATCATCAAAAAAGATTGATAAAGTAGATCTAAGAAAAAAATAACGATTATTTCTTTTAGAAATCAAAATGCAACTGGTCAAATTAAACCATTATATCTAACTATAATAAGAAGATGGCAACAGCACCTAGAAGACCAGCTAGACCAGCAGATTGCTTGATAGCATTGTTGGAGTCTTGAACAGCAATGCTCTTAGTAGAAGCAACAGAGGTTTGAACTTGGACTTGAACTGGAGTAGTGTTGGAAGCTTTAGCAACGGAAGCAGCAGAAGCAGCAGACTTAGAAGAGTGGCATACTTCGTCACAAGAAGTGATGGTGACAGTAGCAGTAGAGGCAGCAGACTTAGAAGCATGACAAGCTTCATCACATGAAGTAACAGTAGTAGTTGTTAGTGAGTTGATGGTGGTGGTAGCTTCGGCAGCCTTCTTTGATTGACAAACTTCGTCACAAACGGTGACAGTTTGAGTTGAGTTAGCATAAGCAGTAGTGGTGACATCACTTTCTGGACAGAAAGTGGTAGTTTCGCTGCTGATATCAGTCAAAGTATTGGTAACAGTTTCTTGAGAGGCAGTGATGTTACTTTGAGAGTTAATGGAAGAGGCGATGGCTGAAGAAGAACCAACAACAGAGGCAGATTCAGAAACGGTAACGGAAGAAGAACCAACAGCAGAAGCAGAGCCGGATTCAGAAACAGTAGCAGAAGAAGAATCAGTTACAGAGCCGGATTCCGATTCAGAAACAGTAGCAGAGCCAGATTCAGAAACAGTAGCAGAAGAAGAATCAGTTGCAGAAGCATCGTCAGCTGTTAATGAGTTAGTAGCTGAAGTGGCAGCGCTGGAAGTAGCTTCGGAAGAAGCATTAGAAGTAGCGCTGGATGCAGCAGAAGATTCAGCTTCAACGGAGGCTGAAGCAGCTGCAGCAGAAGTTGAAGCAGCTGCACTACTGGAAGCAGCAGCAGAAGTTGAAGCAACAGCACTACTGGAAGCAGCAGCAGAAGATGAAGCAGCAGCAGAAGATGAAGTAGCAGCAGTAGGTTCAGCATCGGCCTTGGCAACAGCAGCAGCGATGTCTGATGATAGGTAAGAAGTATACCATGGAGCAGAGGTAGCCATGTTTTCTAGAGCAGTAACATCAGCTGCATCTAGACCATCGTACAATGTAGTGAAGGACATATCAGTAGCACCTTGAGCAGCAAAATAAATTTGGATAACACCATTTGGCATATCTAGACCGCTATTTAGCATCCAGTCTGAATAAGCTGTGGAATTCTGGCTAACATCATGTAGGATAACGTTTAATTCAGCAATGTCATCAGCGGATAATGCTAGAGCTAGAGAAGAGGAACCAAGTAGCACAAGAGCAGTAGATAGCTTCATTTTTCTGTGTATAATTGAGTTATTGTGGTGATTAGTTGTATTTTTTATATTCATACAAGAAAAAGAATAGAAGAAAAAGAAAGACAATTTCGTAGCAAACAGAACTATTATAAATATTTGAAACTCCTCTTCCTTTTTATATTATTGATAAATCATCGAATTTAATTGTTAATTATATTATTATGATACTCCTAGCAACAGTTCTGACATGAAATATGGTTTTCTTATGGGATTTACTACGATTTTTCTTATAGTTTATTACATGCTTCGTTTAATAATTATTATAATAAAATATTTGTGCAGTCAACGCTTCATACATTGGAGTTGGTGTCCTAGGTATATTAGCATTTCTACTTAATATTCGTAGATGGTCAAGTTATTCTACAAAAAGTAATTTACAGGAGGAGGGGTGTCAATCTACGCTAAGATTCTTTGTCATGGAATCCCACAGTTGTTGCTACTGCTTCATTGAATAATGAATGAATGAAAATTTCATTTGGTTATTTTGTTATTATTGCTGCCTTTTCTTGTTCTTTTGACATTTTTACCCATCATGATGAAACATGCTTAGCTATATGCGCGTGAGACATAATAGCAGCAACAAATAAAAAAACCGTACTCCATATCCTGTTAATAGATACATTGCCCAGTTGAGATATGTACACAACAGAATTCTTTGTCGTTCGTATATTTACAATTTCTTATTTCTCTTTTTGGTATACGAGATTGCACTGTCAAAATTGGGCTCCTATTCATCTATTTATTTGAATTTTTCTTTTTTCACGCTGGTTGTTAGTTCAACTTATTTTTCATTTTCCGTGCGGACATTGTATTTTCAAAGCGTGTGGGAACTATTTTAATGACACAGTAAGAGTCAGAGGACTGCAGATCCGCAATCAATTCAGGTACCTCAACCATTTTAGGACATTTGCAAAATAAGGCACCCACAATAAATTTTATTCTCTTATTATTATTGAGGGAAAAAACATCACAGATTATTGCGTATTAATATAGGTAATTTTGCTTTAATCTGCAGGTTTTTCGCATGATAGCAGCTGGTTCTATTTCGAAGATTTTTTAAAATATCTTGCAGTTATACTTATATGTGAGCCAAATTGTTTTTGGCTGCAAGTTGAAGAGAATTTTGGTTTAAGGAGAGCACTCATTTGTTAGAATTCGTTGAATCTCACGAATGTGTTAATGTGGTAAGTGAAAAATAATGTTCCCAAAATGGACAAGTTATTTTGAAAATTTATTTTGTATTCTTATGGGGGCCAAGGAATAATTAAAAGTAAACATATAGTTGAAAAAAAATGAATTGAGCATAATAGGAAAATCGTAGAAAATAACGAAGTCCCATTTTAGATAAACCTTTTCAAGATCGCGTTCCTTTTCATTGTAACACATTCTCGATTCTTTTTTTTTTACAATACACAGTATTATTTGAGTGTCTTATTTTTTGGATATGTAGGAAACACTTTAATTAAAAGCTGGTATTATGCTTTGTAAAACAAGAAGTGAGAGTTCAAATTATCGCGTTTATTCTTTATTGAATATGTCGTGTTTTGAATTTTATTTTAAAGATGTTTGTTTACGTTAACATTATACAGAAAACAAACATCCTTGGTAATTGGTTTGAATGTGTTTTTTAGTAACTCCTTGGATAAAAAAATATTGAATGCCAAGAACATATAGGTAGGTTGAACAGATATATAATTTCTAATATTATCTTATAATTTTGGATATTTAGGAAGACTTACCAATCATGTTCACTGGGTAAAATACATATTAGTTCATTTGTATTCAGTATTTAACATAATATTGATATGATTTAAATCTATTGATCTATATTAAGCATCATATTAATAAGTTATAGCGTGTAGCATCCATCGATGATATAAGTTCATAAAGGAGCACCTTAAAACAAATGGAAATGATAGGGAACCCAATTTAATAAAAAATGATAGTCAATTTTGTCTACAATAAAACTTTTCTCTAGCTTTAATATAACTCCGATAAAGAATTCAAAATTAACAATCTCTCAGGGGTGTTTCAATTGAATATGTTAAGGAAAAGCAAAATGTATGTACCATAATTGTTAAACGTGTAAATATTGGGTTAACTCAAGAATCAAATAAATAAATATTATATCTTTGGAGATATATTATTATTTGAGTTATTGAAAAAGTATAGTATTTAGCTTTTCCTTCTATATTCCTGATTTATCAATAGGTTCAGTATAAATGACATTTTATACTAGTCCATTTTCTTTAAAAAAAGAGAAAGAATCAATTCTAATAATTTCAAGAGACCTAAAGTTCCTCTTATATAAATTCAGATTAATTTGTGGATAATCCCCAGCTCACCCCTGTCGTGGAAAGTTCGCAATCATAGCTCTTGATTAGTTGTGATTAAATGTCTGGGAACTACGATGGATAGCGATGTCATCAAAAGAGAGTGTGTCTACAAAGTCCCCAAAATGTCAATTCGGGCAAATTTTGGAAAAAAGACGGAAATAAAAAAGCGTCTCCCACACAAATACACACAAAATACCTAAATATGTTTTTTTATGAGGCGCAGTCTGTGCTTAATACTATGCTAGTTGAGTATTTTTTCAATTCACGAACAAAATTTTACATTATTTTCTTTCGGATTTGAATCACTATAGCAGAAACTAGAATTTTTGAAGGTTTTATTTTTTGGTGAGCCAAATCAATCAACCATCAATATCTAGATATAAAAACAAAATACTTTTAATACTGATCTAGTTTAGATATAGTCATTATTGAATAAGAATTAATAAGTGATTCCCAATTTTTTGAAAGCGAATCTACTCTCCAGAATAATACAGCAACAACATATATGTCTCAACAGGGTTACTATCAACAGGGTCCTCCACAGCAAGGTTACCAACAACAGGGTCCTCCACAGCAAGGTTATTATCAGCAAGGTCCTCCACAGCAAGGCTATTATCAGCAAGGTCCTCCACAGCAACAGCAACCGGTTTATGTTCAACAGGCTCCTCCACCAAAAGATGATGACTGCTGCGGTACTTTCTGTAAGATGTTATGTTGCTGCTGTTGCTTGAGTTTGTTATGTGCCCAATGATTGTGAAGGTTTAATTACGTATTCACTACTAATAGTACTCTACTATAATAATGTTTTGAATGTGTTCTTTTTCTAACATTTGTATATTAAATTATAACTGGATCACCCAATAATTTATGCAATAATAACAACAAATTAATTAATATTTTTTATCTCTTTCCCTGTAATTGATTTTTATTGAGGTGTAGGTGCATAAGCATTATTTTAGGATGTCTCGAATATTGATGGGCATTAATTGCTGTGGTATATATAGGTATCATCATTGTATTATTTTTATATAATCGAAATATAATATTATTATCTTTTTCTTTTAATTTAAGTAAATTGACTATCCTTTTTTTATTGAAAATTTAGGAAAGGCAGTTTCATGTTCTTTTGGATTGTTAGTAATGTCATCAATATGTTTATTCCACTACGTTCAGTAAGATATACAGTATAAAGTGTTGTTGTTTTTGTCCTATTTTTCAAAGGTAGAAGTTATAAAGTTAATTAAATTAATGTTATTTGATTTGATCTCTTAATAAAACCAGAGTGCCATGCTTTAACGATAAAAGATGTGTACATCCTGAAACAATTTTATTTTTGAGTCCTCTTATTGCTTGGAATAGATTAAAACATTTCTTTTTTTTTGACATAGTACGGCCTACCGTATAGTACTATGCTCAATTCCTTTTTTACATTACAGGTTAAAGATTGTAGATAATCTGAGTTAGAGTTTTTCCTTCTATTACTCTCTTCAGGTGATGACATATATGAGTAATTGTGCAATTAAGCTGGATATTTAGTGACATATATTACACTTAATTTTAATATAGGTCACTCTTAAGTTATGAAAAACAAAATTGAGCTTTAAACTCGGTATACAACTCAAATATATTATTGGTTTTGAGTGTAAACGTAAGTTTGAAATCGAGAATATACGATTAGTATTCGAGTTGAAATTATCGGACATAGTTATAGATATTCAAATGTATAATCTTGTGATTTATTTTATGTTATATAAAGTAAGTCTATATAAGGAAGATTGTATATATATAAAGTTAGAATATGTGGTCCTTTTATACTTTTGGAAAAGGAAAACAGTCTACCAAATATTGATAGTATTCTTACTAAATATTCTAGAAACATGTTCTAGACACTTATGAAACAATTAGTAATACTTGCTTACTAATCATTCTTAAAGAATGTTCTAGAATCATATTGAACAGTTAGTAATAATTTCTTACTAAACATAAAATTGTAATAACCAAGTATTGCTACTTTCTATATTATAACATTGAGTACTTAATAATACTTGACGTTTTCTTCAACTCTCCTCTTCTATTTTTTTCATTCAACCTTCCTTACAGATATTTTCAGGATGTCTTATACATATATATAAATTCAAACTGTTAATGTTCCAAAGAGAGGAGTACTTCAAAATATAATCAATCGCCAAAGGTATTAGTTCTTCATGAGTTGCTTGGTGATCTAAGCCCAAAAATGTTTTCCAATTTTCAAACAATATACTTTAAAACCCTAATATAATAATAATTGGCTTATATTCATGGTATAAACCATACCACTGGAATTAGTGTAACTTTTCTTAGTTCATAAAAATTAAAAGTTCAATTGTTAAGAAGCTTATAGGGAGATACATATTTTTAGAGTTTTTGAAAATGCTCGTGTAGCTCAGTGGTTAGAGCTTCGTGCTTATAGCACACTCCTTAAAAAGGAGCATCCTATGCCTATGGTCTTTAAATCTAGATCGGTAAAGCAACGCGACCGTCGTGGGTTCAAACCCCACCTCGAGCACTTTCTCTTTTTGTTTTTTTTTCTTTATTTATCACAATATACGATGTTAGATTAGTGTTTTTTCTATGGTTTTTTTTCGCTTACCAGTTCACGATGACTGTATTGCTCTACAATGTAGAAATTTTCATGTGATGTGCGATGGAGATTTAGATATTTATTAGTTCATTAAAATAGAACACTAAAAACAGTTTGTTCCTTAATACCAAATTATTATTAGTTTAACAACGACTAAAACAGATAAAGTGTTACAGTAACTGCAATGGCTCCAAAAAAAGGTTCTGTAGGGAATTCCAATTCTAGAGATGTCGACGTGGAAGATCGTTTCCAAGCTGTTGTTCTAACCGATTCTTTCGAAACCAGATTCATGCCATTAACTGCAGACAAACCAAGATGTTTGTTACCTTTGGCTAACGTTCCTTTAATTGAATATACTTTAGAATTTTTAGCTAATGCTGGTGTTAATGAGGTTTATTTAACTTGTTCATCACATGCAAATCAAATCGATGAGTATATTGAAAATTCTAAATGGAATTTACCATGGTCACCTTTCAAGATTTCTACTATTCTTGCACCCGAAGCTAGATCTGTAGGTGATGTTATGAGAGATCTAGATAACAGAGGTATTATAACAGGTGATTTTATATTAGTTAGTGGTGATGTTATTACAAACATTGATATCAGTAAAATGATTGAATTCCACAGGAAAATGCATGCTCAAGATAAGGATCATATTGCCACTATGTGTTTAAGTGAAGCTACAGAATATTACAAGACCAGGACTTTTGAACCGGCTGCTTTCATATTGGATAAATCTACAAATAGATGTATATATTACCAGGATTTACCATTAATATCTTCTCAAGAAAAGGGTGCTGTCCAGATTGATCCAGAATTATTAGAAAGCGTTGATGAATTTACTATTAGAAATGATTTAATTGATTGTAGAATAGATATTTGTACTCCTCATGTGCCACCTATTTTCCAAGACAACTTTGATTACCAATCCTTGAGAACTGATTTCGTCAGAGGTGTTATATCTAGTGATATTTTGGGTAAGAGCATTTATGCATACATAACTAGTGATTACGCAACCAGAGTCGAGAGTTGGCAATCATATGATACGATATCGCAAGATTATATTGGTAGATGGTGTTATCCAATGGTATTAGATAACAATATGCAATACGATCAAACTTATTCCTATGAATCCAGACATATCTACAAAGAGAACAATGTTGTCTTAGCTCAATCATGCAAGATTGGTAAATGTACAGCAATTGGGTCTGGTACAAAGATTGGTGAAGGTACACGTATTGAAAACTCTATCATTGGTAGAAATTGTCAAATTAGTGAAAATATTGTGATAAAGGATAGTTTCATCTGGGATAATACAATTATTGGAGATAATAGTAAAATAAAGCATTCTATTGTTGCATCCCATGCTAAATTGGGAAATAATGTCACATTGAACGACGGTTGTATTATCGGTTTCAACGTTATCATTGATGATAATATGGAGATTCCAAAGAGCACTAAGATCTCATTTAAGCCAGTCAAAAATCTAGGATCATCTACATTTAATCTTGGAGGAGATGAAGAGGCTTCCGATGAAGAAGATTCAGTTGAGTATTCAAGCTTTGTCGGTGTGAATGGTGTCGGTTACCTGTATGACAGTGACACATCTGATGATGACGAAGATGAATCGAATGATATACATAAAGTGTCGAACTGCCTAGCTTATCAACTTGAAGAGCTATATCTAAGTGATGCGTCCATATCTTCTATTACTAAGAGAAAGAAGAAGAAGAGAACAATGTCGTCCAACAGTATGTACACTGATAGAGAAGACATTGAATCAGAGGATGATGACGATGAAGATTTTGAGGCCGAAGGTCTTGCAACTGTTGAGAGAGCATTAGAGAACAATCATGACATTGACACTGCATTATTAGAATTAAATACTTTAAGAATGAGTATGAACGTAACTTACCACGAAGTTAGAACAGTTACTGTTATGGCTTTAGTGAGAAGAGTTTATCACTTTATTTCAACTCAAACTTTAGGTCCAAAGGATGCCGTCCACAAGGTATTCAACCATTGGGGTGATCTATTCAAGAGACAAGCATTTGAAGAAAGTGAATTCGTTGACTTAATGAATATTATTATGGATGTCGTAGAGGATACCCATTTCGATAAACCAGATTTAATTCTATTTGGTGCTTTCACTTCATTGTATGATAACGATATTCTAGAGGAGGATATCATTTATAAATGGTGGGATAACGTTTCAGATGATCCAAAATATGATAATGTCAAGGGTTTGATAGCCAAATGGGTTGAATGGTTAAGAACTGCGGATGAGGAATCATCTGAAGAAGAGTCATCTGAAGAAGAATAAATTTAATGATTTCTTCGTACCCTAATAGACGTGCATTGTAAATTATTAAATATATACATATAAACTAGCAAACGTATCAGTATTAATAGATATATAACGAGATAATTTATCTGATTGTTGACAGTATTCATTGTTATTATATGGCAATTATGATAGTTTCTTATAGTTTCTTAACGTTACCCTCTTTAATTTCTTTTTATTCTAAATTATCCAAATTTTGTTAAGCGTCTGCGGGCTTTCTCTGGAAATTTCATGTATCACCATATATTTATATTGTTATCTTCGCATAGAGCGAAATGAATTATAGTCAGAAGGATAAGCAAAGAAAGAGAAAAAAAAAGATATTGACGGGTTGTTTAGTTTGGCTGGGTTTATTTTTTTAAAAGTGAAAGAAAGAGGAAATAAATATGCTATGAAACATAGGTTAGGCATAAAGAATTGGCAAATATATTCTTTTTGTGAAGTCGTTCTTACTGTACTGACATAGTTATATATATTTAAGAAGTACAAGTTTGAAGAATTATACAATCTTACTGTGTTATTACTTATTTCCCCCTTCAGATATAAACATATTCTCATTACGTTTTAGGTCTCGTTATCTGTAATTCATTAAAAGCACAACTAAAGTTTATTAACATAAAGTTTAGCTGTTAAGTTATTTAAAGTTTATTTTTCGAACAAAACAAGTATAATTATTAGTGATGCAAACTCTAAAATGTGTTGTAGTAGGTGATGGTGCTGTTGGTAAGACATGTTTACTCATTTCGTATACGACGAATCAGTTTCCAGCTGATTATGTTCCAACTGTTTTCGATAACTATGCTGTTACAGTCATGATTGGTGACGAACCATACACTCTGGGTCTATTTGATACTGCTGGGCAAGAAGATTATGATAGATTAAGACCTCTTTCATATCCATCTACTGATGTATTCTTGGTGTGTTTCAGTGTAATCGCACCACCATCCTTCGAGAATGTTAAAGAAAAATGGTTCCCTGAAGTACATCACCATTGTCCTGGTGTTCCATGTCTAGTGGTTGGTACTCAAATAGATTTAAGGGATGACAAGATTATCATTGAAAAATTACAAAGACAAAGGTTACGTCCAATTACTGTAGAACAAGGTGAAAGATTAGCTAGGGATTTGAAAGCTGTTAAATATGTAGAATGTTCTGCTTTAACTCAACGTGGGTTGAAAAATGTCTTCGATGAAGCTATTGTGGCAGCTTTGGAACCTCCTGTCATTAAGAAGAGCAAGAAGTGTACTATTTTGTAGGTTACAGGATTAAAGAATTGATTATAAAATATTTTTGATGGAAATTAAGAGGAAGTTGCAACAAAAAGGAAGGAGATTCAAAAGAAAAAATAGATGATAAAAGAAGAAATGATTATTATTGTTTACTATGATTTTTACATGTGTGCAGTACAGGTCACTTTTATTCTAGTATTGTTTAGTAAAGTTCTGTTGTCAATTTAATATTCTGCATTATACAACAGTCTAGGTCGTTTTCCTTTTTGTAAGGAAGTTTCCTTCTGTATGGGAACTTCAATTCTTTACGTCACTTAAATTTCCCTTAACTTCCTTTTTCTATATTTTATTCTTATTTTCTTTTATATATATATATATATATATATCAATTTATTTTATTAAATTAACGAAAAAATAAAAAAAATTATCATACTATTAAAGCTAATGATGTGATTGGAATATATAATGACTAGTTACGATTCATTATAGCGTAATAATTTATATTTATTATGTTTAGTCGTTTTGGCTTGGTCCCATATTCTATATTTTCAACTTTGGCCTCATTGCTTAATTATGCTAAATTTCCCACTCATTGAGGGAGGGAAATGCCAAAAGAACGGAAGAAAAAAAATAAGTGAAAAAAAAATTATTTGGAACGTATTTTAGCAGTGGCAAACATAAAGATATTAAAGACGACCAAGAAGAAGGAAATAAAAACTTCATTGTGAACAATCATATAAGACCCAGAACGTCTATAGATAATAACAAACTGCAGATATGGCTCAGCTGTTTAACAATTCACGTTCTGATACCCTTTTCCTAGGTGGTGAAAAGATCAGTGGTGATGATATCCGTAATCAAAATGTATTGGCTGCAATGGCTGTTGCTAATGTCGTCAAATCATCTTTAGGCCCAGTAGGTCTAGATAAAATGTTAGTAGACGATATTGGTGATTTCACTGTTACTAATGATGGTGCTACTATTTTATCTCTATTGGATGTTCAACATCCAGCAGGCAAGATTCTAGTTGAATTGGCTCAACAACAAGATCGTGAAATCGGTGATGGTACTACCAGTGTTGTCATTGTTGCATCAGAATTATTGAAGCGGGCTAATGAATTAGTGAAGAATAAGATTCATCCTACTACAATTATAACAGGATTTAGACTTGCTTTGAAAGAGGCCGTTCGTTTCATTAATGAAGTTTTATCCTTGGAAGTTGATACCTTAGGGAAAGAAACTTTAATTAATATTGCAAAGACTAGTATGTCTTCTAAGATTATTGGTTCCGATTCTGATTTTTTCAGTAAAGTTGTCGTTGATTCTCTTTTAGCTGTTAAAACTGCGAATTCTAAAGGTGAAGTAAAATATCCAGTGAAGGCTGTTAATATCTTAAAGGCACATGGTAAATCTGCCAGAGAATCCATTTTGGTTCAAGGTTATGCTTTGAATTGTACAGTAGCCTCTCAAGCTATGCCAAAGGCTGTCCTTGGAGGTAATGTTAAGATTGCATGTTTAGATTTAAACTTACAAAAAGCAAGAATGGCTATGGGTGTTCAAATTAATGTTGATGATCCAGAACAATTGGAGCAAATCCGTAAACGTGAAGCTGGTATTGTACTTGAAAGAGTACGTAAGATCATCGATGCAGGTGCGCAAGTTGTTCTAACCACTAAAGGTATTGATGATTTATGTTTGAAAGAATTTGTTGAAGCTAAGATTATGGCTGTTAGACGTTGTAAGAAGGACGATTTACGTAAGATTGCACGTGCCACAGGTGCTACATTAGTTGGTGATATGTCTAATTTAGAAGGTGACGAAACTTTTGAACCAAATTATTTAGGTACCTGCCAAGAAGTTATTCAAGCCAAATATTCTGATGATGAATGTATTTTAATTAAGGGTACAACCAAACATTCTTCTGCATCTGTTATATTACGTGGACCAAACGATTATTCCCTAGATGAAATGGAGCGTTCTTTACATGATTCTCTTTGTGTTGTTAAGAGAACGTTAGAATCAGGTCGTGTTGTTCCAGGTGGTGGTTGTGTTGAAGCTGCATTAAACATATATTTAGATAGTTTTGCCACTACCGTAGGGTCTCGTGAACAATTAGCTATTGCAGAATTTGCAGCAGCTTTGTTAATCATTCCAAAGACTCTAGCGGTGAATGCTGCTAAGGATTCCAGTGAATTGATTGCCAAATTAAGATCATATCATGCAGCCAGTCAATTAGCTAAACCTGAAGATATTAAACGTAAGAGTTATCAAAATTATGGTTTAGATTTAATTAGAGGCAAGATTGTTGATGAAGTGGCTGCTGGTGTACTAGAGCCAACTTTGAGTAAGATTAAATCTTTGAAATCTGCATTGGAAGCATGTATTGCTATCCTAAGAATCGATACTATGATAAATGTTGACCCTGAACCACCAAAGGAGGATCCACACGCCCATTAAAACAACTACTAAAAAAAATTAAACAATCAATATGATGATTATAATAGAAATATAGTATATAAATATATAAATATATGCATGTGTGTATAATAAAAAAAAAACGAACAAAACAGCAACAAAAAATGATTAATAATACATCATAAGACTGGAATAGTATTATTATAAATAGATAGATATAAGGTTAAATAGACCCTTCGTACAACATTACAATGTTTAGTAGGAAAAAAAGATTGGTGAGATGCGTCGGTGAAATTCAGAAAAAGCTTTCCGTTGGCAACCCGCGGAATTCCCAGCAACAAACACCAGTTTGTTGCATATCACTTACAACGACACCCGAATTCGCTAGGTGTTAAGAATAAAATATCCGGAGCTTCCATACAAATTCTACGTCAGTTTCTCTGTGAAAATAACAAAACAAACAGGAATAATTTTTCTGGGCGACCCGCAAAGACAGAAACAAAAAAAACTATGGAGGCGGCCCAACCACACACCACATACAACACGTACCAAGCGCATGTATAGTGCCTCCCACTCGCTCTAACTCTCGCTCTGTGTGTATGTGTTGTCCGCATTGTATACTCTCCCATACTTAAATGTGGGATTATTTGGTTTGGTTTGGTTTTATTCAGTGGAAGGCCTTTAATGCAAGGGATTGCCAGATTGGGGTACTTTTTTCACGCTTTCACGCTGTTCTCTGTCTGTCTGTCTAATGTTGTTGTTGTCGTTGCGTTGTAGGGCGTTTCGTTATTAAATGATATCAAGTCAAATACACATTATACATATTAATCTCGGTTTATCTCAGTTTATTGCATCATCGACATAGTAAAGAAAAGTTGATTGGTATTTTTTTTGCTTCTTTCATTTTTATACTTCAGGGCTTTTCTACTATATCTATTTATTAAGTCGTATTGTAAGTTTGTAGTAATAATAGTAATCTCTTCCCAGGCATCGTCGTCATACAGATAATTTTCTTTTTGTTTGTTTTGGTAGATTCGCATCCTTTTTGGTTTGGTTCGGTTTGAATTGTTGGCATACATCACAACAATTTTTTGTCATTTTTATCCTTCCCCAAGGCAAGCCAAGCTATATTGCTAGTTAACCAAATATATATATATATATCTAGATATATATTGCTACTATTACTGCAATTTATTTTTGGTCAAGCATCGTTAGAGTACCAAAAACAGAGAGCTGATCCACAAGAATATCTTCCTTTTATTCATTGTAAACAATTCGAAAGAAATTCCGTCATGATAAGTTTTGGAGATTCTGCTTCTGCAACCTCATCGGCACCGATGGACCCTCACAAATCTCATGCATCTGCTCGTCGTGAGAAAGTTGTGGAATTGATAGAGGTCGATGGGAAAAAAGTAAGCAAGACATCCACAGGAAAGAGAAAGTTTCATAATAAGTCGAAAAACGGTTGTTTGAATTGTAAAAGACGTCGTGTGAAGTGCGATGAAGGAAAACCATATTGTACAAAATGTCTTAATATGAATTTGAATTGTGTTTATAAACCTTTGGAGTTCGATGATAATGATCCCTCGCATATTAGTAGACCGACATCTGCCGCTTCTTCTTCAACAAATGAAAACACCATATCTAATGGTGGTAGTACGGCGACGGCGACGGCTATTAAGAATTTCATCAATAATAATAATAATAATAATAATAATAGTAATAGTAATAGTGTGGATGCTGCTGCTACCTCAACCACAGCAGCAGCAACTAAAGGGAAGGCTAAAATTATTAAATATATGAGAAAGTTACCAGATGGAACGTTACAACCAGATACTGAATTGATGGGGAAGAAAACAGTTAAAGAGAAAAAGGCACCTAGAGCAAAGAAAATCACTAAACCGAAAGGAACTACAAAGACGGCAACCATTAAGGGTAAGACGATTAAGGGTAAGAAGAAAATGGGATCCACCAATGAAAATGGAAATGGGGAAATCCCGAATGCTGGACCGCTGGGCGGTTTGGTATCGTTGTTGGCAAAAGGTGGCATTGGTAATTCAAATACAGAACAATTAATGGCAGCTGCAGCAACTCATTTTCCGGGGATCATGTCATCAATGATGTCTCCTAATGGCGGAAGTGGTGGTACTAACAACAACAGTGGGGGTGGAATGATTCCATCTCTGATTGCCTCAACCTTAGCACAAGGTGGTTCTCCAACTTTACAACAATTGTCTGGGTTATTGAACCTTGGTAATGGAAATAATTCAAATAATAACAGTAATAATGCGAATGTCACAAATACAATGATGAACCATCAGTTACCAAATGGAAACACTCATTATGATTTAGATAATTCTTTGCCTTTATCTCCAGGGATAGGTATACCTGGTTTGAGCTCACGTAATGAAAGCGATCAACCAACAATATCGCAAAATCCAGTTATGAACAATAATAGTAATAGTAATAACAGCGCTACAACTGATGGTGCTGCAAATGGTATAACACCAAACGTACCATCGATAAATAACGCAACTGCAGGCTCAGGAAGTGCAAATGGTAGTATGGGTTTTTTGGGGCACTCGTCATTATCTGCTATTGCTAATAATTTAACTAATTTAAATGCTATGGCATCTCCGAAGATGTTTGCTGGAGGCTCATCAAATGCACAACAACAATTACAATATCAACTTCATCAACAGTTACAATTACAACAACACCAACAGTTACAATTACAACATGATCAACAATTGCAAGTACAACATCAACAATTGCAATTGCAGCAAAGACAATTACTACAACAATTGTTGCAACAGGATCAATCACAATTGCAAGAGATGCAAGCTCAGGCACACGCACAAGAACTGTCTAATCCATTAGGTTCTACAATAGATCAAAGTATAATACCATCACAGATACAACAGCAATTGCAACAACAATCAACAGCAGCATTAACTGCAAATCATTCAGGGAATGATATTCCTTTATCCTTGCAAGAAGAATCCTTATCTCAATTGAGTAAGATGGGATTAAATTTAAAGACATTGGGAAATCTGCCTACTGCTGGTATCGGTGGCATTGCATATGATTTCCAAGAATTATTAGGTTTAAAATTTAATAATGGGAAAGGAAGTAGTATTCAAACACCTCCTACCACAACTAATAACAATAACACCAGTATTATTCCAGGAATTAATAATGATGATGATCGTGCAGATATGGGTGTGGTATCTCATAGTTCAAAAGCAAGTACTGCAGAGGCGATCCTAGCCGATATGCAAGAACAAGAACGAGTCAAGAAGGAATCCATAGATCAAGATAGCATTGGAAGTAAAGATAAATCAATAAATTCACCAAGTAATTTAGCACATTTGGTTGGAACACCCAACGATATTCAACATAATGTACCTTTACCAATGATTTCACAATTGAGCCCTATCATAAAGGCAGGTATAGAAGGTACCTTAACTGGAAATTCTTCCCCATCTAGTGGATTGATGAGAAGAGATATGTCCAATCATCAAAAGAATAAATCTATTGACTCAACAAATGGTTCTATGACTCACAAGTCGGTGATTGTTGAGAAAAATTTAGAAGAACCGATGACAGGTGTTGCTAAATTGTTGCAATTATCAACTAAGGCAAATTTAAATCTAGTGGATATGAAATTATTTCATCATTATTGTACCGAAGTGTGTTCTTCAATTACGACGATGTCTGTTCCCGAAGTCTGGTCCAAGGACGTTCCTGAGTTGGCATTCAATTATCCATTCTTAATGCATTCATTGTTGGCATTCAGTGCTACTCATTTATCTAGAACTGAGCCTGGTTTAGAACAATATGTCTCGTCGCATAGATTAGACGCATTAAGATTATTGAGAGAAGCAGTTCTTGAGATATCTGAAGAAAATACAGACGCATTAGTGGCAAGTGCATTAATTTTAATTATGGATTCCTTAGCCAATGCGTCAAGCGCACCAGCTGGATCACAAAATACCATGGCTTCGTCAGCATGGATCTTCCATGTGAAAGGTGCTGCTACGATCTTGACCGCTGTATGGCCACTAAGTGAGAATTCTCGTTTCCACGATTTAATTTCAGTCGATTTAAGTGATTTAGGAGATGTAATTAATAAAGAAGATGGTACGATTTCTGAGCTTGTCTGTTTTGATGAATCCATTGCAGATTTATATCCTGTTGATATAGATTCACCATATTTGATTACTTTAGTATATTTGGATAAATTACATCATGAAATCGATGATTCTGATTTCATTTTAAGAATCTTTTCATTTCCAGCATTATTAGATAAGACCTTTTTAGCATTGTTAATGACCGGTGATTTAAATGCAATGAGAATAATGAGAAGTTATTATAAATTGTTAAGAGGATTCACTACAAAATTAAAGGATAAAGTTTGGTTCTTAGAAGGTTTATCACAAGTATTACCACAAGATGTTGATGAATATAGCGGTGGTGGTGGTATGCATATGATGTTGGATTTCTTAGGTGGTGGGTTACCATCCATGACAATGACAAACTTATCGGATTTCATATAGTCTAATAAAAACATTTGATAGAAAATATATAGATATAGATATAGATATAAATAAAAGCATAATAAATATTAATAGCATAAATTTATTGTTCTATGATATTCTATAATATTCGCTAGACGCCTTCACGGAAATAAAATGAAATGGAAAAAAAAGTGAGACTGAAAGAAAAAAGGAGGAACTGGCATCCATATAAATATTATAAGTATAGGCATAGGCGTAAGCATATGAATGAGTTTAGTAAGTAATTTCAATAAACAAAAACGAGCCAAAGAAAATCATATAACTATGGCTGTACAGAACCCTAACAATTGGCATTGGGTCGATAAGAATTGTATGAGATGGGCCCGTGAATATTTTGAAAGTAAATTAATTGGTTTAGAGACCAATGATGCATCATCTTCAACTACTCAATATGTCAAGATTAAGAATATATCTTCGTTTGAAGGTGATTGTGAAGTTAGTCAACGTAAGGGTAAAGTCATTTCTTTATTCGATTTACAAATGGTAGTATTGTTTGAAGGACATGTTAATAGTCATGAATTGGAAGGTAGTATAAGTATACCTGAGATTTCATTTGATAGTGAGCGTGAGGAATATCAATTTGATATTTCTATCTATAAGGAGACCAGTGAATTGAATGAGGTGAAACCTATCATTAGAGAAAAATTATTACCTCAAATGAGAGATATCTTTCAACAATTTGGTAAAGATTTATTAGCTGCACAAGGTAATGATATTCAAGTACCAGAAAATCAAGTGAATTCGCAATTCACAAAGGCTAATCAGCAACAGATCCCAACTTCCAGTACTACTGTAAGTACTACTACTAGCAGCGTACCAAAGGATGTAAAAAAACAAACCACGTCAACTACAACGAGTGCAGTTACAACTACTAATAGTGGCGATGCAAACCGTACTACGATCCATTTGGAACCATCTTTTATTGTCCCTGCCACAGAGATATACTCTACATTTATAGATAAGGACCGTATCATGGCGTTCACCAGAGGTAGTGTACGTGTTACCAAGAGTAAAGATTCTAATTCTAAGAAATTAGTCGTCGGTGATCAATTTGAATTATTTGATGGAAATATTGCGAGTGAATTGATTGAAGCAAACTCAGATAAATCGCTGACTTTCAAGTGGCGTTTAAGTGAATGGCCAACAAAAGTTTGGTCTACTTTACAAATGACATTCCATGAATCAAAGGAATATCATGAGACTAAAGTCCAAGTCGCATGGAGTGGTATTCCAGTTGGCGAAGAGGATCGTGTCCGTAACAACTTTGAGAATTACTATGTGAGACCTATTAAATTAACTTTTGGTTTTGGTGTTGTATTATAGATACGTGTGTATATATATATATATGTGTATATATGTGTAGTGTAATATGTAACAACCAATCAGAATGTAATATATACTGCCAATAACCGCCCAAGTACATGTGAAAAAACAGCCAAAGAAAAGAGGGAGATTTAATAGTGAAAACAATGCAAGCTACACAGCGCAATATCTCGTGGTAGCAAACAATACTAACTTCGCCTGCCCCTTGCACAAAACTCAAAAAAATGAAATAAACCTTTTCTGTTCTCCGTTATGCCGGATCTAATGAAGACAATTAAATAAATGCACGGCTGTACCTTTTTCCTCCTCTCCCTCCTCTAATATACCGATATATATGTATGTAAATATCGGATTATGATATTGATATATGAGAGTAAAATGTAAGATATCGGAGTTATGAGCAGCATATTACGTTCAATTCACCCGCAAAATATCAAATAATACCGGTACACCAAACAATGATGCATAAATTATGCATAATGAAGCAACCCCCAGCAGCAAATAAAATATTGCAGTGGTGGTAGTCACACGGTCACACACAGTCACAAATTAATATAATGGCTGGTTAACAAACAAAGGTAAAAGAACGGTATGGCAAGGCATGGCATTGCATGGCACAGTAGATGATATTACACTCGTTTCTTCTGTTGCTGCTGTTTTGACCTAACGGTGGAACGGCTTAAAACTATAATTTGCTATTGTTAATGCACGTTAATATAAATCCGTTAAATTCAGGTATTATTTTGCAGTAAATGGATGATGAATTTTTAACGTTTTTTTAGTTTAAAGTCATTGATTTAAAGGTAAAAACATGCAAACAAAGGAAGAACCAACCACACGCCATTATATTAAATTTTGTTTCTATTTCAACTTTAATTGGTTGAAGAAAACTAGGTAGAAAGACAAGAGATCATCAAAACTAGAAAGTTGTTGTGTTTTTTTCATTATTGACGTGTTTTTGTTTTTTAAAATAGATACAGCAGTATATAATTGATAAATAAATAAAAATATCAATATTTGTATAAATTGGATCAAAATAGGTATTCTTTAATTATTATCCTTATTCTTTGGGTTTATCCGTTTGGAATATAATTACTTTAATAATATCAATACCGTCATACTTATACATATACAAATATATATCTCACTTACTATATTATATATACAAAGTTTTAAAAACAGACATTTACATTTACATTATGAAAAGTAGTGATACAGATATTGAAATTGAAAACAATATTATTTTTACCAACAACGAAAATGATATTGAAGGACCTTTAACCGACAGTAATAATATGAATTCTCGTATTAATAAACGTTTAACATATTTACCTGGTAATTTAAGATTTAATGGTGTAACTCCAAGTGGTAAACCAAGACTCTTTGTTTGTAAAATTTGCACAAGAGCTTTTGCTAGACAGGAACATTTAGATAGACATGAAAGATCTCATACTAATGAAAAACCTTATAATTGTGGAATCTGCAATAAAAAATTTAGTAGAAGAGATTTATTATTAAGACATGCTCAAAAGCTTCATGGTGGGAATTGTGGTGATAATATTAAAAAAAGAGTCATTAAAAGGAAAAGTATTGTGGTAAATAATAATAATAAAACGGATAATTCATTTGAAGATAGTGATAAAAGAAGAAATTCAAAATCTGTTGGGAAATTATCAATAAATCAAAGAAGAAAAAGTGAACAAATTGGTAATGAAAGTATTAATGCTAATAATAATACTAATAATGAAACTAATGGAAGGAAGAAATCTATCGTTACAAGTTTATTAAATAATGTAACTTTAGAATCACCAGAGAGACCAACTTCTTCTTCGACAAATTCAACAGATTCTTATTCAACTTCAACTTTATCTTCGCCATTTGCTATTGAAATTACAGCAAGGACAACACCATTTAGTAATTCTCCAACAAATACATTTTCTTTATTTCCTCCATCAACTGCAGGAGGACAATCTTCTAACAATTCTTCTTCTTCAAGACCAATTTTTAAAGAACCTAGTTATTTGACTCCCACTGGCTGTAGAAATAGAAGGAAAAATTCAAGAAATTCAACAAGTAGCAACAGTAACAATAATAATAATAATAATAATAATAATAATAATAATAAGATAGCAAGTTCTAGTTTAAACCAAGGTACGGCTACTTCCCCTACTGAACAGATAGGTAAAAAAAATAAGAACAAAAAAAATAAAAAATCTATAAAGATGAAACCACATCCTTTAGCAAGAAGAGCATCCTTTAGTGCTTTATCTGCAGAAAATTACGCTGCTCCTCTATTCAATACCGATGAATATCAATATGAGCGTGTTCAATTTTCAACACCTGATCTTTTACCAATCGATTTTAGATCATTTTGGAATCAAACTTTAATAAATGATGATGTTAATGTACTAAATTTGAATGATACTATAGGAACACCAATTACAAACTTGAGTAATATACAGGAAGTTCCACCTGAGTTTTGTTTAACTGATGCAGTAGATTATATTAATAATAACGATATTGCAACTCAAGGTTCATTTTCTTCTTCTTCTGATACTACATCTGAATCGAGATCGGAGGATATAAATTCTAGGTCATCACAACAATTAAATTTTAGATCATTGAATTCAGCCGTACGCTCCCCCACATTCGCTTTGGGATCTGCTCTCTCTGGTCCTTCTATGGAAGATACCTCCATGGGACCAACAGATCCTTTGGCAGTATTGCAACATAGAAGCTCTATAAGTTCAATGAATCAAAATCCAGATGATGAAAACGTGAACGCCATTGGTAATGGATCTCCAAGAGATGTTATTGATATTCTCATGTCAATTAGTACACCGGTTCCACCAAGGGATCCTCTTGAGCAGGATCCAATTTATACTAATGCAACAGAATTTATGAATATAAACGCTAATGATAATATGAGTTTAATCGATTCAAACAATATTTTCTCAGATTTTACAAATTTGGCAGATGGTACTGATGGTAGTAGAACCACCAGTAGTAATACTACTCTAAGTGACCCACTGAGTATAATAAAAAATCTACATGATGATCCCTCGGGTAATAGGATTATTGGTCCTCCTATGGATATCCTTGAGGATAATGGTTATACGTTTTATGGTTTGGATAGTCTAAATGTTGCTAGTATCTCCAATGCTACCGAACCTGCTACTTCAAATGGATTAGATCAATCAGAACGTGAACCAATTACATGTACTTTATTCACAGAAACTATTCGTGATTATTGTTACCAGGTATTAGATTATTATACTATCCATTGGGATGACAAGACTCAAGTAACTTTCAGTCTTCAATCTTCAACGAAATCAGATCCATTAACCCTTCCAAGTGTTAATGAAATGAATACTTACTTGATGGTATTTGAAACTCATTTCTTAAGGCATTATCCATTTATTCATCCAAGTGTATTACGTCTGGATTTTATATCTTTCCAAAAATACCTCCAGGAAGATGAGTCATTAACTATGGACCAAGTTAACAAATTAAAGCGTCAAAAGAGTAGTTTATTTGCTGCCAGATCTGTTTGTTTGCCATTGTTGATGGCTACATTTGGTTCTTTGTTTAAGAATGGTTATAATCATAACACATTGAATTTGTTTGAAATTAGTAGAAGAGCTATCCAAGTTTATCTGGAATGTAAAAAGAGAGATTGTCAGGTTGAAAGAGTTAAATTAAATACAAGTGAAGATAAAACCTCTTCTGATCCGACCCAAAATACATGGTTAATTCAAGTTTTAATTCTAAACATCATTTTTGGTTTCTTTGCTGACGAATCGCATCACATGAATGATCAAATAGTTAAAAGACAGGTATCTGCAGTATGTTCAATCATTAAAAAGAATGTTTTAAAATTAGTCTACGTCGGTTATTCCAGTTCTAGCAATCAAAGATTTAAATTTAGGTCTCAATCTGAATATATCTTATTCGAAACTAAGATTAGATGTGTTCTGCTGATCTATAGATATTGTCAATACTTGAAGATTTTTTACCACATTGAATCCAACACGTTTCTACTTGAGAAGGAAATCGAACAGTTATGTATCCCAGATAGAGAAAATAAATGGCTATCGCATTCATTGTTAACCACAGACAATACAAATGTTAATAGGGTTAGTGAAATGACACCCCCAATTGAGAAACAAAACTCTGTTCCATTCATATTTTTTTATCATAGTTTCTCATTTAATGAAAGAGGTCTGCATGCAATCCCTGAAGATTTGGCAGGTTCAATGTTATATTACGAATATAACACAAGAAAATCCTCTTCATTCCATATCTTTTTGACAAGGATAGACACCAAAAAATTAGAACTAAACTTACCTCATTTGAAGTTGAATACTAATGGTTACAAATTAACTAATAAGAATATTACTAACTATGATAGAACAATAGATAATCCTAATGATTTAAGTCATGATATGGTAGTAGACTCAGAAACTTTGGTTTTAGATGGTATCCTATTAAAAAATTGTTTGATGGTAATGCAGTTTTTTGAAGTCGTTTCTTCAAATTCAAAAATAAATATTTCCACCAGTAATATCAATACCATATATGATTCATTCTTAAATTCGGAAAATTTAAATCTTTTGAAAGGTGGTTCATCTACATTACTAACCGATTTCTTAGTGGCTTTAAATTTTTCAATTCAAAATATTTCAAGATTGTCGGTTTTCGATAGTGTAACTAATCATGTAGAACTGGATGAGGAATTATTTTCCATTTTCAATTTTAAAGGAATTTATTATAATTTTTTGGTTATTATTAAATTCATTCTAGACTTTGAAGAAACTCCTAATTTCAAACTTCTCTCAATTTTTCATGAATTAGATAAACTAGCGTCACAGATTTTAGTTCCAAAATTAGCTGCAATTTATCCTAAAGAATTTAAAAGATTTGAAGAGCTGAATCTATCTATTGATGGATTTGGCGAACAGACAACCATGGCTAATAAAACAACTTCTAAAATGGTGAACGTTGTTAGAATTTCTGAGATCATTAACGACGTCATTGTTCATTCATTTAACGACGCCTCTTTCCTAAATATGACCGACCAAACCAATAATGAGTTTTTGTTCGAACATTCACAAAGTTCCAAAACTTTATTTGACTTTGGAAAATTATCGAACGAAAAAATGAATAAATCCAGCAACAATGATAATTTAAATGGTGTAAACAGTATGGAATTTCCAGTAGATCAAAATATGGATGGATCTTTCTTACAGAATAATCATCCTGAAGTGGACGGGAAGAAGCAAAGTTTCGCCATTAGATACCATTTGTCGCTAAAGTATGCGATTATTGCAAAATGTTTATTTGCAAGTATAATTGAATCGCATATCGAATATAGTTTATTAACTAAGATGATAAACGATTTTGCTTCTTTAGAAAAAATTTTGACTCTCAAAATTAACGAGACAATTTTGTCAAAATTTCATATTGCTTCTTAAAATTCTCAACCTAATATATTGTAACATTACTCTGCATATATCCACTTAATGATAACAAAAATAATAATAATAATAATTATTAGCTACATATCTTAACTTTGCCATATTTAACAATTAGGATATTTTTTTATCCATTATAGAATTATCCATTTACATATATATAGATATAGATATTATAAGAAAAAATAGTATAATATTTAAGATAGTCCTGTATCTTCATTTATAATTGTTTGAATGAGCCATTCCCGATCTTTGACGTAACATTCTCTAATATCAGAAAATCCGGTATCTATATCGTGTTGAATGTCATTTATAGATTTTGACGTTCGAATTTCGTCTTGGCTGTTGTTAAGGTAAAAGAGTATCTTTAGGCTTTCCTTCTCAATACCTTTCACAATTGAGTGTATTTCATTAAAACTTTCATTAGTAGACTTTAAACAACCTGTATTCGGAATTTGGAATAATTTTTTCACCCCAAAACATGCAAATACAAATTTTGCAAAATCTGTCAAATTAGAATCCTTACAGATAATGACCACAAACTCACTCATTAGTTTACCTGAAAGCTCGCATTGTTGATCTAATGTTTCACCTTTCAGATATTTTGTTAGAAATTGGAAAATGTTACTTGATTTTATGAATGAAGAGAGAGGTATATCATCTAGTCTTGAACTCTCCCCAGAAGGTAGTAGATAGCGATGTACTATATTGTCATCAATCTTGTTTGCAAAAATACATTCATCGATAAATTTACGTTGCAAAGTTGGCCATCTGAGAGCTAACGTTTCCAGATATTTTGAACTTCTAAGGTACCTATCAGCTATAACACATGCAAATCGATAATTTGGAAGGTCTGTATTATTATTTTTCCACTTCATTTCTAAGCTGAATTCTTGAATGTTACTTCGTTTCTTTTTGGTTGAGAACAAAAAAAGATCAGAAAACCCTGTATCAATTACATCACCCCCATATCTAATAATCGTGTCTTTTAATTCATAGCCTACCTCTCTGAAGCCAGTAAAAACAAAGAGTGACCCTTCAAATATTTTGGAAACGTCGTTAGTGCTATTCTTCATGATAATATTTGTGTTACCTTTTATTTTTTGGGCAGGATCGATGGCTTTCGTGTGTATTATACTGTCGAAAATTGAAGATTTTGTCATTATTTCAGATGTTGTACTATCGGTCATTTTTACTAATGAATGTACTTCATCACCAATTACCGTTTCTATCCCTTCTTCGTCTGTTATATAGTCAAAACTCTCATTGAAGTTGACATTTTCAGAGTTTTGGTCAGTCATTTTAATTTCGTCATCGGACTCCTCTTTATAATTTACCCTTTTTCTCTTTCTAGGTGATCCTTTATTTCCGACCCTGGTAGTACGTTTCTTATTTTTTGCAGTTTTAGGTACAATGGTAGGTTGGCCTCCTTTCGGAACAGGTACTAGTAGCATTCTTTTCCTTGTAGTCCAGTCATCCAAATCGAGTTGGATCCATGACATAGGGATAATTATAGGCTCACTGGAATGTGATGGACCATCCTTTTTCTTAAGGTACACCGTATCATAACCACGAATACATCTAATGATTGAAGGGTCAGGTTTCTGGCACTCTAGTGCTTCAATTGTGTATCTGTGGGTTTTATATCTTACAACATCTCCGACTATAACATCGAGATAATAAATTTGTTCTTGATCTGCGCTATAACGATCGCTGTCAAATATAATATCATATTTATTTGTGGCAGAATCTTTGTTCTGGATTACCCCAGGGTAATAATGGAAATTTACATATTGACACCAGACAGCATTTTCAAAGACAATGTCCTCTTTTGTAAGTAGTCTATCATCAGAGTCTCTCTTCACATTAGGATATTCTCTCTTAGAATTCTCTCGTTTGGCTAATTGTTCTTGAGAATGTTCATTTTCTTCGCTCAATTGTAAAGATGGAATAAATATTTTGGTTTTCTTCCTTCCAATTACAATACTTTGGGAATCATCCAAATCGTGGTCTGATATTTCTGGAACCTCTGGTAATTCTTGAGTTATTTCAACGTCACTCATAATAACGTTGCTCCTATCAGAATCAAGACTCTGAGCTACAGCCGGTCTCTCGATTAGTGGTGACGAATCCCTTTCACAAGAAACCTTCAAATATCTTTTTTCCCTAGAGTCAGATTCCAATTTAGGTGAACCTATGAAAGATAACGACTTTTCTAAAGGTTCAACACCGTTTATTTCTTGGTTTATCTTGGTGGGTGAACTGTTTTCTGAAAGTTCAGGAATCTGTTCAAGATTTGATCTGTTAATAACATCTGAATTATTGCCAGGGTTTGATGGAGAGTCAATCATACCGTTAGATATTACAGCATTCGAGTGTAATTCTGTTTTTGATAAATCACTGTGAAAGTCTGTCGTCCTATTATTGATTTCTACAGAGGATGTGGATATATTGGATGTATCTTGGAATTTAGAGGCTAAGGTAGTATTTATTAAAGCCATATCTTTTGATGCGCTCATAACATCAGCTTGTGTAGACATTAATGGTTCGTGTTTTGGGTTAGAATAACTATCTGATATTGTCGTATTGTTGTTATTGGTGACTTTCTGAGTTTGTGCATTTATTAATTGTGTTGTTTGGTCATAAGTTTCTAATTCTTCGCCATTCGAGTCCTTTTTGAATTGCCAATGGTTTGAAATATTCGCGTCATCATTTGTTACATCCTCAAGTAGCATACTAAGGTTATTGTTTGCAATACTCTCTAGTGATCTCGTATCCTGCGTAACTTCTTGATTGTCTTGAGTTATTTTGAAATTCATCTGCTGATTTCGATGCATACTAACCCTTGTAAAAGTCTCCCCTCCACTATTTCTTCGTAACACTTTATTCGAAGTATCTAATGTCCCTATAGATTCAATAGGTTGGGTAGTAATGTCCAAATTTTCATTGATATTATCGCTTAATTGTTGAGTCTCTATAGATGCTAAAGATTTGGTTTCTAGTCCATTAACGTTTGACGCAATAAGGTCTTTAATTTCTTTCAAATTCGACTCAGGAAGCACTCTCTGTGATTCTGGTGTATCTGGAGGTGAGTTATCAAAATCGTCCAAAATGTTTCCTATATCAGTTTTGTCGTCACTATGGAACTGAGAAACTTGTTTGCCTAGTTCTGTTGGGACATTTTGGGTATCTAAATTGTTTTCACTACTCACATTAGATATAAGTTCACTGGTTGAAGGAGTATTATTTATTTGAATTGAAATTTTCTTTTTCTTTTCCTTTGCTTTAGTGGGACTATTCCTTTTAGTAGGGCTTCTATTATCTTTGAAGAAGTTCCGTAGTTTATTTAATCTTGGAGTTCGTACGTGCGGAGATGACTGATTTTCAGGTATAAAACTCTCTGGTGGAAACTTTTGGCTATTCTGAACTTGGATCTCATTATCATCGACTTGAATATTGTTAATGGAGCTGTGGACAATATTTGATGTTAATTTATCTGATCCAGATATATCCATTTCAGAGTTTTCTCCTACCTCCTTGTGTGCTATTTTTTGGATTGCTAAGAGACTTTCATTTGTATCATTAGTAATCATATCTCCTTTGGGTGTGTCTTTCATTACTTCATTCCATGTATGATCTATGTTACCATTTGTTTCAGTATGCATCTCATTAATTTATCAAAAAAAAGAAAGAAGGAAAATATGAACTGTTTTGCCTTCAAAGTTCTATCATTGACAGAATTGTAGATGTTTATTCTTTAGATGAAGGTTCCAAAATTTTGATTCAAAACTCTTTCTTAATCGATTAGTTGTTTATCTTTTAATACAAAGTTAATGTTTCATATTTAAATGACAAATAAATAGAAAATCTATGTAAGTCATCGCTATCATTTTCAATTATGTAATTTTTCTGAAGATCGCTTTTACTACAATTTCACGAATTGTCTGTGGGAGCCGTAGAAAAATATAATATGCTGTAAGGTGGAACGACTGAGACAACCTCACCCAACAAAGTAAACTATGGGATTCTGGTTGATCAGTAGGTTACAATCAGCATTATAAAAAAGAAAAAAGGAATAGATTTATAAATTTTATAACTAAGCTGAGCTTGTGGTTTAATAAGCTAGAAGGCTCACAAGAATTTGAATATATACATATATATATATATATATTTTAAATAGCTCTCTCAAGATCACACAGAGTTACTTTTGTAGTAGGTGAAGAATCATTAGAGTTTTGAAGTATTTTCTCAAGATCATCTATTTTCTTTTGGTAAGCCTCAATTATTCTATTTTTTTCATTAAGTTCTTTCCCCACAACAACCTCACAATCTGGGGTTAAAACAATATCAGTTGGCGAAGGGTTAACCCTAAATAAGGCAGGTGAGGAGCTAAATTCCTTGGTTGGCTCAATGCTATCCCCTTCTTTAACGTCTTTCTTTATGTTAATTTCATTTTGTTTTTCTATTAACCTTCTCGTTCTAAATTTTTCATAAATATAATTATTGGTCGAGGACTGAAGTTCTTGAATATGTGATCCTAAGATTATTCCTTTAAGAAATGAAAAATTTGATGACCTTATGTCATCCACCATAATTTTAGAACATATGTTATCCCTATATAACTCATTGGAATCTTCTGACAACTTATTTCCAAGTATAACAGCGAAGGGTTGAAAGTCCTTTATTAACTTATGTTCACTTTCTTCAAATATGTCATCTAAAAAATCGTCATTAAAATCAAAGACTTTAATATTATTATTTTTTATATCAACGTTTACTCTTTTCTTTATGATATCTACCTCTTCGTCATTAAATCTGTCAGCTTTACCAATAACTAATATAATATTGATTAAGGACGAAATTTCACTTAGTATATCAATTTCAAGCATCTGTAACTCTTTTGCATTACCATCGATAAAAAAAATGCAAGCGTGAAGTCTTTTATCTGATGTCCTATTGTACTCTTGATTTCTTAATACTTTGAATTCATCATTCAGGAACGAATTGTATTGGGCTTCGATATGCTCTCTTATCCGTTTTGGTGCGGAAGAATTGTTGAGTTGATTCACGGTATCACAAGATGTAACATTTAAAAGGATTGAAGACGTTAATTCATTTCGAATTTTAACAATAGACCGTTCAAATATGGGACCATGGGGGACAATATGACCGTTATTTTCTGAGTTAAGCCGAACTACTTCAGATTCAACGTTATTATTGACCAAATTTTCTAAAAAGGTGTGTTTCCCAATCCCTGGTGGTCCTAACAATAGTAAATTAAAATAAATAACTTGTTTTGAATTTTTCCTTCTACGAAGTTCCTCCGCAGTTCTCATTCTTGGTTATATATATGTGTGTTGATATATGGGTGTTTGTTTTATTGTTGGCTATTTTGTTGTAGTTAGGATATCATTTTTAAAAAAAAGTTAGTAAAATTTTGTTAAATATTAATTTGTGTCATTTTATCTTAAGGGAGAAAAAAACCAATACGACCGAGAACGATAATAGGCGATAATAAAGAAACAACAGGAAAAGGATAAATAAGGACAAATAAGCAGTGTTCGCGAAAAATAATTAATCATTTCACATAATATATTAACTTTATAACTTTAAGAGGATTATAGAAAAACTATATATCAGATATATGGAATTACTATATCTATTGGTTAATAATTTTATTTTCGTACAGATTCTTGATATTCTTACCCTGTTTAATAGGCTTTACTGGGGCATACTTTGAGCTTGAATCTATCCTAGTTGGTTTGTTCATTGACTCTAAGTGTTGTTGATATTTTTGTGAAAAATTATGTTTATTATTAATATTATTATTATTATAACTCGTTTTTGGAAATGGTTCTTTATCGTTTTTTAAAGTTTTCTTTGGAATATATGTATTTTTTGTTTCAGATTCTCTGACCTTCATTAAATATTGATCAGTAATATTTCTGTTATTATTAGATTTGGGAAGTATTAAGTTTTGTAATCCATTAAATCTCTCATAGAGGGCATCATCCTGTTGTAGTTGCTTAGGATTCTTCGGTATTTGAATTTCGTTTTCCTGAGACATCAATCTTTCAAATAATAATGCTTTCTCTTTTACCTTCATAGTATCTTTCACCTTATCAATATTATGTAAAATTGGTTCTTCATTCATAACTGGTGATGGCAACGATTCATCTAACGAGAAGTTCCATTCGTCGTCAGAAAACAATGAATTTACTGAAGAACGAGATAATGTTGATAAGGTTGGAGACCCTTGATTTTGTCCTATACTTATATCCTGTTGAATATATTCTGTGTCTTTTATCTTGTCATTCACTTTTCTTATGGCTTTGACATACGACAGAACAACATTCCCCATATTTTTAGTCCTATACTTATTTGACTGTAATTCATGTTCTATTACCCAGGTTAACTTTGGCTGTTCTTTTAAACCGATTGTGGAACATTCTGGTGAAAGTTTAGCCTTATGTATTAGCACTCGGAAAAATTGGCAGGTCTCGTAAAGTTCAGTTAACTCATCAATGTCCAAATAAGAAAATATCTGTAATACTATAGTTAGAGGAAAATTCAATGAATTCTCATGTGACTTATTATAGTTTAAGGATAATGACATTCGCTGGAAATTTATTATTATTTTGTTGTTATCAAAGTTATCACAAGTGTGTATGGAGCTAAATGTATAGTGTTGTGAGCTAATCAGCCTTTTTGTATTATCTTTCAAAATAATGAACTAATTTAAATATAACAGTAATGATAAACTTGGAAAAACAGTATAATTTTATGTTTATATTCGATGACTCAACCTATTTTTACTTCTTTTTAAATGATGTTACATATAATATGGGAAAAAAAGAACATCTCATCTTCGTTTATTATTTAAATGAAGTTTATCCAAAAAGTCACTGGTTTCTAGTATTTCTTTCTTACCAAGAGAAACCCTGGTTAGACCAGCCAAACGAAATTGGCAATTTTCGCCTAATCGGGTAATTATGTAAACACACAAAAAATTCAAAAAGAATATGGTGTTACCCTGATGGATCACGTGATTTTTTAAATCAAAAAGTGACATTTGGCAAAGTTGAAGAAACTAAAGGAGAAAGTGTTAACGTGGGAGTCCTGGATAGTTTTAATACGAGTATATCTGGGGGGTGTTTAAAATATTATAGAAAGGGTAACCCTATTTTTAGTTGAAATGTGTCAAGAATTGAATTAGAATTCTCTCAAAAAGGTGCGTGGGAAGTGCGTATAGTCTAATTAGATTCGACTATGAAAACCAAATATTCATTACTTTGGATTCTATCCCTATTAAGTGTAATTGAGGCCCAGGATATCTTAGGTGTTGCACCCGAAGATTATCAGTTATATAAATCTGATAAAGATGGTAAATGGTCCTGCTTATCGGATAGCAATATTCAAATTGATATCAGCCAGATAAATGATGGTATATGTGATTGCCCTGATGGAACCGATGAACCTGGTACTGCTGCATGTTCGGATACCCTTGAATCCAGATTATTCTATTGCCAAAATAATGGTTTCAAGTCTAGATACATTAGAAGTTCTTTAGTTGGTGATGGTGTCTGCGACTGTTGTGATTGTTCAGATGAAAATATATCTGGAACGAATCAGAATACTTGTAGAGAGCTTTCTACAGTATTTGATAGAATTTCAGAGACAGAATTAAAGGGTTATAAGGATGGTCAAACTAAATTGAACAAATTATTAAAAGAATTTAAGGTTTCAAATGCTTTAGGTGATGAAAATAAAGAAAATAAGGAACCAGAAACTGAAAAGCAAATTATAGAGACAGATATTCAAAGCTTGAATGATGAACTTGAGGACATTAAAATTTTATTAAAGAAAAACAAGGATTATTTCTTTGAGAGACTTGAAACTGATAATCCATTGTTATTAAATTTTGAAAAAGTAGATTTGAATTATTTGACTAATGAAATTAAAGAAATATATGCGACTATTGAGACTACAAGTAGAGCATACCAAGCATTAGTTAAAATTTTAAAGGATTTATCCTTCTCCTATACAGAATCATTAAATGATCGTGTAGTTAATGACAATATGGATGAATTTGATAAACTAATGCGCCGTCCAGAGATGTCCAAAGTAATTGCTGACCCCATGACTGATGTAGAACAACTGGGGCAATTGTTGCAATATTTTGATGAAGAATTGCCTACCATTTTTTGGGAAAGGGAGTCAGAATTTCCATCAGATTATGTGATCAAGAAATCGAAGTTCGTTATGGCAATGGTGGATGGGAAAGCAAACTATATGGAGACCTTAAGAGATTATATTAAGGGTTTCTCTGCTTTAATGAACGATATCTCTGAGAATTACAATGTTAACTTTCAAGATGTTGGTACATTGACAGCGGTCGATGCTTATAAGAATTACCTTTCCAAATATACAGATTTGGGCAATGCAGAGAAATATAAATTACCACCAAGGTTTATTAAAGAATATAATCGTCTTGTAGATGTAATTGAGGAAGATGTCCCAAAATTGTTGATGGATGGTGAAGACGAAGATAGCGATGATGATTCATTGAATCAAGGTAAAGGAAGCTATTTGAAGAATGGACGTAATAGTAATGACAATTCTCCATATGGTACTTTGAGTACCGATTTGGAATCATTAAAAGAACAAATTGAAGTGTATCAAGTTAGAATTACGGATATTGAATCATCTATAAGAGAGAAAGAGGCAGAACATGGTATATTGGTCAAAATATTAGAACAAGAGAGTATTTCTGTTGAGAAAAATGGCTTAAGTAAAGAAGACCAAGCAATGTTGAGACAAATTACAGAGTTGGTAGAGAAGATGGATGAAGAAAGTAGTACTATTTCTGAAGTTCTTGATAATTACAGGTATTCTATTAAGCTAAATCCATTATCACCAGGTACCATTCATCAATTTGAGGACAAAATGAATGGTAATGCTGTTAATATTGGTACTCTGAATCAAATATACTTGGATCATGATATTAATTTGTCAAAATTTGCAGATCACATTAAGCTTGAATATGGTGATGATGATATCATTACTCATCTTTATAATGATAATAAAACTGTTGGTAAGAGAGCATATCTTTTTGATGATCTGGATAAGATTAACAATGGACTGGTCTTTGAATATATTAATGGTGATAAGTGTTGGAATGGCCCACAAAGGTCTGCAAAGGTCTTTATGAAATGTTCAGAGACATTTGGTATTGAAAACGTTTACGAAATGACCAAGTGCAATTACATGATTGATGCCAGTGGGCCTCTTGGTTGTAATTTACAATTTCCATTATCTTCTTAAAATAGATAGAAACGATCTAAATGCGTACATATAGAGAGAGAGAGAACGTCTCATTAAATACAGAAAATATAAAGAATCTAAATGGTAGTTAAACAGCGATATCCATAAGTTTTCTCCATTCTATAATATTGACGTAAAAGGGTCTTACTTATTTTTTTCCTTCAGTACTTTCTTAGAGAATGATATATTACATTTAAGAATCGTTGATCTAAACGTACGTCAAGTCGTTGTCGGTTTTTCTTTTCTTCGACAGTATGGATAATATAAATATATGGAGAGAGATAAGTATATAGGCAAAACCCAAGTTTAGTTCAGTAACTTAAGGGTCCTGCGTCTAGATAATAGAAACTGTCAATTTTATGGACTACATTAGAGGTATCATCCCGTAATCGGTTTATGGTTTCACTGCAAAGTATGCAAAATATAAGTATAAGTTCTGTTTGTCAATATTATTATCCGGTTTAATAATATAATATTTTGGTTTTCAATTTACGGTATATATATATATATATAATGTAATAGTATTAAGCCTACGAATTTGTTGTGATTATTGGAAACCCTTTTATAGCTAGATAGATATACGAATTTAGTTGAACTAATAAGTGCTGGGGGTTTCTACGATTGCACACGCTAATAAATATAAGTTGATCAATTTTCTTGACAACTAGGAAGTGGCTCAGACTATATCGAAAGACGAAGACATGTCACATGAGAAAGAAAATAAATCTTTCTAATTTCCCATCTGCAGTCTTCTCTTCTTAAGAAAAAAATAATAATTGTGTAAATGGTTTGTTGAAATTCTCTCAAATTACAATAAACCTTAATGAAGTAAAGTTACTGTAACAGCGAAGTCGTTCGGGTCAGTTGACCATATTTTTTGTTTGTTTGTTTATAGTTTTTTCTCCATTTACTGCGAAGTTTTAGTACTGTAAATTATTTACAATATTCATGGTTTGCCAGACGAAAAACTACAGCAGTAGAAGAAGCAACTGCAGTTATTGTAACAGATGAATAGCGTTTAATACAAGAAAGATGGATAGGGGCAGAAGTAGAATAAATGAACAACCCAATTAAGATACTGTAAAAGGCAAAATGTACACAACTAATTATATATAATTGTTTACCCTTTTTTTGGGTCTCTTATTTAGAAAATATGTACGTTTAAAGTAATTTACAACAAGGTCTCTCATAATTGCGTACATTGGTAATACAACTGAATTGTTACCGTATTTGGTTACTGACAATATGCTGATTCGTGGTACAACCATCCACATCACTTGATATTCTTAATACTTTGCTTACAACTCCACTGTCGATGATGAGAATGACACACCAACTCTCTTGAACTTTTAACCCCCCCTCTTTCTGTGTTCATCAATCTCGGGATGTTATTATTCAATTATACCCGGCCTGATCTCTCTGGGTTGATCCAATGATAGTGTTGAATATATGGACCGTATAATTGTTGTCATTATTATATAATATTCTTATATAACACCAACCTCCGGTGTTCTTCGTATATATATATAATTGTAAACAGTTATATCACCTTTTGTTGTTGTTTTTGATCTCGATCTTGATCCTTACATTCACTATTTTTTTTTTTTTGGTTGTTCGTTATATAATCTGAATTTGATTTCATTTACATAGCTTTTTCTTGTGTAAACAGTTAAAAAGAAAGTAAATCATTAAAGGACAATAAAGGAATTGAAACACTTCCTTTACCCAAATTAAAGTAATTCACAGATTTAAGATCAAAAAAGTTCTTTGACTTGAAAAATTAATATGCCTTCCACAAATTTCATTCCAATTTATGAGGTTATCCCTCCAGCTCAAGGTCATTATAAGACCGTTAACAAATTATCAGATCTTTCTTGGAAAGTTCCAAAGGATGGATTTGAAAAATCAAGTGCTTTGAAAATTAAAAAATCAATGGATTCCAAAATTGAAACTCAAACTCTATACTTCACTGATCTTGATAGTGGTGTATCTGGTTTTGTTCAAATACTGTATTCTCATGTCCTTGGTGGGTTCTACAGAGGTTTCCAATTGAACTTTAAAATTTTCAGTCATAAGAAGGATGTCGCTAAAGATTTTGAAATATGGGAGTCTTATAAATTGAATGATATGGAATTTGTTAAATCTGCTAGTAAGAGTGATCATTATGTTTATTTGGGTGCTAAGGGTAAGAAGACAAGTATTGCATTCACAAAAAATCCAAAGAAGAAGACTAACACTAAATATTATGCCAATTTGGATATTGATATCGAAATTCCAAAGAAGGACCTAATTATTCATTTGAAAGCATATTTAGGTGATGGGTTTATGATTAGTCCAAGTGGTTGTAGTTACTATTTAGATAAAGAAGTCAATTTCAAAGAAGATACATTGGCCAATATCAAGAGATCTGGTAGAACTTCCGAAAAATATATGAGACACATGTTTATGCCAAACGGTTATTGTGAGGGTCACATTGAATACTCTAAAGGTGACGATTTGTTAGAAATTAACTTAGTTAAAGTTCCTGTAGTTTATATTGATGCCGTTCAAGGTCTTCTACCAAATAAAGCTGCACGTATGTGGAATTTCTTATGTTTTAAGAGTAAATCTTATACTGTGACTTTAATGGAATTTATTACAACTGAAGAATATGGTAGTGTTACTGTCTCCATTTGGAGTATATCAGAAGGTGATAAATTGACTTCAATTGGTTCTCAAGTGGATAATGATAGAATTGTCAGATATAAACAAGTCGAGGTTGACAAGGAAACAGGTTGGGAGTATCCAACCACTGTGAAGTTCGATTTCATGAATGGTGATAAGATGAAGATCAAAAACATGAATATGGTCAATAGATTTGATATCTTAGGAGAACTACCAAGTGCAATTAGAAAGGCTGCAGAAAGTATTGCCAATATAAAGCCATACTTGTATCAATATTGTCAACAAGCCGAATTTAGAGGTGAAAAGGGTACTTCTATTGTTGAAGCTACATTTATTAGTTAGTGGTATCGTCAATTTGAGATAAAAAGATACACTTTGTTTCGATGTCAATCTACTTTTTTTTATGTTTCAACCCCTTTAACTTATCCTGAAAATTCTCCAGTACAATACCCCCAGCCTTATTTTGCTATTTCTCCAAGTCCTATTCGGATGATGTATTATGAATACCATTTGAAGCCTAATAATTAATAACAACAACAATTAATATATATAATATTTAACTGTATGATAAAAAAATGTATAACTAAACAAACATATCTGTATAATAAGAGAATAAAATTACATATATATATATGACATGTTAAAATTTTATAAAATTAGTCCTCATATGAGTAGTATTATTAAAATTTAAAGAAAAGGGATACCTTTGTTCGCTTTGATTATGATGACTTTTTAAGTGAATAAATTAATGCAACATTACCCAAAAGTATGTCTAACGACTATCATTACATTAATCTATACCAGAGGCAGCATTATAGATAGAGTTGTACCGATAAAATTTATGTGTTTCTCATTCATTATATTTGGTAGATGAAAATTGGTTAGTCGTCATCATTCACATATTCAATGAATGACGAAGCAAGGTGATAAATTTGCACTATAAAGGTAGATACCAATCTTTATATGTGCAATCTCCAAGGATGTTCTATTTTATATCTTTCTTGTTGTTGGTAATTTTCATTTTCTTCTTAAAAAATAAAATGCTTATGCATATTAGTATATATAATATCATTTCATGTATAATTTCTTTAACCTAATAATTTGACAAAATACCAAGCTGCCCCTGCTGCAATACCACCAACTGCCATCATCTCTACACCTTCGATTGTCTTCTTATATGGTGTAGCAGTTTCACCCATTGATAATTGTGCTTTAGAATAACCGAATATAAATAATGTGATGGCCATTAAGATTGTAGAATAAAGAACACCTGTGCCTACACTATCTACAAAGAAATAAGGGAATAAAGGTACGAACCCACCCAATAAATAACCACCACCAATTGTTACAGCACTTATTAATTGTCTATTCTCTGCAGGTTCGTCAAGGTTTCTTCCATATTTAATTAAGAATTCCAACATTAATTCTGGATCATTTTGAAGATCCTTTATAAATGATACAATGGTTTCTTCACTAAAATTAGGGTTAATATTTAATAAAATATCCTCAACTTCATGATTCACTATAGTTGTATCTTCAAAGAATTTCTTCCTCTCTATCTTAACTTCTGATTTATAATAATCCATTTCACTCTTAGCCCCCAGATAACCACCTAAACCCATCGATATAGCACCAGAAATCAATTCTGCGAACCCACCAGTGATGACTAACTTAGAATCTCCTAGTGAGGATAAACCTGCGGTTAAAGCAAAGGGGACAGTTAACCCATCACTTAAACCAATAATAAGATCACTAATGACTCTAGGGTCTATTGAACTAAATATATTATGTGTTAATGATGCATTATGATCATCGTGGGATGAAATAGATTTATCGCTAGCTTGAACAATATGTTGTTCTAAATCATGAGAATTGGAACCATACGTACTATTATTTCTAGAATCATTTAATAAAGGAGACTGTTGATCATCATTCGATTTAGAAGATATAACTGCTTTTATAGCATTCTTTATGGCTACAATTGCCATTTTTCGTGTTGTTATGTTTTTTTGCTTTCCTGATAGTGTTTTATGTTATTTAGACAACGTGGAGCGATCGTCAAACTTATATTTAAATTGAATTCAAAAGAAAAGATATGTGAAAGCAATAAAATATATTAGAATTTAAGCTATCTAACTATATTTTCTTTTTTTATTTTATGTACTCTCTTTATTTATGAGATGGGAGAGTTTTTTAATAATATAATATTTGTAATCACTCAAAAATGACTTTCTTTATTTTTTTAAATTTTTAATTTTTTTTATTTTTCTAGCCCCTCTTATATTATATGCTCTCTTAGTATAATAAAAATTTGAAATTCTTTTAATATTGAGATTATTAAGAAATATATGAATCAAATTAACCGGATAGAATGAATATATACTTGATTTAAAATTAGAGTTAATTATAATAAACTCTAAATGAAATCGCTATTATTTATCGGAATGAATCAGAAAAAAAAATACTTGCAAATAAAAAGTACCCGTTAATTATCTGTTATAATAAATGATACTATAATTGAATTCTCAGCTGAAGTATAGCAATCAAATATATATATATATATATAAATGTATTAACTCTGTGATCATCTAATTATCTAATTAAGAAAAAACAAGGGAAACTACAGATAACCGAATAATTTTCAAAAAGAGATGACCAACCATAAAGATATTTATATGTATTATTATTGCTTCATCTAAGATAGCCTTATTATTATTATTATTACCATCTCATGTTCTTGTTATCTGTATTGTTATTAAGTGTATTTCACAGTTCAATATGGATTCAATGCGTATATTCGATACTCAATCTCCAGTTGACAAGAATTATAATAGAAGAAGAACTGTCCTTCCTTTGCTGTTAGTATTATTCTACAATAAATTCTCTTAAGCGTCGTGAATCTCTCTCTATTAAACAAAGAGATGACAATAACAAAATTACAAATTAGAGAGAAAGTTGGTCATTTCATTCCAATTCATATTTACGTTACTGGTGTTGTTTAATTAGTAAAGTAATAAAGACTAACTTAACTCTCTACCAGTTATTGTTAGTAAAAATTGGTATGTCTGATGTAACACTCTCAATTCTCTCTCTTTGGTGCTTTAAAAGTTGATAAATTCGCTGTTTCTTTTACGGACTACGTATTTTAAGTCATTAAAAAAGAATGAGGGGGAAGTTAACAAATATTTTTCATATCTTTTTCTTTTTGGTTTTGGCCAATCAGAGCCCAGATCGTTAGTAATTCAAAGGGTTCTGCGCCGATCATTGGTAGAATGAAGTTTTGACACTAAAATTTGTAACGTGAAGGATAAAGCAGATATATTTGGCACGTGATGTGCACGTGACATACACCAGCACGATGGCGGTTATTTGATATTTAAGCTGAATAGATGTACATTAAGATATTTAGATATAATTTAAAATGTAAAATTAAATATTAAGATATCTTGAAGTTTTTAATAGTTTTTAATATTTTTGTCTAATTTTTATATGATTCACTTATTTTTATCGTTTTGGTCTTTATTATTAAATTAACAACTACGCATCCTTCAGTAAACAAAAAAATGAAAGTGATAATCTTTCTTTCTGACATTATGTCAGTCAATCTTCACTACTACAATACAACAACACATCATTTTAACTAACTTAAACATTGTTCATATTTTATAAATTTTAATATTATATTAAATTAGTTATAAAATTTATCGTTACAGACTATTATACAATTTTTTTTTCTTAAATGACCCAAATAATATTATTGCAAAAAAATAGAAAATCATCAAAAAAGGAATACAGATATATATATTTTTCTTTTCTTTATTTCTTTTAAGGATATTGAATATCAAAATTAAGCTTGAGTGGAAGAAGAGTACTTGGTGACAGCTCTAGTACCTTCAGAGACAGCATGCTTGGCCAATTCACCTGGTAGAATCAATCTAACAGCAGTTTGAATTTCTCTAGCAGAAATGGTAGATTTCTTGTTGTAAGCAGCTAACTTAGAAGCTTCAGTAGCAATTCTTTCAAAGATATCGTTAACAAAAGAGTTTAAGATAGACATGGATTTTTGAGAAATACCGGTATCTGGATGTGTTTGTTTTAGAACTTTGTAAATGTAAGAAGAGTAAGTTTCCTTTCTAGCCTTGGTTCTCTTCTTACCTTCGACACCAGAAGAGGTCTTCTTGGCAGCTGGCTTTTTTTCAGCTGGAGCTTTGGAAGCTGGTTTCTTGGATGCTTGAGTAGACATTATATGTTTTGTGTTTGTATTTGTGTGTATAATTTTTATGTTATATTTAATTTGTAATCAAAAATAAAAATAAGAAATAATAAAAGAATTAAGAATTAACATAAATAAATAAATAAATGATATGTTTTGAAAAGAAGAAATTAGACCTTAAAAGTAATCTTGTAATATAAAGATCAATTATATTCATCTTTATATATTAACTTTTTTTCCCATTCTGTTCTGTTCTGATTTATTGATATAGTTTATTATTTATGAACAACCAACTTTCTTTACTATTATTACTATTATCTAAATTAGTTAAGTGTCCTATAGTAAATTACAAGACCATCAATACAAACTTTTTATTGTTGTTGTTTGTATGTAATACTTAAGATTGATATATATGAAATATAATATTAACAACACCTCATGCTGAAAATTTCTTAGGCTCCCAGCATTAAGAAACGTTGTTCCCCGCGAAAAAATGGGAACGAAGGGGGTTTGTAGTGCGTTTTTTTCTTTTTCAATTACCGAATTAGGTGAACAAGGCGAATATCCATAGTTAACAGATTTCAAAGTTTTTTTCAATTTTTGAACTTCTTGGAAGCGAAAGGAAACAGAGTTCGCCGTTCCAATCTTTTCACATCAACGAGTGAAAAGATGAGAACAGTCATTCTCAGAATGAACATTTCTTAACATAATACTAATAATACTAATAATAATAATACTAATAGTAATAATAGTAATAATAGTTCAAAGGCCTAATAACCTTATAGTTATACTAATTCTTCTCACTTTGTCTGAATAATTCTCAGTTTTATTAGTTTTGAATATTGTTCGTTAAACTGTTTTCTCTTCCTTTGTTATTATTATATTTTGAAATTGGTAATAAAAGATAATTCCTCAATTCACATTAAGATATATAAAGGCGATAGATTTATTCATAATTACAACATACATTTGTTTTAAAAGAGTCTTGTACATTTCTTATTCTATTCTATGTCTTTCTCTCTCTTTCTTAATATTAGTTTCAGTAAAATATACTATCAAAAAAATAAATACTATATCAAACATACATTACCTGTCTGTTTAATCCATATATATCTATTTTTATTAATACAAACACACATAACTTTTCCCAAACAAATTCATATAATACACAATGTCCGGTGGTAAAGGTGGTAAAGCTGGTTCTGCTGCTAAAGCTTCTCAATCCAGATCTTCTAAAGCTGGTCTAACTTTCCCAGTCGGTAGAGTTCACAGACTTCTAAGAAGAGGTAACTACGCTCAAAGAATTGGTTCTGGTGCTCCAGTTTACTTAACTGCTGTTCTAGAATATTTAGCTGCTGAAATCTTAGAATTGGCTGGTAATGCCGCTAGAGACAACAAGAAATCTAGAATTATTCCAAGACATTTACAATTAGCCATCAGAAATGATGATGAATTGAACAAATTGCTAGGTAACGTCACCATCGCTCAAGGTGGTGTCTTGCCAAATATTCACCAAAACTTGTTGCCAAAGAAGTCTTCTAAGCCAAAGGCTTCTCAAGAATTATAAGTATCTCATTTTTAAAGAATAACGAAAAAAAAAATTAAAGACTTATTTATAATAATATTAATAACAATCAACAACTCATAATAAGATAAAATATTCGTCATATCATAAGTTTTTCTTCAACATTTATTACATTTATTTTCTTTGGGGGTCTCTGACAATAATGCATTTGATATAGTATAAAAAACTTCAGAAATATTTTTTATCATGTCTTTCTGAAGACTATGTTAATTGCAAGGTACTATTAAAAAAATTCATCAATATATTGTTTATGTTTCAAGTTTATAACTGTATAAATATTGTATAATAATAATGAAGAAAGAAAACATAACAACATTATAAATATAATTAAAAACAACAACAGTTTGAAATATATATCTATTGATTACGTATATTTTTATCGAGCTCAAACAGTCGCCTTTCTTCCGAAGAACAAAAGAGTTGGACCTTAGTTAGTATTAAAATAAAATAAAAGTTAATACAGTTTTAACCATTTAACGACATCTACTCTTCAATACTAAACTACGTTAATCATCCATACGAATGACTGTCGTGAATAATTATGTCTCATGGATAAATTGAAAGAGGGACCATACGTCTCAGTCAAAGCAAACAAAAAACCACGCGAGATTCCTAAATTTTATTTTTCACTCTTTCTATCTATCTCTGTCACTCTTTTGCTGATGGCTGCCCAAAAGTAGACACACCAAAGAGAAAAATTGGACGATGAAAAATGAATACCGCGACAACGGAAGAAACAAATCGAAATTTCCTCAACAATGGAAACTTTCATAATTTAGTTTCGTTTCAGTCTGTCGACAGATTCGGTCAATTGTAAGACCACATATATATATATATATATATATAAGCACAGCTATCTATAAGTAACTAACTACATACTTTTTTTGAATATTTTTTGTTATCTTTTAGGTCCTTCAATTTAAGTTCTTAAATCATCAATCCCGTTTTGTTTTCTTACAGATTAACTATACCTCTATATATCTAAAAAAATGTCTTCTTCTGATTCTATTAGAATGGTCCTAATTGGTCCACCAGGTGCCGGTAAAGGTACTCAAGCTCCAAATTTGGTTAACAAATTTGGTGCTGCTCACTTAGCCACCGGTGACATGTTGAGATCTCAAATTTCCAAAGGTACTCAACTAGGTCTAGAAGCTAAGAAGATTATGGACAAAGGTGGTTTAGTTTCCGATGAAATTATGGTTGGTATGATTAAGGATGAATTAACTAACAACTCTGCTTGTCAAAAGGGTTTCATTCTTGATGGTTTCCCAAGAACCATCCCACAAGCTGAGAAGTTGGACCAAATGTTAACCGAACGTGGTACTCCTCTACAAGCTGCTGTTGAATTGAAGGTCGATGATGACTTGTTGGTTGCAAGAATCACTGGTAGATTGATCCATCAAGCTTCTGGTAGATCCTACCACAAGTTGTTCAACCCTCCAAAGGTTGACATGAAGGACGATGTCACCGGTGAAGCTCTAGTTCAAAGATCCGATGATAACGAAGAATCTTTGAAGAAGAGACTAGATGCTTACCATTCTCAAACTGAACCAATTGTCGACTTCTACAAGAAGACTAATATCTGGCATGGTATTGACGCTGCTCAAGCTCCATCTACTGTCTGGGAAAACATCCTAAAGGCTCTGAATAAGAACTAAGCTGTGTTCATGAAAATATTATAAATGAAAATTACAAAAAATTAAATTAAAATGAAATTATTCCTATTTTTTCCTATTTCCTATTGTTTATATATATAAATATATTTATATATGTATCTGTAAGTATTAGTGTATAAAAATCAAAGGAATTAATGTACCTACCAATGCTTAGTATGACTCTCAGTTTAATACGGACAACTCGAATTAAAATTAAATATCATTCCAATGGTTTCATCAATTTTGAATTAAGATTACATATCATTCAATCAATGGTTTTATTATGGAACGGCGTTACTCAAACCAGAAAAGTCCTTCAGAGAAAAATATCTAAAAACTATTATTATAACGCGGGCGAGAAAGCGAGTGCGAAAGCGAAAGAGAAGGGCAAAAACAAACAAACAAACAACCGAGAAGGAATTACAGATCAAAACATGAAGAAACTAAATGTTTTTTAAGAAACATTAAACAAGGTTTAAAAACAACAAAAGAATTTGTAATATATGAAAATTGGAAGATTTACTTAGGTTATAAGAACGGAAAAGGTAGACCATAGGAAAGCTACATATAGCGAATATCCATTATACTATTATCGAATAAAGAAGCCCACCTTTAGAATACTCACGTATCGGCTACATTTATCTTTGTTTTTTTTTTATTTTTTTATTTTTTTGCATCACCTAAGATAGACAAGAAATTCAATAATTTTATTGTCAATTTTTTCCCCAGAAAGAAAGAATCCAAGACATATCTAGGTTAAATATATTCGATTGGGTTTCAATTAATTTTATCTCGGAATAGGTTACTTTATATTATTTGACCTTCTCAATTTAGTTAAGAATTAAGAAGTATGTCCCAAGAGAATAGGAAAGTGTCACATAATGTGAGTTCGAGTACGGAACTCTTAAAACATACAAATAATATTTCGCCGTCAAAATTATTACCAATAATGACTTATCGAAAAAACAGGGAACATTCATTTTCATCCCACAATAATAATTATACTACTACTACCACCACCACTACTACTACTGTTGATAATGTGAAGTCATCAGTGACAGAAACACCCAAACCAAAAAAAAGACTATTTGTTGAAAATAATGATAATGATAATGATAATGATAATGATGATGAGGATGAGAATATCGATACAGCAACGTCAAGTGCAAAACGTATTAATAGACTTCCACCAGAATATCATTATCCAGAGGAACAAAATAAATTATTATCATTATTAAAATCAAGAATGAAAATTTCGAAATCCTCATCACCAAAACAATCGATACAAAATGAATTTAACCTTGAAAAACCAAATACCATTATAGAATCAAAGAATAAATCACCTAATTCTCTGGTGCCCAATGAGGTGATAAATTCACAATCAGTTCTAAATAAATCAAAAGCAACCAACATATCAATTTTTAAAAGTACAAGTAATAATAACCCAAATACTGGGAACAGTGGTCGACAAATAAATAAAGAGACATTTCTTAGTTCAATGAGATCCTTCATCGATAGAAAGTATCACAATCAAGATGTTGATAGTCCTACAAATAATCATACAGCAAATTCTACACATAATAATAGCAACCAAGAAAACAGAACAGATCTTTCACTAAGTCAGTCAAAAGTTAAACCAATCCATAACGAAATATCGACTCCCGTATCGAGTAATTCTACTCCCGTCATATCACAACATAAGGATGATAAATCGCCATTGCCAGTTAAAAAGGATAGCATGGGGGACGAACCTGCAAACAACAAAGAACATAGTAGTATAGGAATATTATCTCAGAAACCAATTATAATAGATCTTGAAAATGATACATCATCTGACAAGGATGATGTAAATGTCGAAAAGGCTAAACATAATCATGATCTCACCCAATCAAAACAGTCACGTCCAAGCATACCTGAAGAAAACCAAATACATAGTATCGTGACGAAGAAATTAAAAGAATTGGTACGTATCCAACAGAATACTGATCCAGAGCCGGAATCCTATTTAGGTTTAGCAGGGCCTTCAACTGATTTTTCGTCAACTATTAATGAAGCTGATAAAGCAGATAATGCATCAGAAGAAGAAAACACACACACAAATAACGAAATACCGTCAACAAAAAACATTGATGTAGTCCATTCACAAAGTTCTCCTAATTCTGTTCGCAGAAGTTCGCCAAATAATACAACTTATTGTAGTCTTAAACAGACAATAAATGAGGCCCAGAAAGCGTTAACAACAAATAAAACTGATGCCACTACCTCAATCGAATATGATGCATCACAAAATGAGACGAATATAACTGATAAGACGCTATCGAACAATGTTGACCCCTCTATTTTTAATACACAACAGGTGAAAAACACTCTATTGTCTACAAAAAGGATAAATCCCATACAACCTTTTCAAAAGTCCTCTTCTGACGAAACTGTCGATTTTCCAGACGTTAAAAGGCAGAAAATTACAGAAAATTCGAAGAGTATTATCCAAGATACGGATGCGCCTAAGGTAGTTTCAAACAATTCAAATACTGGGCGGTCTATACCACTTATAACCAGAAATACTGTTTATATCGCGTCTCGCTCAAGTCCTCCACCATTACCCGATCCGAAACAGAGGTCACCAACAAATCCTAGGATCTTACCGACTGCTTCATCTATACAACCAGATCAGGCTTCTAATACAGAGAAATCATCGTCGCCTGATATGGAAAATATTGTAAAACAAGAAGAATTTAGTGGAAGTTTAAAAGATGGAATTGTTCAGAATGATTTTGGTCCATTTCGTACTAGGCTTAGTACGTCAAAGGCACTGAATAAAACGCCGTCACACCACTCTGCAACACTTGAGGTTATATACATCTCTGACTCAGATTCTGAAGAACAAGTTGAAGAAAAATCCTCAACCAGCGAAGTAATTGAAGACAGTGATTTGGATGGTGACGCTACATCCCTGAGCAAGAATAACGAAAAGGTTAAACCCCAAGAGGTAGTTGAGACGAATACCGTATATATCAGTGCGGACATACCAAATGAGGAAATTGGAGGGGAACGGAAGAGATATGATAGCAGACTTAATAGGAGAGCAATGAGGACCTTAAATGCCTTTAAATCGCACCATAGAAATGATATGATTCAATTAATCGAAAGTGGGGTTATTGCACACACCTCTTTAGTATCAAATAGCTTAGTGAGTAGCACAAATAATGTTTGTCAGTCGAAAAACTTTGAGACAAGTCCTGCCCTAGACTATCAACAACTCCACAAGAGAGATCGTTTAAGAGAAATTCCTCTTGCAAGGGTACTTGATCCAGCTTTTATAAACCGTGGGGCAAACTTGACTATTGTTGATGAAAGTCCTGGTAAAATGGAGAAGAGAATAACTGATGGAATCAGTTATAAATCTTCTAAGACTGTTACAAAGGAAAGCGAAAATAAAAATAGTGAAATACCTGCTTCCTTGGACTATAAAGTTTTTCCAAAGGAATGCAACGAAAATAATGCAACAGGAGAGGACAAGACTCCAAAATCACCGAAAAATTCGAATGCTATAAACAATAAACAACTGAAGGAATCACCAATGCCAACATCTGAGAAAGATAAGGGCCCAAACTCCTCCTCAAGAGAACTGTGGCGGAAAGATTGGATAGATAATCTTAAATTATGTTACATATACCCATATGAAGCATACCCATCTAACAAACTTCCAGAGGAAGATAAGAAAAGTTTAGACCACTCCTTTAGATTGATTAAAAGAATTCTTAAAGAAAAGTATAATGTACCCCTTCTTACCAGTTTTGATCCAAAAGCACATATTGTTATTTTAAAGGGGGATATCTCTGACTTCAAAGGTAACAAAGGATTCGAAGTAATACAGAACACAGTGCAAACAGGTACGAATGATAAAAAAGTTAGAGTTTGGTCTCTAAATAAGGTTACGAAATTTTTGGAAAATATGGAATTGATACCTGGAACTGAACACCCAAAGAAACCAGAAGCTGACAGTCACCAACCGTTGCTAGGGAATAACGAAACGGACAATTCTCAGATTACTCAAGTTCCTAATTCTCAGAAGAGTATAGATAATACCAAAACTGAGAAAGAGGACCAGGCTGAGCCTACCAGGGACAATAAGTCTTCTAAAGACAACAAGGATAGCGACAATGGGAATAAATCGAAGGAAGATACACATATAGATGTAGCGGACAAAGAATCTTCACGCATTGAGAATACTAGCTGCAGAATAGGAAACGCTGAAGTAGAACAGTCTACTGTAAACATTGAGTATAAGACTAACACTTCATTACATCCAAATTCTATCATAAAAGATGGAACTCCAAATTTACCAAAGAATAATATTATTAGTTCCCAACCTGACACTAACAATGCAACAATTGCTGTTGACATGTACGAAGAACAAGAAAATGGGTTAATGATTACAAAGATGATGTCAAACCTTGAAGAGTTACTAAAGAAAGTAACGTTAGAACTTCAAAAGGAACGAGAGGAGAATACAAAAACACAGGCTTGTCTTTTTGAGTTGACGAATAAATTATTGAAGCATGAGATGACAAATTCTAGCTTACATGCATGTTTTAATTTAGAGAAAAAAGAGAAAGAACTTGTCGAGAAAGAAAGAGACTACTTAAAGGAAACTATTAAGAAGATGAAAGATGAATCTCAGCTCTTCAAGGATATCGCCGACAAAAGGCTAAATGACTCTAAAAAACCTGATAGCCAAACCAAGCAACAGAAGACTAAATAGAAACGACATTCCAATCATTCACAAGTTGTAATAATAAAAAGTCCATTGTAATTATATGAATGGAATTATATGGGCATCTAGGAAGAAATATGAGAATACGACAAGGATGTCCATTTGTATTATTTGTCAACTGCTTCTATATTCTAATTGTTATGTGATGATTGTAACGCAAAAATAGATTGTTTTATTAACTGTCTTATAATTGTAGATACATACATATAAAGAAATATATAAAACTACAACAGTTGAAACCACCGCACTACGCATCAGAAGTACTTTAAAATAATTCAATATGATAGATTTATTTTTGAAGTATTCTGTTCTATAACTTACCTACAGATACAATAATGCCGTAAAGACATTGATAATAATGTCCGCCATTTATTTTATAAGTTTTCTCAAATTCCGGAGTGCTGAAGAATGGTCGTCACCTGTGTTATTTTTAATAGAATCATAATAACAAATGGCATGGAAATATTTACCACTAATGTCAACCGCATTCTTCCATACCCACTCACCTGAATCTTCGTCATACACAGCATTAATAGTGTCCTTACAGATAGGACACGTAAATGTCATATCAACGTTTGTTTCTGGAACAGGTACTTTAGCCATACGTAACATTTCCTCATCCAACGTACCATCATCAAGAGTTCCATTGCCTCCAGATGATGATAGATTATTATTATATTTAGTCGAAGTATCACCCCCATTTTTCCATTTATTATCTCTTCTATTCCTATTACGTCCAACGTTATCGTTAATAATATTTTTAGTCGAAGTAATATCATCATCATTAAAGTTAATCCACTGGGAATCTTGCAAATACCAGTTCCTTGATTGGATATTCTTTTGCATTGCGGTAGTTCCTGGGTTATTACTATTTGTGATAACTTGAGATGAACCTTTAATTCTTTTGTTAATTCTGAAGTGCCAATCTAGATGCTCACTTAGCAATCTTTTCTCATCGTTTGAATTTCCAAATCGCTTACCACATGTATTACACTTATTTGATTTAGCACGATATAGCAAATGAATTAAATTATTTTGAACGATGCTATTGGGGTTTGTCAAATTTTCTTGGCTAAATGACAATGATTGCATATTTGATATATTAACGTTAATGTTGGCAAAATATGCTTTGCAATCCAATAAAATGTTTTGCAACATATCGATTTGTGGCAATTGGATTTCAGAATCCTTAGCTGAAGCATCTAAATCCTTTGGTTTAATCTTATTATAGATTGTTACAATCGACTCATTCTGAGGTTTATATAATAGGCCCAAATTGTCCAAAGAATGATACAAATTTTGAACCTTTGAATCTTTATTAGTCTTTTCCAATAAGTCTAGTTTTTGGGTCGATAATACTCCTCCCGTATTTCCAAAGAGAGAGGAAACATTCGAACTTAAACTTGTCATATTATCGAATAATGGGATAGGTGTAGACGAACTAGATTTTTGACTATCAATAGTCCCAGGAACATCTGAACCAACAAATTTATTTGGTTGTTGTTGCTGTTGTTGTTGCTGTTGTTGAAATTGTTGCCTCTGTTGATTTTTTTGTTCGTATTCATATTGTTGTTGTATTAGTTGTTGATCCTGTGAAAATACTTCTTTTAATTGTAGTTGTACTTGTTTCAATGCTGCTTGTGATAATTTACCCTTTTGTAATTCTTGTTTTAATTGTCCCAAGACTTGTAACTTTATATTCAATTTTTGGTCGGTTGGTGCTTTAACAAGCCTTTGCTTTGTCAAAATAGTCAATTTATCAATATCCGCCAATAATAATGGTACAGTTGGAGTTGGTAACATGGATTGATAATTCTTTTGATGTAATGCACTTGCTTTGATTAGGAATTTCTCAATTTTCCCCAATGAAGAAGTTTCAAACAATGGACTTCCTGTAGCTTCACTTGGGGTCATCCATGTCTTGAATAATGATATAAGTTTACTTCTAGTAGTATTATCAACTAAAAGATAAGTCTTCTTATATAATGCAAATAAATTTCTACTAAAATAAATCGTGTAGGGACTACCAGCATTTTTGCAAATAGAATCCAATGCATAAAATGCATATAACTTCTGCATTGGAACACATTTATTTATTCTAGCCTCTAAGGCATCCACAAAATATTGGGCACATGATATATTTTCTTCTGCCAACTTCGTTAGAGTTGTGATAATTGGTTTTGAATTAAATGTCAGTTCTTCAAGAACACCTGTAAAATCCTTTACTAGCCTTTCAGTTTCTGAATCCATTGTAATAAATATGCTATTGTTGGTCTTTTCCCCTTTTAATGTTGATAGAACAAAATGAGTATTCTTTGATGTTTTAAAATGTTACGTGACGATAATGATAAAAGTATGTACACGATTATATATAATGAAAGAATGAAGATAGTACGATATAAACAAAATACGAAGTTCTGTTCAGTGTCCTAACTTCCTTTTTATTTTTAAATAGCCCACTTGGAAACAAGTTTAAATATGGTATTTCCTTCTATCAGATTTATAATAATGGTAGATAAGTGTATCTAAACAATACCTATTATATAACTGTTAACTTCTTTTTATGCAAAAAGAATATTATTACCTTCAAGACAGGAGGGTGTGGCTATATATTTATTATATATATTTCAATCATAGTCTCCAAAGCCTAACTTGAAAATAAAGGTATTACTAAAATTAATTAAGTAATCCAATTTTTTTTTCACTCCTCGGTTATCGTGTCGCACGAGGTTATATAAAGACTATAGAGATCAAAAGAGCAAAATGACACAATTAAAAAGAATGGAACAACTCAAAATCAGCTTGTGACTCTTATTATTACTACCCTTACTATAATTATTGATGAATTGTTTAATTAATTAATATAATCTACATTTATATAAATTTTTTGATATGCTAATATTTAAATGATTTCAGGGTTTGGCAAACGTTTAAAACAAGCAACAAACTTATCACCTTGTTTTCTTGCTACTTTCTTACCTTCCTCAGTAGCATTAGTCATAATATTTACACATTTATCATTTTCTTCCCATTCTTTACTTAATCTTTCAAATAAAGGATGTTCATCAAGATGCTTCACCATCCAATTATGTAAATCCTCAACATCGGTGATTGTATATATGATACCACCTTCCTTTAAAACGTATGCATATTCACTTAATAAAGTATTAGTGACGATTCTAGCTTTATGTTTTCTTTGTTTAAAATGAGGATCAGGGAAACAGAAAAACATTTTGGATAACTGAGCTTTATGGAAAAAATTTGGCAAGAATTTCATAGCGTTACCTCTAAGGACATTGATATTTTGATAAGTTTGTTCTTTAGCATGATTACTTCTCAATGCGATAATTCTATCTTCTACATAATTTGTCACTTGTACACGAATTTCCATTCCTAAAATCAATTGTTCAGGGAATGCAGGCGATAAATCGATCATTAACCCACCGAACCCACAACCAATGTCTGCAATTGTAACCTCTTTGGTCATTTCACCTGTATGTTCATCCTTGAATGCAGGATATAATTTACTCCAATCCATATCTTCGGGACAAGATGGATATTCCAATTGATGATCTGAGAATGGATTAGAATGTGCTCTTTGTCTGTAGTATTTCTTCTTTGGTAATTCCATCTTATTACCGTTTTTCTTATTCTTCTTAGACTTGTTGCCACTATCTGAAGCTATAATACTAGATTCATCGATCTTAACATGTTTCAATTCTTTACGATTTTCTTCCTTATTAACACGATAGAGGAATCTCTTTGAGTTAGGATCCATATTACCGCTTGCAGCTCTCATCTTTGGTTAATTAGTATATATATATGTAGGTATCACTCACTGACAGAAACGACGGTGGTCTTGTTAACAAGAATCTAACGTATATATCTATATCTATATCTATTTATCACCTATTTGTTTCTTGCCATCGCCCAATATAGCAAAATCATTGGTGCTCATCACTTGAAATTTCACATTTTCAGTTTTTTGCAGCGAAAATTTTTTTTCCAAAATTTTTCTGTTTTCGACGAGAGAAAATTCCGTAGAGAGCGTGGCGAGCAGACTGCGATTACATTTCAAAATTGTTCTTTTATATATAAGCATATAAGTGTATAAGCATATGAATATATAGTCATTTGACTGTTTAAGTGTGATGTGATGCGATGAGATGTGATTGATTATATAATATAAGTATATTCACAAGATAATGAATGTATTTTGGTTGTGGTTGATTGTTCTCTCACTTTTCCAATTGGAGTATTTCAACATTTTTAAATTTTTCGGAAATTGAAGGAATTAAAGGCATTGTTGACATCTATTTATCTGAAAAATATTATGTTTAATATTAAGCGAAGACGTAACTTAAATTAGAAACTATTCGAACATTATAATGATAATGGTAGTTCCCTTGAAAAGTAAATTAAATAAAGCATAGTTCCACAGATCTATATCTATAGCTATATCTTCCACCTGTTTGATCTTTTTGGGTCCCTTATTATAATTGTTTTCCAAACAACCTATTTAACACGCATCCTTTTTTTTTGCTTTTTGGCATACAACACCATTAGTACTACCAGTGCATATATATAAACATATTCTATAGAAGGAATACAACAACAATAAGAGCAATATGAACAATAATGACAGTTCAAGGATAACTCCCGAAAGATATGCTCCACATCTATCTGAGTTCTACCCTATCATGAATAACAATAATAGTGCGACGCAGGCAGACGACGCAAGACAACAACAAGAAGGACTTCTACCTAACCAAATAATTACGTCTCCACAACGGTCAGACCACACTACACCAAACTCTCGGTTTCAATCGTTGTCGTCTCGCAACTCTATGAGAAGACCTTCAAGTGTAGCATCCAATAGTCAAAGTATAATGAGTGACCTACAGACCCTTATTACTCGGCATGATGTGAAACAGACAAAAGATGCGATGAAATCACTGAATGGCACGTCTAGAGAGCTTAGTGATGCGCTAGCTACAGTGGCACGATGTTCGAGTAAAATGGCTGGTGAATTTGAGAATTTTGCACATTTGAAAGGTTGTAATGATGATACTGCTGAGAAATTTATGAATGCTAGTGGATTATTCCATTTAGTTGGGAATCATGATTTGATAATGAGTGAATTTATTAATGATTTATTAATTGATTCAGTGACTGATATGATGGATGAATTTCAATTTAAATCTAAATCTTTAGAGAATCAATTCAATCGTAAAAGGAAAGAAGAGTCTTTAAAATTAAAAATTCAGGAGAAATTTAATAACGATTTTTCAAGGAGGAATGTTAGGAATTTAATATCATATCGAGAGAGTTTAAACAATTTACAAAACCAATTGGATCAATTAGAATTGTTAAAATATGATTATTATAATGATTCGTATCAACTAGTTGAATCTACTTGTAATAATGTATTGAAACAAGTTGCAAGTATAACACGAGCACAAGTGGAAATATCTGAAAATATTGCTAGAAAAGGTTGGTCCGGGGGTGGTTTGGATGACTTGTTAATAGATGCTGAAGATCCATTTACAAAGAATGAAGAAGAGGAAGAAGAAGAAGAAGAAGGTGAGGGGGATGAAGAGGAGGAAGACCAGACTGATCATATTATGAATAGTATACCGGAGGAAGGAACTGAAACGGACAATAACAATAGTAATACTAGTAGTAATAAAAAAATAGGGATTGAAGTATCCAATGATGATAATTTATCCAATTCTATGGAACAATTAGGAATTCAAAGTACACCTCAATCAATGGACAATAATAATTCAAGGAGTATAATAGGCGTAGGGAACAGTAGTAATATTACGATTGGAAACAATAATAATAATAGTAGTGAAGAAAATATAGACAATGAAGAATTATCAGCATCATCAGACAATGAAAATGATAATTCTTTTGCATTACCATTATCTAATAGTGTTGGAGTACGAACGAGTTCTATACTGGAAGAAGAAGAAGAAGAAGAAGAAGAAGAAGATAATGAAAATTCATGAAACCAATCCTCTCTGTCTCCCACTCCTTCACAAATTAAAACACAGACGTATAGATTACATATTATATTCATTAATAAAAAACAACAATAATAACGATATATTTACAAAAACAAGGAATAAAAAAAGTTTACCAAAATTTATACCAAGATTTATTATTATTTAAATTAAATGAAGAATCATTTGGATGACTTTCCCATTCTTTTTTCAAAAGTTCGATTTCTTTTAATTTTTCAGGTGATATTTCTTTCTTTTCTTTATGTGTTGGTAACAAACCTTGTTTAATAGCTTCTTTTCTTTTCCTTTCTTGCATTGTTTGCATTGCCATTGTAGAAATTTCCATACTTTTTTTCCTTTTCATTCTACATTGTTCCCAACCGACTATAGAACCTAGTAATAGACCACCCGTGGCCCAATTTGTAGCTTTAATAGGATTCTTATGATATAGTAAGGTAATTGAACCCAGGATAAACATTGAAGAGAACCCTACCATTCCCGCATCTCTAAAACACGGAACTTCAGTCAATGAAGCCAATGAAAAATCGTCCCAACGTAAAGTATCTATAGCATTTTTCATCATTCCTGAGGGAGAAGTAGCAGAAGCAGAAGCAGAGGATTCAGGATCGAATCTTGGTGGTTTATCTTGCATTAGAATCTTTTGACCCTTTGAATAGTTAGTCAGTACCGGTTCATTTTGAGATTCCTTATTCTCTTCAACATTTTTAATTTCTTTATCTTTAGTAAACCAACCCATTGTATGTACGATTGCAATTGTGTCAACTACATATATATGCTGGATACTACATATAAAGTAATATTATATAATAACTGAAAAAAAAAGTCATCCCCCCTTATCCATGCATAGCTTATGTAACCTTGAACCAAAATTATTTGTCAATTACCATGACAATTGACATAATATGTATCCCCATATTGAAGTAACCCACGTCGTGCCACACGATGTCCCAGACAACCATGTGACCAACCCATATAAATAGAAATATCCGCTCTTGTTTCGGTAACGAAACAATTTGCTCAGTTTTGCAGTTGAGTATGTCCGTGCTGTATACAACGATCTCTACGCCCGTGGATATAATATTTTACACAGAGAGAGCAATTTGTAGCGCAGACGGAGCGTCGCTCCAGCCGGAAGGACAAACAGTCACGGTTTCACGCTTTAACTGTCCCACCGTCTCTCACGCCCACTGCCACACACGCTCTGCCTGTCTCGTTTAATACAACACGATGCAATACGATGATACGAGTGCAGACAGCAGGCTACGCATTAATCCACGCACGCACAGTTTTCTTCTCTGGGCGAACTTCATCGTTGATTATTAACGGTGATTCGATTGGTTGGACAGACAGTGCACAGCAAGTAGTAGTATTACCGTAATACACTACACTACTTTTCATTACAATTACATTTATTACATATTATATTTAGTTAACGTGATATCATGAGTAAGTAGGTACAGCTGAATATGTAATAGGTTTAACGTTGCTTTTATTACTGAATTTTCACAGTTGCTTTTATTCTCATTCTCTCTCTTTCCCTTCTTGACATATTGATATTTACAATATATATATACATATATATATATATATATAAATGAAGGTAGATGAGTTTGATTTAAGAATCATTACTATATATATATATCTCTATTTTTTTTACTTTTTCTTTCTATAAGGCCTGATAATAAGTGATCCATATATACACACACATATACACTGTTATAGTATTACTAAGTTAAAGATATGTACCGTTTGACTAGTAAGATTTGTAATGGCACTACCACTACATGTGGTAGTAGACTAACTACTCATATCTTATCAACAAGACAATACGCTTCTGCTACAGCTGCTAAAACAATCACCAATAACAAGAATGTCGAAGATCAAGACCCTCTAGTTAATCATGCTACCCAGAATTCGTCCTTTGATTATGAAGGTGTGATTGAAAACGAAGTCCTGAAGAAAAGACAAGATAAATCCTATAGATTCTTTAATAACATCAATAGACTGGCCAAGGAGTACCCGATGGCTCACAGACAATCCGAAGCTGATAAAGTCACCGTATGGTGCTCTAACGATTACTTAGCTTTATCAAAACAACCTGAAGTTATGGACGCCATGAAACGCGCTATTGATAAATACGGTGCAGGTGCAGGTGGTACTAGAAACATCGCAGGTCATAATATATTGACTATGAAATTAGAAGCAGAACTAGCTGCTTTGCATAAGAAAGAAGGTGCTTTGGTGTTTTCTTCATGTTTTGTAGCTAATGATGCGGTGTTTTCATTGTTTGGTCAAAAGATTAAAGATATGATCATCTTTTCAGATGAATTAAATCATGCTTCCATGATTATTGGTATGAAACACTCAAATCTGAAGAAGCATATCTTTAAACACAATAACTTGGAAGAATTGGAATCGATGTTGAAACAATACCCTAAATCCACCCCAAAGATGATCGCTTTTGAATCTGTCTATTCCATGGCAGGCTCCGTCGCCGATATTAATAAGATTTGCGATCTAGCAGAGAAATACGGTGCCATGACTTTCCTAGATGAAGTCCATGCTGTCGGGTTATATGGTCCTCATGGTGCTGGTGTTGCCGAACATGTCGATTTCGAAGCTCACCGTAAAGCAGGGATCGCCTCCCCTTCCATAAAGGATAACAACGGTCATAAACTGGCATTGGACCGTATCGATATCATCACAGGTACGCTAGGGAAATCCTTCGGTACCGTTGGTGGGTACGTCGCCGCAAACAAACACATCATTGATTTCTTAAGATCGTATGCACCAGGTTTCATCTTCACTACGTCTTTACCTCCTGCAGTGATGGCAGCCGCCTCCGAAGCAATCCGTTTCCAAAGAGGTAACATTGACTTGAGAACCGCACAACAGAAACACACCACGTACTTGAAGAACGGGTTACAAGAACTGGGGGTCCCAGTGGTGCCAAACCCTTCGCACATCGTTCCTATCCTGATCGGTAATGCCGATTTGGCCAAGCAGGCCTCGGATATGCTGATGGAGAAGCACAAGATCTATGTCCAAGCGATCAATTTCCCAACGGTGGCTAGAGGCACCGAGAGATTGCGTGTGACTCCAACCCCGGGCCACACTGACGAGCTGTCGGATGTGATGCTGGATGCCATGGAAGACGTGTTTACTGAATTACAATTGCCTCGTGTCAATGACTGGGAAGCTCAAGGTGGATTCCTAGGTGTTGGAGATCCAAATGCTGTTAGGGAACCAAATCTATGGACAGAAACACAATTGAAATATACTAATGCGGATTTGAATCCAAATGTGAAATCTCCTGTGATTCAACAATTGGAAGTCTCCAGTGGTATTAAGGAGTGATGATAATATGACTACTTTTTTATTTTCATGTATAACCCCCTCCCTCTAAAAGATTTTATAAAAATGAATAATAGTAATAATAATAATAATAATATTTTTTTTTTATTGTTATAATATTAATATAGTAGTAGTAATAATATATATATATATATATAAGTATATATAAAATA